TAGTAAATTCACACTTTTTCATATTAAAAAAATTAAAATTAAAAGAAAAATCAGATAATGGATCATATTTTTATGGAACACAACTACCCATTATCTTTTTTAATTCTAAAATAAATTTAAATTTTTTTAAAAAAAGCCTCTCGCAGGTGTGGAGAGGCTAGTATATATAAAGCAAATGATAAAACATTCAAAATATCATAAAATGTCTTTGGTTAATGCAAACATTAAAAATTAAAAATATTAATTAAATAAGGATAATATAGTAAATTCACACTTTTCATATTTAAAAATTTAAAAATTAAAAGAAAAAACAAATAATGGATTATATTTTTATAGAACACAACTACCCATTATCTTTTTTAATTCTAAAATAAATTTAATTTTTTAAAAAAAAGCCTCCGTCAGGCGCGGAAGCGCATGCGAAGAGGCTAGCATATATATATATATATATATTAAAAATGGTTACTAATCTTTCCACTATTTTTTTTATCTACTTACACTCCATTTTTCAAAAATTGTATGTTCTTTTCACTCTCTCTTTTGTTCACTTACACTCCCTTTTATCTATATATATATTTTTTTTTTTTTTTTTTTTTTTAGTGTAGGTGGACAAAAGGGGAGTGGAAAAATCACCACCCTTAAAAATATATATTAAAGATTTGGTAGGGGTTGTAACCTGTAGCCCTGACAGTGCACTATGTGGATCCGTGCCTTACACAGTTTTATTTTATTTATGTGTGTAGTAAAATACATACGTGTTTTATTTGATAAAATAAGGCGGAAGAGAACAATAGTAGGGCCTAAGGCCCCGTTTGGTTCACAAAACGAATTTAAGAGGAAACCATTTCCCATGTCATTTTCTAAGGGATGGGAAATGAAAGATTCATTTCCCACGTTTGGTAATGCTGGGAAAGTGACTGGGAAATATCACTTTATTTCCTTTCCCGTGTTTGTTTTAAGTATGAATGGAAAACAAAGTTTGTATAAATTTTCAATTATACCCATATTAAATCATATAAAAAGAGAATGCATTGAATGATATATTGTAATTCTAAATTGTTAATGGGGACACAATGGTCATAAAAAATGTTTATTTAATAATGGCTCATTTTCCCAAACTTTCCCATGAGGAAGGAAAACAAAACTCATGTTGGGAGGATGGCTTTACTTTCCCCCCTACTTTCCCATGAGCCAGACAACGATTTCTCATGCCTGGACTTACCAAACATGGGAAAACAATTAATTTCATATCTCTAAGTCTTCTTTCCCATAAACCAAACAGAGCCTTAAAGTTTCAAACACGGCGGCAGTGATAACAGAGAGTCAAATGAAGCTTTCTCAAAATAAATGAACTCTTACCCTGCTTCTAGGTGTAATGCATTGGAAAAAAAATCTTGTAATAATGCAGTGGAAAAGAACAAAAATGTATTAATCCCAAAATCTTGTAATAATGCGGTGGAAAAGAACGAAAGTGTATTAATCGTTGGAAAAAAGCTTGTAATAATGCAGTGGAAAAGAACAAAAGTGTATTAATCGTTGGAAAAAAAACCTTGTAACAATGCAGTGGAAAAGATCAAAAGTGTATGCGGTGGGGTTGTAGGGCTCAATCTTTTCCTTGTGTCTTTTTCAAAAAGCAACAAAGTAATGGCGAAAAGAACAGTACTCAAATTGGTTGGTATGGTAGGTTGTAATCCGACTGTGAATATTCAATGAACACATGGGGAGGAGTCAGTCAACCAAAAAAATTAGTCACGTTTTCGATATGAAACTTTTTATGTGGAATTTTGGCAAGTTTCCGATGGTGGGATTTATATTCTTCAACACGTCCTTTCATCTGTGACTCATTAAGCCCAACATGTAAATACCATCGTTTGGTACGTCGGATTGTACTGACTAATTTCTGTCGAATAGTATTAATCTGTTTCGGAGAGTATTGACTGTTTATCCATAACATTAGAAGGTGTTTAGTGCTATTCCGGATAAATAGTCAGACTAAGTTATATTGTGTTTGATGTTGTTCACGATAACATCGGATTAGACTATTTGTTTTTTAAAAAAAAATTGGATAATTTAAGTGGAAATTGAAATTCAAATGACACAAATTTTTTTTTGGTAAGATTCATATTACAATATTTTTTTCGGGTTTATATTAATAAATTAATTTAAAAAGAAAAATGAAACCTGAGTTTAACTTCTTCATCTTCGTTTCCTCCACATCTCTCTTGGGATGGTGACGACACAGAGGGACTGGCTTCCACATCTTCCATTACCGTTCGAAAGACCCTGTGTTGTCATTGACGACAAAGGTCAATTGACCTCTTTCCCCTTATTTTCAAATCATATGGGTTTCTTTCAGAATTCGAAATTCCTTCGTTATTAATTATCAAAATAATTATATATCTTGGAATTCGTAGAAACCTTTTGTTCTGTTTGCATCAAGAGATAATGGGGAGATGAATTGAAATAGAGTTGTTCTCAAATTGATTAACTGGGTTCTCCAAGATTTGCGAGTTTGCACAATATGATTTGGGGTTTTAGCTCGCTTGGGGCCAAGCTAAATAGATGTTCAAGCTTTATTTTGCTGGTTCATTTTCCTTGAGAGAGTGAAGAAAATAACATGTAGAGAATATAGTAGAGAAGAACCCTAGGGAGAAGAAGAAGCAAATATAGTCTGATTTTTCACGTGACCGTGTGTGTTTTTTTTTCCCTAGCCGTATAATTAAGTGTGTATTATCTAAATCGGTGTGTGTGGGTTGTATTAGTTAGTCAGGTAAAGAGAGTATTAAAAGCCCAACCCGTATAAAATAGTCGAGTAATTAAATAATACAAGTTGACACCAAACACTTGACATAGACTATTTACTCTTCTCCAGAGTCTAATACGGTGTACCAAAAACATTCAATAACATGTAAACACCATATATTGGGTAAGTGTAAAGGCCTAATTCAGGCCCAAACTACTAGCAACACCCACAAGGCTTTTGTGATAAAATTCAACACCTACTGGGCTTTGTAGGTGGTTAGTTGATTTGAGACTACTAGTTTGCAAGTTAAAACTCTTTTCCATTGAGGTAGACCCATTGGCAATATCAAGTAATTCAATATGGAACACTATGTATTTACACTAAATTTTGCTCCTTCAGTTCTATATGTACGTTCCCACTATTTCGTCCACGTTCCTTGTAAAACTCTTTTGATTTTCCTTATAAGTTTTCCCCTTTTCATTTTGACCTTGTGGATTTCTCAGCTTTTAACTTTCAGATTTATGCTATGTTAGCTTTAGCTATTCCATGAAATCTTAGCTGGAGGGAATGACTATAGTCCACACATGAAATCCATGTTGCAAATTGAAGGACACACCCAAGAAAGAATTGTAGTGTAGGTACACCCTTGAAGGTTTTAGCTGTCATATTATATGGAGACATAAATATGTAGGATATCATATTGCAAAATTGAAGTTTGATCTAGTCTCAGATGTGTGAACTTGAACTCTAAGATGCTGTGTTGTATTTGGAAACATTTACTTGATAAATTTAATTCCAAGTCATAGTTTAGTATTAAATCGTTTACGTCCCTTAAATCTCTCCATCATTTTTCTTCTTTTGGGGCTTTACAGTTGCACTACATCATTTGCTATTTCCGATAAAAACTGCTAAGTGGAAAAGTTATAACATTATTGGGTGTGGATAGCAAAACAGTGATATTTCCGTTTCATGCAAGTGTTTCTCTTGATTTATACCCGATAAGGTATTGTCCAATATGACTTGAAATTTTATGTCGCATTCGAACTGAACAAAATAGTGAACAAAGACTCGAAATTTTAAAATGAAGTCTTGTTCATACGGGACTTATTTGCCTCTGTATCTTAAACATTTTGAGCGTTAACAAATAGGAAAGGAAAGTATGCTTTGGGAGAGTTTGATCATCCTACTCAGATAGCTACGACAGCCAAAGCTATAGTGAAACGAATAATAGCCCACAAGGTTATAAGGAACAACCTCCATGTATCCAAGATACTTATTCAAGTAGTGGAGGAAGGCAAGATTATGATTACAACATTAATTATGTTGAGTACGGGTACAACCAACATGGTGGCTATGAATATGGTTTTGATCATTACGATTATTTATCAAATTATGGTGATGAAAATTATGATGATCAAACTTATTTTAATGGTTACAAAGAACCAATTTGTGGTTCTAGTAGCCAGCAAAAGCCAATTTGTAGTTCTACTTCTAGCTATGTTTCAAAGGAGCTCCATCAAAATTCAGGCATAATACATGTGAAACCAAATTTTGGTTCCAACGTGTATAATATTGATGCTATTCATGAAGAGATAGCTAAAACCCAAAGGCGTACAGAAAAGTTAGAAGTCATCATCAAATTCCACGGCGCCCTGCCATTTGACTTTTTTTTTTTTTTTTTTTTTTTTTTTTTTTTTTTTTTTTTTATAAATAAATTTTTATCGAAATAATACTTCATTAAGCCAGAAGGCAAGGCAAAAACAAGGATATAAGAAGGAAAAAGAACACACCAAAGCCAGAACCAGCCTGGTGCAAAAAGAAGTTCCCAGGCCTGGACTAAAACAAAAGGAAACAAGGAAATTACATTGGTGGCCCAACAAGGCCATCAGAAGTTAGAACCCGAACAATAGAAGGTGTTACTGCAAAAACTAGAGAGGTAGTGGTAGGACCATCTTACAGATGATGTGGATGATTGAGGAATCGGATATGCCTTCAGTAAGTGCTTTCCCTTCAGCAGGGGATGCAGGATCTGTGCTAAAAAGAGAAGAAAGCAGTAGGTGAGACATAGGGCACTGGTGTGGTACCCGCTGAAGGCCCTCCAATGCTAAAGTTAGCTGAAGGAGAGAAGGGTTAGCTTATTGACAATGTAAAGGCATGTATGTCAAATAGAGCTTACTTACCCTAAACTTTAGGGCAAAGGGTTCTTTTATGGGGAGTTTTGGGTGTCCTTTTGATGTGAGATATCGATGTGGGATTCATGGGAGTGTTCTTAGAGTTTGCCACGTGTCCCAGCGAATATACCAGTAGGGAACCTAAGAAACTCCTGCACTTACCAATTGTGGGCCGATCAGTCAACAATCGGCATTTGGCGCTGGGGGCACCTACATATTGCAGGATTGGACCTGTTGTCATGAGCTACAAGGCTATGTTGGGCGTAGAATCAGTCATGGGTGCCGAGGGCACCTACCGATTCGTGAGTTGCGCTTGCCAGCATGGGCCATACAAAGCCCTGCTTGGTGTCAGACCCTTTCCACGTGTCATGGCATAAGAGGCCGGTTAGATATAGTACAAACAGGAGTCCCCCAAGTTCCCGACTGAGAAAGGACTTCTTGGTTGAGGACTTGCACGTGTCTTCGGCATTCTAACCTGGACCTCGATATAGAGATTTTAACCATTTCTTCTCAGTTGCTGATGATAGTCTTATAATCCCATAGTCCTATAGTCCCCCAAGTCCCCAAGCGAATGGGAGCTTGGACCATGGCTACCGATTAGTAGGCTTATGGTGGTGTGATGTGGCTGCAGGACAACAGTAAGTAGAGCCAAATGGTTGGGAGGGTGAGTGAAAACTCAAACCTGCAAGCCTGCCATTGGCATTTAAAGATGAACGGTTCAGAGGGTGAGTGAAAACTGGACCCTGCAAGCCTGTCGTTCAGCTTGGAAAGACAAACAGTTGGGATAGTGAGTGAAAACTTGACCCTACGCGCCTATTGTTCAGTATGTATGTTGTAATATCCGAATGTAGATGGTGTTGCTTCTCAAGGGAGAATGGTTGTCACTTTGGCTTCTCTGCACACGTAGTGGGCATTGAATGTTGGCGTGTGCCACGTGTTGTGAGAGAGATCAAAAGGTTGCAGCGTTTCGTATTCTGATGCTACGTTAGCCTTATAAATAAGAGGGAAAGCAATGGTAGAAGGACTACTTAGTATTGTTTAGAGCGAAATTGGACCTTGAGAGAGGTGATTTCAGACGAGCTAGCTACTGCAAAAGAAGTGATTTTCAGCGAAGAGTTTGGGGCAGAGGCGATTTCTGGCGACAAAAACCACCGTGTGTAAACAAGGTATGTTACCTCTTGCCAACGTCTTTTGAATCAAACTACCAAATTTGTTTGAAGTTTTGCATGAACTTGCATGAACATTGACGAATTTCCATGAACATAAGAGGTTTGCATAAGAACATAGGCCTTGATGCGGTCGGATTGGTAGTTTGATTTAAGCATGGCATTTAGTTTCCTTTCACTTCTATTTGTAGATGTCAGAGAGCGAGTCAGAGTATAGTAATAACCCTGGGGCCTTTGATGGGGAGTCATCTACCAAAGGCTTTGCTCTAGAGCCCGAGAGTGCCGATTCTGAAGGTACTGATCTAGAAATGCTGGAAGAAGTGGAGATGCCTACTAAGGCTGTGGGATCTTCCCATCCAGCAATGAAGCCAGACACAAATCGACCTTCAATGTCTGGCTGTGATGGCGAGACAGCTGAAGTGTCGATAGCCGCTTCTAGGGAGGGAGTGCTGACCATGGTTACCAGTAGCCAACTGGTGCCGATTGCGCAACCGAAGGGCCCAGTGTTTGGCGTTGACTTCCTAGAACAGAACGAGCTGACCGAATGGGAATTGGCTAGGATCTGAGTGGAGTGTCATATTCCGAATTCGGTAGTTATGCAAGTCCCAGCGCCATTGGAGTCTTTGAGCAATCCTGATGGCAAGGTAGTCTTTCTCACCGATGTTTTCTAACATGGTCTTGGGCTACTGTTGAACCATCAGTTCAGAAAATCTTGGCACAGATTGGCTATGCGCTTGGGCAGTTTAATCCAAACTTCTAGATCACGCTCCTCGTCACCATAACGGCATTTGGTGTTGCCGAAAAGGGTGAGCCTAGCTCCGAACAGTTCTCGCATATGTATAGTGTGACGAGGGTGAAGAGCTTGGACTAGGGGGTTAGGTGCAGTCGAACTGTCTGCATGCCGGAGAGTGAGGGCACATTCTGGTTGGAGTACCGAGCTCACATAAGACCTGGCGTCGACACCAGGTAAGGTCGTTAAGAGGCATATTCCAACGACCTTTCAAACAATTGGTAGGTTCTAGGGTGTCGTTCGGCAGTTTCTCCATCTTTTTATTTTGTGTTTGCATGGAATAGCACTTGTGTGCCGATTGTATATGTATAATTGGTGGTATGCCGAAGCCAACCTGTCTTTGTTATTTTTGCTAGTCTCCATGAAGTGACCGAGCACCTCTAAGGAGGACTTGAAGGTAGTCGAGATGAGGAGCAAGATTGCCGAAGACGATCGTTATGTCAAGACTTTGTTGAGCTTTAGCAATTTGTTCAAGGCAAGCCTGATCGACGAGGCCGAGAAGACCAGAAGAGAGAAAGAAGAAGGGAGTAAGTTGTGTCTTCGATAGTTCCTTCGTACTTTTTGACTTCGCTATGTCTCATGTGGTGTCGTTTGACATGACTGTCTTATGTCGTTGCTAACTTAGCTTGTTCTGTTGTAATGGTAGGTGGGAGAGCTATGTCTGATGCTATGAGGAGGCAGCCAAATTCTTTAGGGCAGGGACCATAGCAACAGAAGAAGGGGAAGGCCTCGAGGCCGAATAGGATAGGGCAGCACCAGCCGGAGGTCTCCTCGGTAGATGACGTGACCGTTGCCGAAAACCGCTCGCAGAAGAGGGCAGAGGAGGCTAAGACAACATGCAAGGTCTACCTCCAGATGATCGGTATAAGGCATATCGAGGGTGCCCTTGACGTGACGCCACTACCGAAAAGGCCGATGGGGCCAAACGAGGTGGCAGTCATCCTGATTCCTGGTGATGAGGCAAAGAAAGGTGCCGAACAGGTGAACATCCCCTGCCCGTCGAGGGTTGTGCCTTTCATAAACAGTGTTGTCGACGAAAGTAGATAGAGTTGTTCGAATTGGAGCAGTTGTCGAAGAGGTCGCTACACGAACAAGCGGGGAGTGCCTTTCACTTCTAGGCTACGGTAAGTCTATCCTTGTCGTTTTGTTATTTTTGTCCAAGTTTTGCACTATCGGCACTGACTTGTGTTTTGATTGTTCGGCATGTTGTATAGAGATGTGGCTCTGCATCAAGCGGCCCTCAATACTGCCGAATGGCTTTAGAAGAAGTTCGAGGATGGCCGAGCGAAGATTGTTAAGGTGCGCAAGGTTATCCAAGACGTTGTTCGGTAGGCTAAGGAGAACGAGGCCAAGATTGCAGAGCTGAAGGCCAAGCTGGAGGCGTCTGAAAAGGCAGTTCGGGAGGCCGAAGACGCAAAGGCTGCTATGAAAATGGCATTGGATGTCACTGAACGGGCGAAGGCGGCTGAGGTGGAGGAGGCGAAAGCAAAGGTCATAGCTGACTACCGATCCTCGGAGGAGTTCACGGTTTTGGTGGAGAAGGAATTCATGGACCAGTGTGACAAGCTTGTCTACCATTTCAAACAATTCAATGTCGACAAGAAGCTGAACCTAAACTTCCTTTGGGATTACCCACCACTGCCCTAGGGCATAACCGAAGAAATGATGGAGGCTTACAGGGCGAAGATGCCGTAGCCAAGCCTACTTCTGATGCCAAGCCTGAGGATGCTGAAGTCGAAGTTGCTGAGCCTGCGAATTCCAAGGAGGTTGCCCTTTCTGCTTGAGATTTTTCTTTTAAACCTTATTAATTGTATTTGGGCCATATTCTAAAACAGTATGTCGAGAGGCATTTATTTTGGATTCTTAATTCATGGCCATTCGGCTTTTTGTTTATCTATGCAATTGGTAGATTTATATGCCTGGCATTTTTTGCATGTATGTTTGTTTGTATGTTGTATGCCAAAGGTAATTAGCTTGATAGGTATTACTGAAGGTAAGTAGCCTTTGGTTGTTTGTCGTAGGCATTGGTGCCATTAGGTGTATATACCGTAGGCATGTACTGAATGCAAAGACAATTGAACCCAAAGTGATAGCACGGAGCCTTTCATTCATTGTAATGTTGTTAATGATATAATGTACATTAGGGAGGGTATCAGATAGCAGCACCTCCTATAGGTTTACAGAGTGAGGGGACCGAAGGTCGTGCTCGTCACCTGTAGTGATACTTTAGGAGATCGACATTCCAAGGGTGGCTGAGGGTTTGTCCATCGAAGCCGCACAATCTGTGGGCCAATGCTAAGTAAGCCACCATTGACTTGTCCATTGTAACACCCCGACTCCAAATTTTATTCCTATTTTAATTTATTCAAGTGAAATTACGAATTTACCCTTGGGATAGGGGTATTTTGGTCATTTTCTTATTCGGAAAGAGTTTGGGGCAGTGACTGGTATTTTTGGGTAGGTCGTGCTGAGACGAATTCGTAGACACACGGTAGGCTTGAATCGGAGTTGTAACGAAGATTTGGCGACCAAAATAAGTTCAGTGGCAAACTTGTAATTATTTCGAAAAGAGTTAGAGTAAAAATTTGATATTTCACTTTCTATCTCACTCTCTCACTCTCTCTCTCTCTCTCCCTGTCGCGAACAGCTCCCCCTCCCCTTCGTTTTCTCACAGCCGCCACCCTCCAAGACTACCGCCGCCGCCACAGTCAACGACCAGCGACGAGACGAGTCTCGTTCGAACCGTCACCTCTCCCTCGTTCTTTCCCGACCAGTATCAGCCATCACCGTCCACTGTGCTCGCCGGAATCCATCGAAAACGAGTTGATTTTGACAAAACTTCTCACCGCTCTATCTTTCTTCTCCGGCCACCAATTCCGACGGGTGAGGTATGGTTTCTCATCTATTTTCCGAGTTCTAGCTGGATGTTGCATAGGATTGGGTTGATTTGGAGTCTAGGATACTGATTTCAAAACCTAGGTTTTGGCCGGATTTCAAAGTGAAATTCCCGTAGTTGAATGAAGTGATCCTTGCCTCGAGTAGTACCTAGGGTAGGAAGGGTGAGCAGTGGTGTGGAGTTATTTCGTCGCCAGAATTTAATCTACACACCCACGTGTTGCCGGCGCGTGGGCAAGGTTGGCAAGGTCAAGTGTGGTGCTCTTGTAATCCTTGTGTTGTCACGAGCGCATAGGTGTGCTCGGATTTCTATTCGGACGTCGTTTGACTATCGAACGGATTTCGCATATTGTGCGTTATCCGGGTTCGATAGGTTCTGACCGTTGGATCGTTTCCAAATTAAAATATGTTGATCAAGGCACTTTTAGAATTGCGGAGGAATTCACGGATCATGAATCGGAGCCCCGGATATTCCAATTCAATAATTCAAAGTTTGTGGGTTAGCAATACCGTCCAAATTGTGAGCGATCCGAACGTCCCTTTCGGATCACACCTGCAAGACGTAATTCCTAACCTATAGCTAGACCTTAGGATATCTCGTTCTACATACACACACCGGGAACTTGGGGATTTAAGTATTTATTTTGTGATTTCCGTTTTGAAGTGGTGTTGTATTAATTGAAGGTTCGTACCTTTAAATAGGTGCTCTGGTCGATCATACACAGTTGGCGGGACCTTCTCAGGGTTGAGCAGCTTGGGATTATTTGTGAGTGGACTTTGTTTTCAATCATACGCATGGTTTTATTAATGAAAGATTTATGCATATGTTTTAAATGGTTTATGAGATATAATGTATTTTCGGATGTTGAATTTGATATTCTTATAAGCTTTGGCAATATATTTTGGGTTTTGACATATTTGAGTATCGTGAGTATGTTTATATGGGTTTTGGGAAATTTCATCTATATTGTCTATATGTGTGGTACTTGGGTTGTTGAGGTGAGTTTGTGGAAGGATTTGAGTATGATGGGCTGTTGAGAGAAGTTGCATGATTACACTATGTAAGTACCACGCCCTTGTTACTAGACTTCCCACACGTGGCGTTGGTAGTTTCGGCGTGTGAGACACTTCCCATACGTGGCTTTGGTAGTTCTGGCTTATGGGAAGAGTATGTATATTGCTTGAAATCATCACACATGGCGTTGGCAGTTTCGGTGTGTGATGATGATATAGTTTGCGCGCGTAGGACTTGGTATTGGAGATACATGTGGCGTTGGTATTTCCGACGTGTGAGTTATGGAGTTTCGTCCCCCGGTTGGACCGCTCATCCCTAGATGCAAGATAGCACCAAGAAATCCTGCGGGCTAGCCAAACAATCCCCCGGTTGGATTGTTTCCCCGGTACCTAAGTAGTGTGAGGAGTATTATGTATATTTATAGTTATATACTTATACATATATATATATATATATATATATATACATGAGTGAGTGTAAATCAGTTAGAGTACTTGTAGTGGGCTAGTAAGAGCAATATGATTTTTGGGATGAAGTTTATGTATTGAGTGATTTTGGTTTTAAAGGGTTTCAGAGATTAATGGTTTTGAATGTTATTTATGAAAGTTATGTATCTGCATGTCTTGAGCATTATTTTTACACGGTGGGGTTATTATGTTGTTTTAAATGTAAACTTTATTTTTGTTCACTCACATGTTTTCTATTTTGCGCCCCCCAGACAGTAATCACTCAAGGAGAGCTGCAAGCTGTGTACGAGGCTCGAACTGTGACTTCAGTAGTTAGGCTTTGAGTAATTTCTTTCTACTCAACTATTGTTGTAAATTAAATCTGTTAGATGCTCTGTTACTGCCCATGTTAGGTTTTACTTGAGGCCGGAGGCCATTTTACTGTGTACTGTTGTATGTTGAAAGCATGCTGCTGGTTGGGATTCTTATGTATGTTATGCAAGTTGAATTTTTGTTGGGTTTGTGCATTTTACAGGGGAGACTCTGCCAAAAGTTTGGTAGAATGTCTCAGTTTTTAGTAAGTGGGCCCAGCATCGGGGTGATGTCGGAAACAAGACGGGATTTGTCCGGGTTTCCGAGGAATTTCAGAGTGGGTCCTGTCATCCATAGCTTCAAACTCGGTAGTAATCTAGTTGATGACGAGTTGAGAGTCGCTATATATGTTGAGTTGTTCGACACCCATGTCTTTGGCCAACGTAAGGCCTACTAAGAGAGCTTTGTATTGGAATTGGAATAGGATAGTGTATTCGATTGTCGTTTGATCGAGGGCCATTAGGACCTGGCCCGCTCTGCTTCCCTACTGGTTGGTTGAGCCATCGACATGTAGTGTCCAAAGAGGGATCTTTGGGTCGATTGGCCCTTCAGTAGGTGGGAGGCTTGGCTCTACCGAGGATGGTTCTGGCAGGAGTTCGTTTGCCGATGGGAGCGTGAATTCGGAGATGAAATCAGCTACGACTTATCCTTTTTCGGCAAGTCTGGGTTGATAATGAACGTCGAACTCGCCGAGCTCGATGGCCCATTTGATTAGTCTCCCAGACATTTCCGATTTCTGCAAGACTTGGCGCAGAGTCTGATTGATGAGTATTGTGACCATGTGAGTCTGGAAATAAGGCCGAAGCTTCTCCAGCCTCGGGTATTGAAGCTCAGCTTCTTGTAAGGAGTGGCTAGTGTAGAAGATTGGAAGCTCAACAATGTTGGCTTTGCGGATCAGCACAGAGCTGATTGCCGTTGTCGAGACCAAAAGGTAGAGGATAAGGCTCTCTCCTGAGAAAGGTTTAGACAGCAGAGGTGCCTTGCTCATGTAGGCCTTGAGGTCTTGGAAGGCTCGGTCACATTTGACGTTCCATGTGATCTACCGTTTGTTACCTTTGAGGGCTTTGAAGAAGGGAGTGCATCGGTCAGTAGCCCTTGATATGAATTGTGCTAAGGCTACGAGGCTCCTAGTGAGGCTCTGAATGTCCATCTGTGTCTTCGGTACTTGCATATTGAGTAACACCTTAATTTTCTCAGGGTTAGCTTCAATACCTTGTTGGCTGATCATGAATCCGAGAAATTTACCAGAGGAGACGCCAAATGCACATTTGTTCGGGTTGAGGCGCATGTTATATTTCTTCAAGACGTCGAACATGAGTGAGAGGTTGTGGAGGTGTTGATCAACAGTTCTGCTTTTGACCAGCATGTCGTCTATGTAGACCTCCATGGAAGTGTCGATGAGTTCAATAAAGGTTGGATGGATATATTATGCTTCTGACTTCTGACCAAGTGATTGATCAACTAAGCAAGGAACCTCCTCTTGACCTAGGTTCTTTCACTTCCTCAGGCTTGAGGATGGTTAAGCTTTGTATGGATATTTTTGTAATTCTTATGGGTTCTAAGTGAAAATGATGCAATTAAATTAAAGATGCGATTAAACTTAAAGACAAGAATTAAAGTGCAATAAAATAGATCAAAGCGATAAACGAACGTAAATTAAACAAAGAACGAAATAAGAACAATTGGAACGATAGACTTAATTAAACTTAATAAAATTTCGATCACAATGAAAAGTAAAGCAATGGAATTAAACTTCAATTTAAAAGACAAGATAATATAAATTGCAAGAAAATAAACTTACACTGAGAAAAGGAAGAACTTGCTACACTAAGTGCTTGAAAAGTAAAATCCTAAGTCTAGGAAAAGAAAAGTGCGAGACGAAAAATAAATTTGTGTGTCTGATGATGTGTGTCTTCTCCCTTCATCTAATATGGTTCATATAAGGGCATTCGTCGGCCCATGGGCTGGCCATTAAATGGCCAAGGGTCAACTTCGTTCAAAATCTTTTCTTGTGAAGCCTCCAAATCTGTGGGATCACATTGATGGAGACCTTCTGATTTCTTGATTCTCTTTTCTTTTAGAATACTTCGGATTGTTGACAATCTCCTTGATTTCTTCCTTGTGAGGCCTCTTCACGTGAATGCAATCATCCGAAAATCTCTAGTTCGAATTCGTGGCTTGGGCTTTGGACCTCCAAGACTTTGACTTGACATCTGGTGAGACATCGTAACTTCTGGAGTTTTGATCTTGGTTGAAACACCCATTGATGTTGTGACTTGGAATTGCTCAAATGAACTTGGAGTTGGGTTCCCACCTCGACTTGAAGTTAGGTTCCGCCCCGACTTAAAATTGGTTTGGAGTTAGATTCCACCCAGACTTGAAGTTGATCGACCCCGACTTGGGGTTGGGTTTGATCCAACTGATCGAAGGACTCAATCTTGGCTAATTGAAGACCTTGACCTTGGCTGATCATAAGACTTGACCTTGGCTGGTCAGAGGACTTGACCTTGGCTGGTCAGAGGACATGATCTTGGCTAATCAGAGACCTTGATCTTGGCTGAACAAAGGCCTTGATCTTGGTTGATCAAAGGACTTGACATTGGCTTATCAAGGGACTTGACCTTGGCTGATCAGAGGACTTGATCTTAGCTGATCAGGGACCTTGATCTTAGCTGATCGAAGGCCTTGATCTTGGTTGATCAGATGACTTACCCTTGGCTGATTAGAGGACTTGACCTTGGCTGATCATAGGACTTGATCTTGGTTGATCGGAAACCTTGATCTTGACTAATCGAAGGCCTTGATCTTGGTAGATTAAAGGACCTGACCTTGGCTGATTAGAGGCCTTGATCTTGGCTGTTCGAAAGACTCAATCTTGGTTGATCAAAGGACTCGATCTCGACTGATCGTAGGACTCGATCTTGGCTGATCGAAGACCTTGATCTTGGCTAATCATAGGACTTGACCTTGGCTGATCAAAGGACTTGACCTTGGTTGATCGAAGGACTTGACCTTGGCTGAATTTTAGACCACAAATAAAAATCCACTTCATAAGTTCCAGATGTTCCGACTTTGGAAGTCAGATCCTTCCAACTCATTGTTGGAAGTTGGGTTTCGACTTCTAAGTTCTTAGTCTGAATTATGGTGGAACATCATGTATCTAAAGCTATAGACTTTATTGAAGATTAAACGACGTGGGGTGAATGATGACCCCTAAGTCCAGCCTTCTTGTTTCGATTTGACCGTTTGGCACCTTGAGCAGCCAATTTGCATTAAGACGCATGGTCGGACTTCGACGAGGCTCAAACAGGAAGCATATTTTGCAATTAAAAAAAAACAAAAGGCAGCAGAATATAGATATCGGTTTATTATTGTTTTTTATTTAAGACTTACCAAGACTACAGCCCACCATAGCCTTGGCTGTAGTTCCGCCTCTACCAAGTAGGTCACTTTAACTTTAAGGGAATAATGTGGGATTTGACCACTCAATTAGATTATTGTTATTTTAGTCTTTTCTTGAAGTATCGTGTTCATCTATTTCGTTGCTAGCAATTAGATGCTTTAATGATTTTCAATTTTTCTGATTTTTTGCAATGATGATCTATGAATGAAGACTTGAAAAATAGACAGTTTGGATTGTTGAAAAAAAAATTCATAGGGTACCCTAAAGGGTGTCTCTCAAATAAAATTATTAGAGGGATCCCTAAATGGAAGAGGTATATATATAGTATAGATATATTAAAGACAATTTTGAAGAAAAAAAAGGAGAGCGCAAGAGAGCAAGTAGAGTACAAGTTCTAATCTAGGGGTTTTCCCCTGATCCCGTTGGGATTTCACAACAATGAAGCGTAGAAGAACGGAGAAGGAGAGATAGAGCAAGAAGGCTTAATCAGGAAGACTTAATCAGGAACAATGAAGACGGTAGGTAGGGTTTTAGTCAATAAACTTTTTGAGATCGTTTTTCTCCAAATCGATTCAACCCTAGGCTAACTCATGCCAGTGGAAAGATTTACCCATGTCCATGTCCCTCTTACTGCTAATTGGGATGGCTCTCGTTGTACTTTTCTAGTTGTTCGAATAAAAGTCTATCACTTGTTATAAAAAATAAAAGGACAATCATTATATGTTGACTTGACAAAAAGTAGACTTAATAATTGTTTTTTTTTAGCAGGACTTAATAGTTTGTTTTGTTTTTCCTTTCTTTCCATGTGATTTGCAAAGACACCTTTTATATATGTTCACGATAGTACTTAAATTAGCAGCTCAATTTGCATCCATACAAAGAGGAGAAAGGCGATGATGCAGATTTTCCCAGAAAGTCTGAGCAAACTATGGAGCTTGTGGGAAATCGACGTAATGGTGGTATTAAGCCTCATCTTACAAGGCATTCTCATAACTTTTGGCAACAAGAGGAAGTACTCAACCAGCAAATGGCTCCGGTTGTTGTGGCTTGCCTACTTGTCCGCAGACTGGGTTGCAACAGTATCCCTCAGCCTCCTTTCCAGCAATTTATCATCAACAAAGCACAAAATGAATACCGCAGATGCAGACGACCAAGACCAGATTCTGACAGCATTTTGGGCCCCGTTTCTTCTGCTTCACCTTGGCGGCCCGGACACCATCACTGCATACTCTTTGGAAGACAATGAGTTGTGGTGGAGGCACTTGCTTGTGCTCCTCGTCCAGGTGTCCCTGGCTGTCTATGTGTTTCTTAGAGCCTGGGCTGGTCAGGCACTTAACCTTCTAACCATTCCAGTGTTTGTTGCTGGGATCATCAAGTTTGCGGAGCGGACTTGGGTTTTGAGGTGTGCAAGCAGTAAGCATTTCAGAGATTCTATGTTCCGTCGTCCTGACCCGGGGCCTGATTACGCCAGATACATGGACGAACTGCGCTCGAAGAAGCACGAAGGGTTCGAGGTTGACATAGAGAGAGTGGATGAGGCTCCCACCATTGGTGATTTTTCCTTTACAGCTCCAAGCATCTTTCCAAATACAGCCAATTTGCAGCATGCCGATGTCTTCTTCAACATTTTCAAAAAGCTATTTGCAGATCTCATCCTCAGCATCCATGATATCTTGAAAAGCAAATCCTTCTTCCAGAACAGATCCTACTATGAAGCTTTCAAAGTGATTGAGATTGAGCTTGGGTTCATGTATGATTTGTTTTATACAAAGGCTGTCCTGTATAGTCTCAACGGTGCCATTCTTCGTTTTACCAGTTCTGTTTCCATCATTTCCGTCTCTGTCGCCTTCCTCGTCATGATCGAGAAGCAAGATTATTCAGCAAGAAGTATAATTATTACTTATATGTTGCTGGCTGGTGCTATCATCCTCGATCTCTATGCTGTGATTTTATTTCTACGGTCAGATTGGGCAGTGCTATGGTTTTGTAAGCACAAGACAGCAGCACATTTGTTGTATCCAGTGATTTCACATATGTCGTTCGCTGAAAACAAAAGGTGGTCTAATGAAATTACACAATACAACTTAATTTTGATCTGCTGCGAAGATAAGCCGGCCAAGTACAGGTTCCTCCAAAAGGTCCCCGGGATATGCAGAAAATTAAAGAAATCAGTTGAAGTCCCTAGAGAGTTGAAAGAACTGATATTTCTGCAGCTGTTAAAGAAATCAACATGTGCCCCAAACTCTGAGGGTTACAAGGAGTTAAGGGATCGTAGGGTCGAGTGGGTTCTTCAAAATGAGAATTGTATCGAAAAACTTGGCTGGAGCATTGGAGAAGAATTTGATCTCAGCGTTCTTCTTTGGCATATTGCAACGCAACTCTGTTATTACTCTGATCGTGATCAGGACAAATACCCAAACTCTTTCCCCGATCCTAATTGTGAAGCCAGCAAGTTGTTGTCCGAGTATATGTTGTATCTCCTAGTCAAGCGTCCCTCCATGCTGCCTAATGGGATCGGACAAATCAGGTTCAAGGACACATGCTCCGAAGCCACGGAATTCTTCAAACAAAGAAAATGCCAAAGATCAGAACAAGACCGGGCTTGCAAAAAACTACTCGAGGTGAACAGTGATGAGATCCTTCCAGCTGAAGTAAAAGGGGATGAAAGCAAGTCAGTGCTATTTGATGCGTGCAAGCTTGCTAAAGATTTGGAGTCGCTGGAAACAAAGGAAAATTGGGAGAATCAGAAGAAGTGGCAGTTGATCAGCCATGTGTGGGTGGAAATGCTATCTTATGCTGCCAGCCATTGTCGATGGAATCATCACGCTGTGCAACTCAGGAGCGGAGGAGAGCTGCTCACTCATGTCTGGCTTCTCATGGCACATCTTGGTTTAACTGAACAACTTCAAACTTTCGAACTTCAAAAGGCCATAGTATTGAATGTGCGGTGAAAATGATATATAGGCACCAAAATATTTTCCAAAATCAAATTGGATAGCAGCAACATATGAAAAAATAAATACATAAATATCTAGTAATGGACATGTCTCATTCTCTTTTTCTATGTTGCTTTTAAGTAAAGTAGCCTTATGTTTTGCTCTTGATGAATTTTAAAAAATGTTGATCAGTCCGTAACCGATCAAGAACCCACTGCCAGGGCCGGTCTTGAGATTTTAGGGGCTTTGTGCAAAATTTAAACTGAAGCTCTCATATAATCTAACACAAACTTACACTGTAGCATACAACAATTTTATTTTTTTTTAAGTAAAAAGCCATCATCAATTAGTATGCAAATCACAAATCAAATTTATAATTTGAAGCAATTAAAGGACAATTCTCAATTTCTGTCAAATTTGTTTAACTTAATGTTGTTTGTTGAGGAGCAATTCAATCCACGAATTATTAAAAAATTAATTCCTTTAAAAAATAAAATATATATAAATATAAATAATAAAAACTTAGTTTCAAAATAAAATAAAACATCTATGTCCCATTCTCCTCCCAACCGCAACCCCCACCAACGTCCCCACTCAACGAGAAATTATACAATAGTACAAATATACCATGTCAGCTTATAGTACTCCCACTTAAATATTGCCATGTGTTCATTTTTAAAATTAAATGATTTACTTTTTTACAGCTATGCTTCTCAATTTTTATATTTTGAAATAGAATTAGAAAAATAAAAGACTTGATAAAAAAAAAGAGTATTGCCCCAACAGCAGCACCAACCCAACCCAACGAACCTAATCTCTAGTACCTGCCATGACCGCCGTCCCTCTCCCTTCCTCTTTCTCTTTATCCCTTATACTAATTTTACGCAGTGGGGTTGGGTTTAGAGGGAGGATGATTAAACTGGTATTGATGATAATAGTTGGGAAGTAGTCTTGATAATTAAAAATAGTTCATGCTTGGGTAATCAGGATCGGCCAGTGGCAATCTAAGAAAGGTCTAGGTCTGAGAGAAATAAGAGAAAGGTGTAGGGGCACTATATGGAAGATAACGATATTGTTTAAAAGAGGAAGAGAGAAGGGGAGGAAGAGAAAGAGAGAAGGGGAAGAGAGAGGGGTGGCCGCTGACAGTGGCAGTTGTGAAGAGGAAGAGAGAAAGGGAAGAAGAGAGAGGAAAAGAGGAAGAGAGAGGGGTGGCAGCTATGGTACTTTTTAATTTATTTTTATTTTTCTAATTCTATTTCAAAATATGAAAATTAAGTAAAAGTCCAACTGCGAAAAGCAAATCATTTCTTTTTTAAATTGGACAAATGGCAATATTTGAGTGAAAGTATCACAAGATGACGTGATATAACCGTACTATTGTATAATTTCTCCCACTCAACCTCAGCCAACCACCACCTCCATATAACCCAACTTAAATTAGTTGCAAAATAATTTAAAAAATTAGTTTCAAAATAAAATAAAATAAAACATCTCTTATCATATGCTATTGGCACAAGGGTGATGGGAAAGAATAAGAGTGGCACCTCCATGATCGTGAGACCTCTTTACAATTAATCATCGTTGCCTGCAAGTGCAAATTGGAAATTTGAACAAACTCTTTATGTTGAGGAAGAATAAAGAATAATTATATTTGCCTTTCGTCACTGCATGCAAGTGCCAATTATAAGGAGGTGGTGGCTGGCTAGGGTGGGGTTGGGAGGTTACGGGGGAAGAGAGATATTTTATTTTTATTTTAAAACTATTTTTTTAAATTTATATTTGTATGGTTTATTTTAAAAGGAATTAACTTTTTAATAATTTGTGGACGGAATTGCCCCTCCACAAATAACTGAAATTGAGAATTGTCCTTGAATTGCTTCAAATTGAAACCACAGGGATAAAAATGACCAAATTGAAACCACATGGACCTCAGTGGTAAAAGTGATAAACCACAGGGACCAAAAGTGACATATGCATCTTACCAAAAAATCTTGGCAAAAACAATTGAAAAACAAATCTTGTCATATGAATCTTACCCAAAAAAATTTCGTGTAATTTGAATCTCAATTTCCATTAAAATTATCAAAGATTTTTATTTATTTTTAAATAGTCTGATCTAATGTTATCCGGAGCATCACCAAACACAGTATAACTTAGTTAGACTATTTATCCGAAACAACACCAAACGCCTTATAATATTATGGATAAATAGTCAATACTCTCTGGAATAGATTAATACTATCCGACGGAAATTAGTCAGTACAGTCCGACGTACCAAACGAGCTTTATGTTATATTTGCTCGTAATGTTGTTTGATTTGTAAAATTTTATTTACATTTTTGTTTCAAGAGAAAAAATGCTTATAATATATCTCCTCCAAAAAAATATTATTTAGCATACCCCCGTAAAAGTTCCTGGGTCCTCCTTGCCACAACCACTGGTAACCCCGCATTGGCAGGTCCTTTTGTCTATACATACTAAGTTTTCTTCCAAATTAGGACCCCTGCAAAATTGCAAATAGTTAATGTCTTTCGGTTTCCATTATAGAAAAGCTTGGCTGTGATAAAGTGCCTGCTTATCTTCACTGATATTTGGTTGAAATGGCCGTTGCATCCATCGCCTGTTGGATCCTGTTTGCTATTTACGTGGTTGCAATTGCTGCATCTGAAATTACTTTCAGATACTTGAACGCCAAGTACAAGTGGATTAGAAGAGAATCCAGATTATTAACTGCTCTTCTTGAAGATTTTGACCATGTTTCGCGATCGCGGAACGAAATAATACAGAAAGCCAATCATCAGCTTTTGGATCCCCAACTCATCCAAGCTGGGATGACTGCACGAGTTCTGAATGAATGGGAGGAAGGCTGGATGAACAAAGCAAGAGAAGTAGCCTCCGAGGCAACTCGGTGTGTTCGAATACTGGGAAACAGAAGAACCTCTCCCAAGTGGTTTGTTTTAATCTCAACTGATCTGGTACCGATGCTTCAGCTGGCCCTTCGGATGAAGGCCCTCAATCATTTCCTTGGGAAGAAGAAACTCGACGTTGACCCCGGGATAAACCCACTCAATAGTCTCCTCTGGAAGAAGAAAATAAGTGCCAGCGACATCTGCAGATCACTGGAGCAGTCCAGGTCATGGGTTAGTAGCCTGCAGAACAGATCTGTGGTTGGTGAGATGTTGGAGCAGTCCACGCCCTGGCCCGGGCCACCTGTTAGCTTAAGAGCTGAGGAATTGATCTCCTCTATAAAGAACCTGATCGCTGAAAACCCGGAATTCGTCAACTCCAGTACCACAATGCATTTAGAGCTGCTGCATGCTTTTATGAAAGATTTGCAACCCCTCAGACTGGAAACTGAAATGGAGAAGTCCTGGGTGGTGGAAGCAAACGAGACCATCGACGAAGCAAACGAGGCCATTCACACCATAAACATTACAGCAGCAGATCAGAGAAGTTGGTGGCTTTCAGTTGTAGGGATAGGCGGAAGCTTAAGGAGGTCATCCTCCGCGTCGGGACCTGGATCTCTGACCTCCTAGAAAAAAAGGAAAGATATGGTTTTAAATTTGTCAGACGACAATCCTCAAAATTATCTGCCAACCGGTTTCCTCAACAGCGAAGCTTCAAGTATCAGACTACAGATGATATGGATGCGGTGAACAACATTCGTAACTGGCTGAATCAACTGGCAAAAACAAGCGATGAATTAGTATCTCACGTCAGCGCACTGAGCGAGGAGTTGGAGCAGATGCATACATTTCTCAAACATACGAAAGCAACTGAAGATTATGCTATTAATTTAAGAAATGCTTGCTTGGAGCAATTGAAGAAACTGGTTCCTGAAGCAGATCAGCAGTCCTCAAACGTCCCCAATAATGAAGGTTCAGGGTCCAAGCTTCTCTCAAAAATTACCCGGATCAATTACACTGTGAATGTTCTTCAAAGATGCGTACAAGCGTATTCCATTGAGGCAAGACAGGAGCTATGCTCAGTTGTTGGTTTGGAGGAAGACATACATGAACTGGTCAAGAGACTGGCTGATAATGGTGAACAGTGTCGTCCTATCATTTCCATTGTGGGGATGAAGGGTGTTGGTAAGACCACTCTGGCGAAGAAAGTTTATTACCATAGTACTATGGCAAACCATTTTGAAATCCGTCGTTGGGTGACCCTGCCTGATGCTGATCAAGATTCTGATGTAAATGCACTTTTGGCAAGTGTTGGAAGCCAGGTCTTGGAGAACCAAGAGAAAGGGGATGGAAAAGAACACTGGATCAATAAATTGCATGGTTTCTTGGAGCCAAAGAGATACCTTGTAATTCTGGATGGAGTCTTGTCAATCCAAGCCATGCATGCTCTCAAAGCAGCATTCCCAAAAGTGGCAAACGGGAGCAGAATTTTGCTCACCACGCGGAAAAAGGCCATTGCTTCAGCTGCTGACCAAAATAGCATTCCCCACCAGCTTCGTCTGAGAACCAAAGAAGAGAGCTGGGAGCTCTTCACCCAGATGGTGCATTGTCCTCCGGAACTTGAAGCTCTCGGCAAGAAAGTTGTAGGAAGAGGTGGAGGCTTACCACTTGTCATCTTACGCATTGGGTATCCACTGTCCGGGAAAAAAGTGACATCTGAGGAATTAGAGGTGCTAGAGGGCATCACTCAGCAGGAACAGAACCAGAAACCATGGTTAGAGAACCTGGAAGTGAATAAAGAGGATTTGCAATCACACCAAATTCTTGGTAAATGTTTTTCTTACTTCCAACTCTTTTCTGGGAATTTTGAAATCCCTGCGAGGAGAATAGTCACTTCATGGGTTGCACAAGGACTGGCACAAGTAAGCGGAGGTGGGAAAACATTAAATACTCTTGAAAATGTTGTATATGAGTATCTATTGGAGTTGATTGGTCGTAATGTGATTCAAGTAGTTCAAAAAAATCTTGATGGGAAGGTGAAGACATGTTGCTTGCCTACTGCTCTGCGAGATCTCATGTTGCAAGGGGAAGGCAATAGCAGCAAAGCTACCAGTTTAAGCGGCCAACTTGCCTTTCATTTCAATGATAAGGATGCCCGTTTCCATAGTGGTGTCAACGCAAATTCCCCAATGGTTATGCAAAATGAAAGCCAACAACATTCCATTCTCCTCTTTGATAGTCAAGAAGGAAATAAGCCCCGAGAGGAAATAGGCGAGTTTCTTCACAGTGGCATTACTGGTGGTTTCTTTGGACAGCTACAGGTTCTTGACCTTGAACGTGTATGCATGCCTGAAATTCCTAAGGCCATTGGAAAATTAAGGCAGTTAGCATATCTGGGGTTAAGGTGGACATACCTATCGGCGATCCCAGAATCGATAGGCAATTTGGTTAACCTCCTAACACTAGATTTGAAGCATACTTATGTTCGAATTCTCCCTAGTTCAGTTCGGAAATTGAAGAAACTTCGGCATCTCTACTTGAATCAGAATATTCAAATGTCTGCACCAACTTCCCTTCCCTTGAGCAATTTGCAGACATTATCAGGTGTATTTGTAGGTATGGACAAGCTTGTGAAAGACCGGCGGGACAAGTTGATCAACCTTCGAAAACTGGGGTTGACAATCCAGTTAGCACAACCAGAGCAAAAGGTATTGGCAAAATGGATTATGCAGCTGACCAAATTGCAGTCTTTGAAGTTGGCATCGCTTAATGAGAAGAGTGCACCTCAGCTTCTGAAATTAAAACCTCTGTCAAAACTTGAGAAACTCTCCAGCCTATATTTGTTGGGAAGGCTTGAAAACCCTGCATCCATCATAGGTCAACTCCCAGCAAGTCTCACTCATCTTACCTTATCGGCCTCTGGGATCCAAGAAGACCCGATGCCAATGTTAGGGAAGCTTCCAAACCTTAAATCGCTGAATTTGTACTCTGGTTCGTATGAAGGACCAAACATGGTTTGCTCCATGGATGCCTTTCCCCTGCTTTTGGTTCTGAAGCTTCGGAATCTAGATACTGTGAAAAAATTGGATGTGCAAGAAGGAGCAATGCGAAACCTTAGGGAGTTAGAGATTAAATCCTGCAGGAACTTGACAATCACTACTGGATTGACACACTTAAAGATCCTCCAGACATATGAAGTTAACTGATATGCCTTCGAAATACGAATGTGATATTCAAAACGGCTTTGCAGCAGCTGTGACACAATGTGCCGACACAACACTCTCCTCTAATGGAAATAGATACTTGGTCTTTGTTTGCAATTCGTCTTTTGTGTTTTCTTCAGTTTTTCACTTTTTTATTTCAATTTCGGTTGAGCAAATTGTAAGATGAATGACGTTTGTGATGAACTTGTGATTCCACATTTTGGCTCTCCATGAACAAACGTTCTTGTTTTATGTCATACTGATTTCATGTGAAAGATGAGATTAACTCATTAGGGTTTTCTTTATTTTCTATCCGTTGTTTGCGCTCTTCTCCTAGATACTCTGCATGTATTTTATTCTCCATTCAACAAGATAGACAACTTAGGATAACCATGGCGATAAAAGTTCGTAGGCAGTTGAGCAGTTACAAGACAATTTTGCTGTGAAGCGGTTACAAGACAATTTTGCTGTGAAGCGGTTACAGGACAGTTTTGCAGTGGAACAGTTACCAATTGGTTGTGACATTGCAGTTGGCGTTCTTTTCATTCATCCCAATCGGTGCAACATTTGTTATTTGTCTACTGGCCTAAGTTTTGCATGTTAGTTGTTGTTGATGAGCCAACTTTATAGTGGTACTCTTTTTCTTTAATCAGATTTTTCTCTATTTGGGAGTTTTTTAATGCAAAGTTTTAACAAGGCCACTATTGCTCCATCACTGGACTCCACTGGAATCTTTTTTAATCCATCATGTATTATTTTGGGCAGTAGTTTTCTTTTTCTTTTTCATTGTTTCCTTATGATTGTTTTAGGCCGCGAATCTTTTCAAGATTACACTCTAGTTCCTGACATTCATGTTGGATTTCAGATGTTTTCATCCTATCCGTTGCGTACTCTTATACTGTTTTTATAAAGCATCTCTTCTAACAAAAACAAAAAACAAGCAGTTAAACAAAACATTAATAAAAGTTTGTGCAGTAGAGTAGCTTTGATGTATCAGAAACATTGAGCATTACCAATTGAAGTTGAAGAACAAGTGCACGTTATATATGGCTCTTGGATTCTGACAAAAGTAAAATCAGATAAGGTATCCAGATGGGGTTCCATACATGCATCAGTCCATTTCATCTGCCCAGTTTTTCTTGTTTCTTGTATCTTTTCATGTCTAATCTTTACAATGGTGGCTTTTCTTGGGGTCCCCCCCCCATTCATCTTGTCCCTAGTTCTTGGTTTAAAGATGACTCTGGTGACTTTTGGTTGTGGATTTTCCATTCATGCCATGGTCAAGTTAAAAAGCATGGCATTTATATTAGGTAACACTTCCCTCATTCACCTGTAAGTAGGAATTCTTACATTCCTACCAATTACAGTAGAAGCTCTTTTACTTTACATGTATATATATGCATACAATATGTATTTCGTATGTACAGCCTGATTATGTTACGATTAACTACAGTGGGGTTTGTGATTTTGCTGGTTGACTGTAAAGGAAATTGTGATTCTCATTAATTAATTGAGAAAGGATTACAGAAGAGTATTTAACACCTGTCTACTCTATACAATAGATAAAGCCACCTGTACAGGCTGTTACAACAGCTCTAACTAATTACTTACAAGAGTAACTAATAACAAACTAATCTAATCAGCTAACTACACTCTTTAGACTGACTCCCATGTGTATATTCACAGTCCGATTACCACCTACCATACCTACCAATTTGACTACGTAGTAGTGCTCTTTTCGCCATTACTTCGTTGCATTATTACACTTCTGTTCTTTTCCCTATAACCCCACTGCATCATTACTCTTTTGTTATTTTCCATTGCATTATTACAAGATATTTTCTCATTCCAAGGTCTTTATTTGTTGTTCTTCCTTGGACCTTGACTGCTCCAGTGATCCATGGATGTCGGCACACGGTTTCTTCTGGAGAGCTTTAGGGCCCGTTCAATAACGTTTTTGGAGAATGTTTTCTGAGAATATTTTATGAGAATGAAAATGAGAAAACGTATTTGCATTTTCAGGATTCGAAAATGCGTCTGGTAAATTAATTGGAAAACATATTCAGAAAATATAAATAGTGAAACGTGTCTGGTATGACAATTTGATAATAATAATATGTGAGTTATTTTTCATATTTTTTGCTAATTTCTGTCCTAATTTTTTTTTTTTTAATTCTGATATTTTAAAGGCTAAAATTATTACAAACAATAAAAAATGTATTCTTTGGGAATAATAATGTATAATAAAAATTCTAATTTTAGAAAAACCTAGATAATAAAATAATATTATTTTTAGTTTAAAATAAATATTTAAAAATAAACATGAAATTGAATAATGTATGATGGTTTTATCATAAAATTAATATACACTGGTGTAGCAAAATAATGAAGTGGAAAGAAAAAAAAAACAGAAAATTCACAAAAAAAATGACAAATTAAAAAAATTAAAAAGAAAAAAAAAAAAAAAAAAAAAAAAAAAAAAAAAGAAAAAAAAAGAAATCAAACCAATACATTGGGTAGAAAATGAAAATGATAATTTGGTGTTTTCAGTTTTTGTACATGAGTTTGAATTTATTTTCATAAAACAATTTCAGAGAAAATGAAAACAACAATAAGGGCCACTTCACCAAATGGAGAACAAAATACATCTCTGGCAGATAAATGAAAAAGAAAACCAACAACATTAGTATTTTTCTTACTTCTGCTTTTTTTTTTTGGTTCACGTGTGTTGATGAGAAGGTCTACAATAATTTTACACTTAATTATTGATAATTAAAATTTTTATCTCGTTTACTTGATAATTAAAAATTTTAATTTTACGCCAGCTCTTATTTTAATTGTATTGTTCACACATCTAGTTTTATTGTTTAATACATCTAGGTCTTTGTGACTAGATCAAACTTTAATTTCGTAATATATAATATCATCCACATGCATTCAATAGCTGCAATATTTTGACCTAAAATAAAATAAAATTAATATCACACAACTTGCCCCAATAGCTTCCATCGACTCTTATGATTTTACCTACTTAATTACCATACACAAATATTATATTTTCTGATCTATATACAAGAAAAATATTTTACTTTCTGAATCATGTGTTCCAATTAATCATAGTAATTAGTATATATTTTTTAGGCTGCCAAAGATCTGATTTATATTAAGTTAGTGTGTGGATCCTTGGTTATTAGAAAAATCTTCTGACAAAAGTAAAATAAAAAATAAAAAAGAGAGTATGACTTTGTAAATTTATTGTATGAAAAAACTCAGTTCAGGCGAATAAATGAAGAAATTTTCTTGGAAAAAAATTGAAGAAATGAAGAAATTTGTGAATTCGAAAGCCAAGGTTGCATTGCATGCAGGCATGTTAGAGTAATGGGCTTCAAAAGAATAAGGGCCCATTTAGTCATATTGGGCTTCAAAAGAATAATAGGGACTTTGAAGCAATAATACAGCTCGACCCACCATGACATCTCAAATTATTAAATTTGAATCACTCTCTCAAATTATCAAATTTGAATCAAACTCTCCAAAGTGAGTCATTCTATAGTGAGCACCTTGTATACAGCCTTTAGGTAAGGTTCTATACCTTAATTGTTGGATTATTATACTAATCAATTTAATCCAACGACTAACTAATTTGATCCAAAGTTTAAGAGATATGGCATCTCATCTACGACCCTAAGGGCCATATATAAGGCCCTCGTTATAGAATTCTTGCTCTCAAAGCATACTTTCCTTTCCTATTTGTTAAGGCTCAAAATGTTTAAAATACAGAGGCAAATAAGTCTCGTATGCATTTCTATTTTATATAAATCACAATATTACATATATGCAAACATAATTTATCAAAGACACAAAAAGAAAAATATTTACACACATATCAAAACTACGATTGGCAGGAAAATAGGAGTCCTACTTCTAGAAAGGAGACAAGTAATTTCCTTTTAAAATTTGAAGTCTTTGTTCAGTTCACATGCGACAATACCTAACGGGTCTATCAGGCCAAGCCATTCAATGATTTTGCATATATGAGGGAGGAACGTTATGTTGAGAACTTAAAAGAGGGTGTACTGAGGGGTTCAATTCAGCAGTCAGATGATAACATTTCATGATGAGAGATGAGCAAGTATGTTTTTTTTTTTTTTTTTTTTTTTTTTTTTTTTTTTTTCCTTTGCTGAAATTAGTAAATTACTAACGGAGGGCAAGGGAGGCCGTCGTTTCTGAGAGAACTCCGAGCAGAGAAGCAGGCAGGTGAGAAACCCAAAAAGAAACGCACTTTCCCCTTGCAGGATTTGAATGCTTAAATTTTATTTTTAACTAGTTGCCCATGCGTTCCAGGTTCAGAAAATTCCCACACAGCTAACTTGGTTGCTACAAATTATAGCCACAGAGGGGTTTATAGAGCAACTCTGGGAATTATGTTGAGTGATGCTGACAGAGAACAATGCAAGTAACTTCTACTAGAAAGGTTAGAAATTCACAAGAACATAACTGAGTTTTATTTGAATTCAAATTCTGATATTATAATATTCTTCAGATGAAATGAAACAATCCTTGAACACTAGCATTATTTTACATCCATAATTTTCAATGATCTCATATCATAAAGCACAGCATTGTCAATAAACAAGTAGAAAAACAAATCCCAAAACCTCCTGAAGATAGAATCTCATCACAACCCCAATTTATCTGTGGTATTTTGATCCAGTGCTTTGTTGCTACCTGTAGTGACAATAAATATTACTTTGTCAGTAAACTAGAACATGCTTCATGTAAGAAAACAAACCAACTGTACTGTACCCAATATTTATATACAAATATGCATCCCTAACTAAAACCTTATTTGCAAAAGAGTCATTTTTTAGGATACCACTAGATATCTGTCAACAGGACTTAACTTAATTATCCCATTTTATAGGAGTCATAAGTTATCTGTCAAAATCAACAACACTCAAAGCTGAAGGTTAGAGCCAAACCCCTCCCATGATCATTGGAAAACCCTCTCAGAGGCACTGATACATCTCCACACAAATGTCAAAACTCATTTGTCATAAGATGATGCAGAAATTCACTTGTGTAGATCTTAGTTAAAAACCATCGCGTGTAGACATACTTGTGTCCAAATATTACTATGCATATCCCATCAAACTTCTGTTAGATGCAGTTCTCATATTAGCTAAACTACCATTTTTTTAAGTTTAATACATGGCAAACATGTGACATTAGTTCAGTGAAATGCTTCAGAAACCAAGCAGCTAGCATATGTATCAATGCTATAAAACACACAGCATATAGACGTGGCTTCCAACGGATATACACAAAAATAAAGTAGGCAGTTTAAAATCATATTCCTGATTTGTTTATGCATGGAAATGCAGAAGCAACATAATTTTTTGTATATAAATAATAACAAAAAAGACATACCATGAGTTCATGAGTGGAAGCTTATGATTTATTCCTCTGACTCCCAATTGATTGGAATGATTTTTGGGGGGTGGTTAATGCCAACCCAAACTTGCCTCATTGTTTCTGTGATTGTTGTAACAAATACTTCTGGCATATTTGTTAGCTTCAATTCAGTGAGGGTTTTTAAGTGTCCCAACCCACTTGGGGCATTCAATTTTTTGCAAGATCTAATTTCCAACTCCCTGAGATTTTGCATTGCCTTTCCTTCAACATCCCAATCTTCTAGTTCTAGCATCCACAACTTTAAAACTACAAGCTTTTCAAACCCCCAGTTGGAGCAAACCATCTTGTTACCGGTATAAGACTTGGAATGGAAACAAAGTGATTTAAGGTTTTGGAGCTTCTCTAACTTCGGCATTGGATCTTCTTGAAGACAAGAGGCTGACAAAGTAAGATCAGTGAGGTTCTTAGGTAATTCAGGTATGATGGAGGGAACTAGCTTTCCAAACAAATTTAGGCTAGAGAGATTCTCAAGTGCTGACAAAGATTCCAACGCTAGAGCATGAGGTTCACCCAATTCATCAATTGATCTCAATCTTAGAGATTGAAGGTGCTTCAGCTTTAGAATCCCGTCTGCTAACGCCTTTTGATCTTCCTTCTCTAACTGGAATGCCAATCCTAATTTTCTGAGACTGGTAAACTTGTCCAACCCATCCTTCAGAGGACTATCCTTATCCACAAATACACCCCACAGTGTCTGGAGTTTCTTCAAGGAACTGCGACGTCCTTGTTGACGAATAAGTTTACTTCGGTAATTCTGGCTTAAGTATAGGTGTCGAAGTTCCTGTAGTTTCCATATGGAATGGGGGAGAGTGCGGACATATGTATGCTTCACATCCAAGGTTTGGAGGTTCAGCAAATTACCAATGGAAGTAGGGATTGATTCAAGGTAAGTCCACCTCAAGCCTAGATACCTCAACTTGCTTAATTTCCCAATGGTTTTGGGCAATTCAGGTCTGAATACACGTTCAAGATCAAGAACCTGTAGAAGCTGGAAGAAACCACCTGCAATGCCCTTTCGTAGAAAGTTGCCTATTTCTTCTCCAGGCTTATATCCTTCTCCAGAATCAAAGGAGAGAATAGAGATGAGTTTTTTGTATGAGTCTGGAAAATCTGAGCTGTCACTATGAATAAGACAAAAACTTGGATCATAAGAGTTTAAGTGATCAGCAAGTCGCCTCTGATCTAACGTCATAGATTTGGACCTGATCGGTTCTTGTAAATCTTTGTGCAAGCAACATGTCTTGACTCTCCCATTCACCTTTCTTTCAACTACTTGAACAATGTCCCGATCAATTAACTCCGATAAATACGTGTTTGCCACATCTTCATATTCTGTCGCCTTATCCCTTACGTGTGCCACATCTTCATAAGGTTCTGTCGTCTTATCCCTTACGTCTACCAAACCTTCTGCAATCCACATAGCAATTAATCTCCTCGTTGGAATTTTGAAATCCCTTGGGAAGACTTTGAAGCAAGAAAGACAATGGGATAGATGAGGAGGTAACTTATCCGCACACCGTATGGTGTAGGTACGAATCGATGCTGTATCATTCTGGTTGATGTATTGGATCACCCTTTTCAACTCTTGAGCAGTATTCTCATCTTTCCCTAACATTAGACATATGATGGCTAATGGTGAACCCTTATATTTACTCAAAATTTCTTTTGCAAGCATTTTCCATTTTGGAGGGAAGTGCACCGCCTGGTTGAACAACTGCCAGCTCTCTTCTCTGGTTAGCGGTCGAAGCTGGTGGGGAGGGTTGTCGCTGTCGACTTGTGAAGCCAACTTGTGGTTGCGTGTAGTGAGCAGAATTCTGCTCCCACTTGATGTAGTTACTGGAAATGCTGCTTTCAGAGTATTCCACTCTACCATTGTGGAGATGTTGTCAATAACTAAAAGGCACCGCTCAGCTTTTAAGATATTATGTGCCTCGTTGATCCTGCTGGATGCATTCTGATTGATCTCTTGGCGCCCTTCTGGTTTAAGAGACCTCAAGACCTGCTTTGCTACACCTTCCAAAATCAGCTGTTCTTTGTTATTAGAGTCGCCGTGAGGTAGAGAAACCCATGCACGGCAGGGAAAATGGTCCACAACAACTCCATGGTTATAAATTTTCTTTGCCAGTGTTGTCTTACCTATTCCCTCAACCCCCACAACTGAAATAACAGAGTGATGTTCATTGTTGGTTGTCAGCTGTGACACCACTGCCAACACGTCTTCTTCCAAACCAACCACTGAGCTTGACTCTTCGGTCAATTCAATGGTGTATGCTTTTATGCATCTTAGAAAAATATCAATTGTACGATTGATTTGGTCAATTTCATGAAAAAGCTTCATCCCATCTCTTGTTTTCGAAGTGTCTGAATCCTTCACGAATTTTTTCACAGATTTTTCTGCCCTTAGAACAATTTTCTTCATTTGCTCCAACCCAGCTTTTCTGGAATTATATCTGCTTCTAATTTTTCCAGCATCATCTAGAAGTTTAGGCATCTTTTCCAATTTATTGCATAGCCATTTGACATGAAAATATACCTCAAACACCGATGACTCCAGGTGCTGTCGCAAACTGTCTAGTACAGGTGAAACAAATTCGCCAGCAGTGGTGCGGTAGGAGGGTTGATAGACAAACTTTGATGAATCTCTGCTTATAAATCTGAAGCCATATCTATCTTTTTTTTCTAATAGGTCTGAAAACCCAACTTCAATGCACCTTATGTTCTGTTTGAGATTCCTCCATGCCTTCCAACTGCCAGCAACTGATAACAACGGAGGCCTCTGTGAGAAGTTTTCAATGGCAGGATGTGCTTCATTAATGATCTCTTCCAGTTCTTCCACCCACGCCTTTTCAGTTTCGCTCTCAAACTGAAGTCCTTCTATATCCTTCAGAAAAGGATGCAGTAGCAGCAACTGCAGATTTATTGCCTTTATTTTCTCTCCAGTATCACGCATTAAGACTGGGTCTTGAATTATCAGCCTTTTTATTTTCTCTGATGTAGAGAAAGTCAAATCAGCTGGTGAGGCAGCTCCTCCTTTGGAATTTAGTACCCATCTATGCTCTTGTTCTTCAACAGATCTGTCCCGAAGGCTTCTAATGTCAGACCTCAATCTCTCTAGTGATTCGCATATGTTAATCCCACACACCTTCTTCTCAATGATGTTTTTTATCTCCTCTTTAACCCGGTTAGTTTCACTGGAAAGCTCTCCCATCTGGCTGAGATTCTTCCTGATTGTAGCAAAACTTATTATGTGGGAGTCCCTTCTGTGTTTCTCAAAGGTTTCAACCAAATATTTTGCTCTTCGAACAATGGATTTGGCTTGCTCAACCCATGCCAACTCGGTTTTATCCAGCCCTTCTATAGTTGCTCCAACAGAGTAGTGGTCAGATTCCCAGATTTGACAGGCTCTGGTGTTTATCTCTTCTGTTAACTCCATTACTTTTGCTGCATCCTCTGAAATAGCATGCAGTAACCTCGATTCTCTTCTGATCCGCTTGATATCTTCCTCCAAGTAGAGAAATGGCTCATAGTTGATGTAGAAGTAGATAGAAAGTATTAGTGGGACAAGAGTGACGGGGAAGAGCACATGGTACAGTGATATTTGAAACAAATAACGGCAAAGAAGAAATACAGCAAATAGGACATGAAACTGAGTGCTGTGAAGAATGGAATCAATAATCAATGCTGAGGGCTTGGTTGCTCCTTCCCTCTGGTATGCCAAACCGAGCATAAACACAAACATCGAGAAATATTGATGATCATCAGACGCTGGATTTTCAGTTCCACTGCGATCCTTCGTAATCATCTGCGGCTGAGCAGCAGGTATCTTCATATCTTTCCACTCCATCGTCCGTGTGGATTCGAATAGCTGAGCACCAACTGTTGCTGCATTGTTCCATACAATGGTGGTTTCCATGTTTAGCTGTCTTGGCAGCCTTGGATTTTTTGTTTAATTCTTGGCAGCTTTGGTTCAAAGAAACCAAGTTGCCCAATTTGCAGTGTGCTGAAACATGTTTAGCTGTTTTTACTTTAATTAAAATTGATTTGTATAACGTTAAATATCACTCAATTACAATACCCTGTGGTTAGAAAATATATAGTCATTTTTTAACATTTTTCAATGAAGTTGTAGCTTCTATTACGCCAAAACAGTCTTTCAAAAATAATTGATTGCAGTTGCAGAGAAGAGTCTTTGAATAATTCAGGAACTTGGTGATGCCATTGCCTGCTTGCCGCGGTGTGCCATGTTCGTTTAATCAGTCAATTTTATTTATTAATTAATTCAGCATTATTGTTAATTTATACAATGATTTGTCAGATTATCATGGAACATGGTTTTGATATTATGTTAACAAGTTCAAACACTGACTTTTAATATTAATCATTGTTTAGCTCTGAATTCAAACTCAAATTATTTGGTGAGAAGTCTCTCTCAATTTAACAAATGAACTGGAATGATGAATTGAACAAACTTATGGGAAAAACAAAAAGAAAGACTTAGAGGTCAATGAGCTCCCAAATGTCTTACGGGAATAAAATATATATATATATATATATAAATTATCTAGGTAAGAAGTTTTTTTTTTCTTTTAGACTAGAAAACGTTAAGTCTCAACTCTAAATAATAATTCTAAAGCCTAAAATAATCAATAAATAGAATTAAGTTGAAGTAAATTGAGAAAAAGTGAGGTTTTCTCAACGCGTTTTAAACGTCTTGCAAAATTAGTCGAATTGGTATATATATCCCACATTAGCCCGCCGCAACCTCCACTGCACCACCTTAATTGCCGTACTCTCAAACTTCTTCATCCAAATGCACCGTAACATATTTGAATTTCTGTATTTTTTTGTTTTAGGTGCTGATTTTCACAATTCCATGTGTACATTTCTTATCCTATTCTTATGCTTTGATAATTGAATAGAAACATTGAGGTGATAGCAAGAATGTAATGGGAAAGAGTGTGAAAATGTACAATACGAGTGTGAAAATTGCCAATTAAAAAAAATTACAACATGATGGCCCTGGACCTACAAACACCCAAAACATCCTCAGCCAAAAGAATTAAAATAGAGATGGGAGGGGAAGACGAAGATTCTCTAGAACATGATCACACTTCTGCCCCAATCGAACGTGTTGCTTCAGAGATAAGACCACCGTCAACATTTCACCAAATTCGATTTCTTGGTGAACAAGAAATCACCAAATTGGTAATTTCATACTGGTATTATTTAAATATATATATATATATATATATATATATATATATACACCATACTAAGAATTTGATAGTAAACGCATAAATGAATCTACCATATGATGGAGATTACAACTCTCATTAAAAGAGAAATCAGAACACTTCAAACCAATTTTCTGGATATACAATAAATAACCAAATTGATACTTTCCTATATTTAATTGTTCTTCACTTAAAAAACATTATTACTTCTTTTTTTTCAGAATAAGAAACTGAATTACACTAGAAATTTTAGGAATAGACAAACATAAATGTAATCATAAAAACTTGTATGTGTGCTGGTTTACTCCACAGTCAATTTTGTCCTGACATGGCCCTCTGAAATTTGGAGCTTTTCAGTCAAACCAAAATGTGCCATAAGAAGCCAGACATGAGTGAGCAGCTCTCCTCCTCGCCTGAGCTGCTGAGCATGATCACTCCATCGGCACTGGTTAGCGGCGTAACATAGCATTTCCACCCACACATCACTCATCAACTCCCACTTCTTCTCCCCGTTTTCCTCATCTCCCAGCGCTTGCAAAGCTTTAGCAAGCCTGCATGCATCAAATAGAACCGACTTGCTTCTGTCTCCTTTCACTTCAGATGGAAGAATTTTTGTGCTCACTTTGAGTAGCATTTTGCAAGCATTTTTCTCATTCGTTATGGATTTTCTTTCTGTGAAAAATTCCTCAGTCTCAGCACATGTGTCTCTAAACCTTATCTGTCCAATCCCGTCCGGCAGCATGAAGGGGCACATGAGTAAAAGATACAACATGTAGTTTGACAACAGCCTACTGGTTTCACAACTGGGGCTGCTCTTAGGGTTCGGCTCCGAATGATAACAAATATCAGTTGCAATATGCCAGAGAATGATGCTTTGGTCAAACTCTTTAATGGTCCATCCAAGTTCCTCTTGACAATTTGCTTTTTCAAACACCTCGTCAACCCTCAGAGCACACAATTGTTTGCAATCCTCCAAGTTAGCAGAAGCTCTGTCTTGGAGCTGCTTATATATCAAACCCTTCAACTCTTTGCAATCAACCTTCAAGTCTTTGTATCGATGCTTCTCTAACACCTGATTTATGTACAAGTCCTTGTGGATTAAAATACACTTTGCTGGCCTAGCTTTAAGACAAAAAGTTATGAGGTTGCACTGTGCCACAGTATTAGACCACCTCTCGTTTTTAATCAATGGGATTGATGAAATGGCTTTGTGCAAGTAATCCACCACTCCCACCATTATGCTTTTATGCTTGCTCTGCCGTAGCTTGCTCAGCCATAGTTTTGTCCAGTCTGAGGAAAGTATTATGGCAACTGCATAGATTTCTAATACGATAGCTCCTACCAACAACACATATGTGATGGCTACATCCACTCCCATGTATGCTTGCTTCTCTACAAACAAGAAGGCGACGAATACAGCAACTGTGAAGGAAAGACTAACACAACGAAGTATGCCTCCAAGCCATGAATAAACCAGGACTGCTTTAGTAAAAAACAAATCATACATGAATCCTAGCTCGATCTCGATGACTTCAAAAACTTCCTCATAGTTTGTATTTTGGAAGAAGGATTGGCTGTTTACGATATCATGAAAGCTGAGGATGAGATCAGCACATAACAGCTTGAAAGTTTTGAAGAAATTGTAGGATGTTAAGATTGTAGGTTGGGTAGTGCCATTAACTTGAGGAATAGGGGAAGCCTCTGCACTTGTGGATGCTTCAATGAAATGTGTTGGTACAACCCTGAACCCTTCAGCTTTCTTTGATATGTATTCTTCCATGTATCTGGCATAATTGGGACCAGGGTCAGGATTTTTGAGCATAGACTCTCTAAATAGCTCACTGCTTGAAGCCCTCAGAACCCAAGTCCTCTCCCCAAATTTTATAATCCCAACAATGAACATTGGAATTGCTAGAAAATTAAACACTTTGCTGGACCATGCTCTGAAGCAGACATAGAAAGCTACAAGCACCTGGGCAACTAGCCCAAGTAAGTGCCTTAGCCACAACTCATTGTCTTCTAAAGAGTAAGCAGTGATGGTATCTGGGCCACCAAGATGCAAGAGAAGAAATGGTGCCCAAAATGCTGTTATTATATAGTTTGGGTGCACAGAATCACCTTGAGAGTCTTCTTGGTTGTTGGAGAGTATGCCAAGTGAGATTGTTGCCACGGCGTCGGCGGATAAGTAAGAGAGCCATAGAAAAATTCTGAGGAAGTTACTGGTTGAATGTTTTCTCCAGTTTCCAATCAGAATGAGGATGGTTTGCAAGCTGAGGCTGATTAGAACCGTAGCCCGAAGCTCCCACACGTTCCAGAGGTGCCTCACATTTTCTGGGAAAAGTTGCATTGTCTTCCGCTGCTTTGTGAAGATCAAACTGCTGATAACTGGGAATGAAAATTTTGAAAACATCAGACTTTATTAAACAGAGCATTTTAAGGTTGCATGATCATAGAGAACGAATGATATAGTAAGCTCACCTGTGGCAAACATGATTTCTCTCTTTTCAAGGATTTGAAAGGCGGTAGAAAAATAGAAAGGCTTGTGCTCTTTGGTTTTTAAGCATGGCCATGGTGATGGCTTCAGAGAGAGGAAGCCATGGACTTGGAATGCTAGGAGGATAAAAGAACAGAGGGATGATACATTTAAATATGGTAGGACCTCACCAAATCAAGTCATTGGGCACAACCACACCCAACCAAGTTAAACACATCTTACTTCCTTAAAGTTTGCATTTGCGTCAATTTTTTGCATGACTTTTTAAGAAGTTGTAATGTTTGAATTATTACGAGATATTGTTGTACTAGGAAATAATATTGTAATATATTTACTTTCCTGTATTGTTCTAGGTCAAATCCCACCTAAAGTGGATCAGGCTTCTACGCCTTAGAAATAGGAATTGTAATGTATATATAACTAGGTCTGTAGACTTTTATCAATACAACGAAAATATTCAGCCAATCCCTTATTTCTTGAGATGGTATCAGAGCATCCTGGTACGTGATTTTTTTTTCCAAATCATAGCACTCCTCCATCATGACGGGTGGAGAGCAGACATCACCAAAAACCAATTCCAAACATTCAAGCACCAGCAACACCAATCCCAGTATGGATTCATCACATCCGTACTTTGTTTCTCATTCAGATCACCCCGGCCTCATGCTCGTTCCCATAAAATTGAACGGCACCAATTACCCATCTTGGAGCAAATCCATGATTCATGCTCTCACAGCCAAGAACAAAATTGGCTTTGTCAATGGATCCATTAAGCCTCCTTCAGAAACTGAACAGCCGACAGAATATGCTCTCTGGAATCAATGCAACAGTATGATTTTATCATGGTTAGCTCACTCGGTGGAGCCTGATCTAGCCAAATCAGTCGTTCATGCCAAGACCGCCCATCAAGTGTGGGAAGATTTCCAAGATCAATTCTCACAAAAGAATGCACCAACAATATATCAGATACAGAAGTCCATCGCCTCTCTCTCACAAGGCACCATGACAGTATCAGAATATTACACAAAACTCAAAGATCTTTGGGATGAATTAGAGACATATCAAACCTCGCTTATCTGTAACCAGATGAAGGCACATAATGAACAAAAAGAAGAAGATCGGATGATGCAGTTTCTTATGGGCCTTAATGACACCTACAACGGTGTTCGTAGCAACATCCTCATGATGACGCCATTGCCAAATGTTCGTCAAGCCTACTCACTCGTCATTCAAGATGAAACACAGCGCCAAATGACCTCGGGTTCCACAGAAAATTTTTCCATTGCCGCTGCGATACAGAACCGCTCTCACAATTTCTCAAATAATTCCAAACACTGTGCTCACTGTGACAGGAACGGCCATACAATTGAAGACTGTCGGACGTTAAAGTTTTATTGCCCATATTGTGATAAGAATGGCCACACTGAGGATCGATGCAAATTCAAAAATGGGACATGGGTTTCCAACAGTACAGGACCCCAGAACAATCGGCACCACCAAGGACATAGAGGAAATCAACAGCAACAGAAACAAGGGAGCAACCGCAGTCAGCGAGGATCCTTTCATGCTGTCAACGCAGCAGACGCAACCCAAGTTGGGGCTCAGCAGCAATCCACAGTCGCACCAGCCCAGTTCCCGAGTTTTAACAATTGGGCACCACAACCAGCCCAATTGTCTCATCCGCCAACCTCTCAACCGAACCCTCTCCATGGGCTCTCTGCAGACCAGCTTCAACAACTAGCCCATGCTGTCTCTCTGTTAAATTCGAATAATGCTTCTGGTAATAGCCATGCTTATGCTAATGCCGCAGGTCTGTCTCAATTTCCCGTTGCCTCAATTAATTCTGTATTCACCAAACCTTGGATTTTGGACAGCGGAGCTACTGATCACATCACGTCCGACCCCACACTTTTTACACAAACAAAGTCTTCACAAATACCAATTGTCAATTTACCCACTGGGTCTTCTGCCCAAATCACTTCCACTGGGACAGTCCCGTTCAATTCAGATATCACTTTAGATAATGTCTTATGTGTTCCCTCTTTTCGCTTAAATCTTATGTCTGCTAGCAAGATTACTACCTCTCTAAATTGTTGTGTCCTTCTATTTCCCACTTTCTGTGTCTTGCAGGACTTGGCTACGGGGAAGATGATTGGCTCGGGTAAGCAGCATGGTGGTCTTTATTACATGTCTCCATTGCAGAAAACACCTGTCACTTATCAAGTTTCTCATCCCTCCCATTTGTGGCACATGCGCCTTGGACACCCGTCACCTTCGCGTCTTAAATTATTGTCTTCATTCTTGCCTTTTAGTCCTCTCTCTTTTGATGACAATTGTAGTGTTTGTCCCATGGCCAAGCAAACTAGACTTCCGTTTCCTTTAAGTTCAATAAAAACTCATGCTCCTTTTGATTTGTTACATTGTGATATTTGGGGTCCACACAAAGTTCCCACACATTCAGGGGCCCGTTTCTTTCTTACCATTGTCGATGATTTTACTCGTTGCACATGGCTCTTTTTGATGACACATAAATCTGAAACACAAAATATTCTCAAATCTTTTGTTACCTTTGCTCATACTCAATTTCATGCCACCGTTAAGGCTATTCGAGTAGACAATGGTTCTGAATTTCTGTCCATGAGAGATTTTTTCCAAACTCAAGGCATCGAATATCAACGCACTTGTGTTTACACTCCACAACAAAATGGAGTCGTTGAACGCAAGCATCGCCATATTCTCATTGTAGCTCGCGCATTGTTTCCAATCTCACTTGCCTCTCCCTTTTTGGGGTGAATGTGTCTTAACCGCTGTCTATCTCATTAACCGCCTACCCTCCCCACTATTATCCACCAAATCCCCTTTTGAACTACTATACAATCACCCACCATCATTTGATCACTTGAGAGTTTTTGGTTGCCTCTGTTATGCCACAGTTGTCCACCCTACTCATAAATTTGACCCTCGCGCTCAACGTTGCGTCTTTGTTGGATACCCCACTGGTCAGAAAGGTTACAAACTTTACAATTTAGAGACTAAGAAATTTCTCGTTAGCCGTGATGTCAAGTTTTGTGAACACACTTTTCCTTTTTCTGACATTTCCACCCCCACCGCTTCCACTTTTGTGCCACCCCACCTTCCACACGCTAGCCTTGATCACACTGATCGCTGGACCCAACACACCCCACATGCTAAGCCGGGCCCCCCACTTGAGCCATCCCAACTGAGTCCCACCCAGCCATCAACACCTGACGCCCCTCCAACCACGTCATCCCATGGACCCGCGCCTGACGAGCCCTCCCATCTTGACAGCCCAATCCGACCTGTGTCTCCCCAACCCCCCTCCCACGTCCCAACAGACTTGTCCCCCCTTCCAGCCAATCCTCCCTCATCTCTTTCACCCACTTCCGAATCCTCTCTCATGCATAACCATTCCCCCAACCCCATTCCTTCTATTCCCCTTCCACGCCAGTCACTTCGTCCTAAGCAACCCCCTGTTTGGCATAAAGATTACCACCTGTCCAACCGAGCCGGTCACTCAACCTCGGCGCTTTGTTCTTCATCAGGTACTCGATATCCACTTTCTCACTTTCTTTCCTACTCCCGTTTGTCTTTTGCACATTCTGCTTTTCTTGCTAACATCTCAGGTCACACCGAACCTACATCATATGCTCAAGCTATCCTTGATCCCAATTGGCAACAGGCCATGTCTGCAGAATTAGAGGCTTTGCAGCACAATCATACTTGGAGTTTGGTTCCTCTTCCCCTTGGTCATAAACCGATCGGCTGCAAATGGGTTTACAAAATCAAATACAGGTCTGATGGCACCATTGAGCGCTACAAAGCTCGCCTTGTTGCTAAAGGCTACACTCAAGTTGAGGGAATTGATTACCAAGAAACCTTTTCTCCTACAGCCAAACTCACCACCCTCCGCTGTCTACTCACTGTTGCTGCTGCCCGCCACTGGTTCATCCATCAACTGGACGTTCAAAATGCCTTTCTTCATGGTGATTTGAATGAAGTGGTTTACATGGAACCTCCTCCTGGTCTTCGCCGACAGGGGGAGAACACTGTATGTCGGCTCAACAAGTCCCTTTACGGACTCAAACAAGCTTCCAGAAACTGGTTCTCCACCTTTTCAGACACCATTCAGAAAGCTGGTTATCAACAATCAAAGGCTGATTACTCTCTTTTTACCAAAGCTCAAGGCACTTCATTTACTGCTGTACTTATTTATGTTGACGACATACTTCTCACAGGCAATGATCTTCAGGAAATGGAACACCTCAAAACATTCCTTTTGAAACGCTTCCGCATCAAAGATCTCGGAGATTTGAAATATTTTTTGGGCATTGAATTCTCTCGCTCCAAGAAAGGTATTTTATGTCTCAAAGAAAATATGCACTAGATATTTTGCAAGATTCAGGACTTCTGGGGGCACGCCCAGACAACTTTCCAATGGAACAGAATTTGAAACTAACTCCCACAGATGGAGAACTGCTGCATGATCCAACTAAGTACAGAAGACTGGTTGGTAGACTAATTTATCTCACTGTCACAAGGCCTGACATAGCCTATTCCGTTCGAACATTGAGTGAATTTATGCATCAACCACGAAAACCTCATTGGGATGCTGCCTTACGGATCCTCAAATATGTCAAGGGTACTCCTGGTCAAGGTTTGTTATTTCCTGCCTCTAACAATCTTGCCTTGAAAGCTTTTTGTGATTCAGATTGGGGAGGTTGTCGTGCCACAAGGAGGTCAGTTACAGGATATTGTGTTTTTCTTGGAAATGCCCTAATCTCATGGAAATCCAAGAAACAAACTAATGTTTCTAGATCATCAGCAGAAGCTGAATATCGAGCCATGGCTAATACTTGTTTGGAGCTGACTTGGTTGCGCTACATATTACAGGATTTAAAGGTCCTACAGACAGTTCCTGTGCCATTATTTTGTGATAATCAGGCAGCTTTGTATATTGCAGCAAATCCTGTTTTTCATGAACGTACAAAGCACATTGAAATAGATTGTCACATAGTTCGAGAAAAATTGCAAGCCGGAATGATTAGTCCTTCATATGTACCTACACGCTTCCAGCTGGCAGATGTGTTTACGAAGGCCTTGGGAAAGGATCAATTTGTGACACTACGAGACAAGTTGGGTCTTCATGATATTCACTCTCCAACTTGAGGGGGAGTATTACGAGATATTGTTGTACTAGGAAATAATATTGTAATATATTTACTTTCCTGTATTGTTCTAGGTCAAATCCCACCTAAAGTGGATCAGGCTTCTACGCCTTAGAAATAGGAATTGTAATGTATATATAACTAGGTCTGTAGACTTTTATCAATACAACGAAAATATTCAGCCAATCCCTTATTTCTTGAGATGAATGACGTAGCAAATGCTGAAGTTACATTTTTATTATCTAAGTCTTTGTTCAATCATTGTGTTTCAGTTTATATACATTTTTTCAAAAGCTACTTGATCGAAACAAAAGACTGAAATTATGAATGACTGAGATATTATTGTAGACGAAGAAAAAACCAATAATGCAGGAAGGTATTCCTTGTCTGAATTCTGAACATGCCATAAAATGCAAACTTCAAATATTTTATAAGACTAGATGGTGAATGACAGTGACTTTGCACAGCATGCCACCGAAAATAGCGTTCGAACTTAAGACATATTCCAACTTTTACCGAAGAAAGCCGCGTAAGAATTGTCATTTCTAGGCTTACCTCATATTATCTGTCTATCTATATTAATAAACTTCAGTAGTCTTTTATATCATGCTGCATGCATAATGATTTGGATTAAAGTAAACTATACGATCTATAATACTAAACTATGACTTGCCATAAAAAATCACAGAGTAAACGACTCAAAATTCAATAATATGTGTGAACTTAGAACTTAACATATGTGTGAACTAAGAACTTAACACTAATTAAGTTGCCATTATTTCTAAATCAAAGCTATCACTTACAATGAATAAAAGTAAACTTAATCATGATACAAACAAAAGCATAAAATAATCTTATAATTATACAATGACTCATACAAATTACAATACATATTTTTAAATGACAAATAGTCATCATTTTTTTCTTCATATATATAATAGTTACATGTGTTTATCGTGTCAAAATCGAGTTACTTGAATTTTACACCAACCGATCCATTTATTATTCGTGTTAGTGGGTCGTGTGCTAATTGTAATCTCGTCGTAAGAAATGATCAATCTAAACTAGCTAACTTCGTGTTGGATTTGAATCGTGTTAAAAGTTACTACATCTGAACTCGTATCTTTATGTTATTAAGTACATATTGACCAGTTCAACCAGGCCTAAATGTGTCTTGAGCTTGGTCAAATACCTCGTGTATCAGAGATGTTTGTTTTTTTTTATTCTTCTTCTTGTTGTTGTTTTTTTCTTTTTTGGTAAATATTAGAGATGTTTTCCAATTGAGAGAAAATAAAGTCCCGTTAGAGTTATATTGGGCTCCAATAATACTTCAGGTACCATAACATGTTAAGTACATAACACTCTCCGACTTATGGGGTGTATTTCAAATTAATTCCGAAGAACTAAAACATTTGAAATTTATACCCCACCTGACATTAACTTGAACTTCTTTCATTTTTATTTTTTTGGGATAAAACCATCAATCTATGCATTTATAGGATCCCTTACAATGATACAAATCCACAATTGATCACAACTTAAATGCATCCTTGGCTAAGCTATAGGGCTTAGAAGAAATCTGATCATTTGTCGGAGTACATTTGCAAATAAATTTTAGATAAAACTGTCTACTAAGAATGATTGCAACAGTTTATATGCTCTAACCTTACAAGAAGACAATAAACAGAACACGGCAGCAGCAGATATACAACAAAAGATTGACAAATCGAAAATCGATACGCTGATGTGCAGGACAAACTTTACCACATCTGTATGGGCAGTTTACAACATATAATCTGTCTTGGCTGGCAGGCGTTGGAAGAAGTTAACCAGGGCTGATGGTACTGGCATCTTGCTCCTGTATTTGGGGTGCCTCATGTAGTAAAACCCGGCAACAAGAACCACAACCTGGAAAGGTGTAAAATAAAACACAACAGCAGCCACAAGACAGAATATAGCAAACATAGCTTTGGCATGAGAATCGGGCCATCTGAGAATTTCCTGAATCCGCTCCAATTCAGTAGCAACATCACCCATCATATTTTGAAACCTTCCGGCAATACTCCTCAAGCGATCATACCTCATCCGGACTATATCATCTGGAAGATCTAATGTTGATGTTGGGAGTGTGTGAAGTTCTTCGTCAAGCTCATCGGGGAGCACAGAATCTGCTTGTGAGAGCTTTGTGTCCATGTGAGCAGGGTATCTTGGTCGGTACTGGAAATTCCAAATCCCTGTAACAAACATGTAGAGGAAAACAGTCGGCAAGATCAGCTGTGGAGAGCTTATGATCATCACAAACAGGACATGCACTAGAGCTGTCGTAAGGGGATTTTTCCACACGCGTACTTCTCCAAACCATTGTGCAACACCAACCAACCCAGAGAAAACTGACATAAGCCTGAAAACGTTTGCCTTGCTGCGCCTCACGCTCCAAACATCAGACCCTTCTGCATTAGAGGAAGTGTATTGAACTACTTCCTTCTCAAGACCAAGACTATCTGCCACCATCAACACAGCTTGGTCATACAACATGTCTTGCTGCATGCCAGTCAAAAGGGGTTGGGAGTATAGAAACATCATGTTTACCAGTGATGTGCATGAAAATCTAACTGCAAGGTGCAATTCACCCGTCTTCTTGACACCCGAAGGACGAAGTGATATCAATGGATAAGAGAAAGTGTAGACACGGCCAGACTCAAGGGTGGAGATTCGAATCTGGACCTTGCCAAATTTCTCATCTTTGTTTCCATTTGCATGGTTACCAACCCGACTGTTATCGAAAACCCCCACCGTGAGAACTGTGTGAAGATCGTATACATCCCAAGTGTGTTGCTCATTGAATTTTGGGCTTAGGCTGTCAGTTATGGTTCGAGTACGAACCCATTTGTGCCCATACTTTGCTACACAATATGTGTCTGATGTATCCTTCCCCTCCCTTGTTTTCATTGGGAGTAGCTCTGAAGCATTTAGAACTCCGAGTTCTATGACCCCTATACATGGCTTCCAGATTTGTGTAGCTGCCGGTTGAAGGTCGCTGCTGTAGTTAGTTGGCTCATCAAGCGCATGGTACCCTCCTTCAAGACAAACATGGAGATGTATTCTACTGGATAACTTTTCATCTTTGTCTTTGCTCTGCTGCTTCCCCTTCATAGAATCTGACATTATTGAGGTTTCAAGGGTAAACCACTGGCTAGAGATACTTTGATCATCAGTAGGCTTCTCAATAGAGTTTAATGCTATGGCTACCTTTCCTAAGGTCTCGTCTTTGTCTGGACTTACGCGGTCTTCAACTGAAACCATCAGATGTTGATCATCGCCAAAGGGTTGAGCAGCAACAAACATCAGGTCCTCATTCCACACTGGGTTCAATATTGGAGATTGAGCTGTTTCTGTCTCTTCTTTTCTTGGTTGTGAAAATATCTTTGTCTTCAAACACTGATTACCAATCATCACTTGTGCATATGCCTCGGGGACACGAGACTTGTCAGATGCAACCAAGTCGTGTGCCTCAATCACTTTTACCCGTATGTACCATAATCTTGGCGAATGGTAAACTTTTGCTCGGATATGCGCATCAGCATCTGAAGAAACATGAGGAGGAAGGCTGGCATCAGAATGCCAGGCATATGGAAAAGCCACATCTGCTTGGGTGCCATGCCACACAGCCAGCTTCAGTTCCCCTTTCTTCTTGATCTCCACATCCTTGTCTTCTATCTGATACCATTTTGGAGCCCCTGGCTTATCAGGTGGAACTCGTGTAGTAAATTCCTTGAGATCAAAATGCAAAGACCCAAAAAATTGATCATCATCTTTGACCACAACATCCAATGCAGATGGCTCCAGATTGTAGTCCTTTGCAAAGGCAAATACCTCATTCCATTCAGGGTTCTGTTTTCTCTCAACATGTTTTGTAATTGCATTGCAATTCCCAACTTTTATTTCAAGATAAGTTTTAAGGCTCCCTGCCACATCCTCCGAATTTAAAGCAAAGTCGAGCCGGGCCTTTACAATTAATACAAACAGGTAATGCATTGTTTCAACAAGGTCATAGGTGCTGACATCCCCAGGTACTAATCGACCTTGAACAATTTGCCCCCTTCCCAGGTAAGGATTTGTCTCCTTCAGCAAATAATCCGAAGATGATGACAAGTCATCATCTTTAGAAGACTCTGGTTTAGACTCCGGTTCAGGCTGTGGTTGTTGAGACTCAATCTCATCATGCATCCCAGAGTTCATTGGAAGGTCATGGCCATCTCCATCAATAACAAAAACTTTCAGACCAAGCTCTCCTTTCACACGTGAGTTAAACAAAATGCCTTTTTTTCGCAGAGGGTGGTGCTGCAAAGAGTACGGGACAGATAAAGATCTCACAGGAAGACAAACCTTGCCAAGGAAAGATTTGGAGCTGTCTTCTTTAAAGTGGTAAACATGAGCTTCAAGAGTGAGGTTAGGTAGGCGTTTTGGATCAGAGATGTTGAAGTAGAAGCTTTGATCCCAAACAGGATTGGCATCTCTTTCTTTTGTGACGGTTTGGAATGTCTGATTATCAAAGTGGAGCTCCACAAATGCACTGGCTGCGCCCCGCCCATCTTTGGGCACAATAAGGTCATGAGCACTCACAACCAACACCCCTAACTTGAGGTTGCTCATGTCATGGGACCTTGAGAAGAATGATGAAGAAATCCTGGCTAAGGAAAAATAGCTAGCGGCTTAGGCATGGGCAGAGCTGACCCTGCTCAGCCTTTTTCTTTCTAAGAGAGGGGATTCAAACGTAGAAGCTACAACTTCTAACATTGCGAAGAGAAATGTCATTAAAATAATAGTTATCAACTGGTTCTTAGTCTAGTAATATTTCTTTTCCAGGATTGGAAGAGCTCCAAATTCGACTCGCCCTCCCTCCCCTCCTCATTGATCAAAAGAAAAGGAAAAAGAAAAAAAAAACTAATAGTTAGTTAGTTGGTCTTTTAATAATATATAGAATTCCTTGATAACGTGCATGGTTAAATGATGTAGTGCAACTAAGCCCCAAAAGAAGAAAAATGATGGAGATGTAAGGGAAGTAAACGATCTAATACTAAAACTATGACTTGGAATTAAATTTATCAAGTAAATGTTTCCAAATAAAAAATACAGCGTCTCAGAGTTGAAGTTTTACACATCTGACTGAGACTAGATCAAACTTCAATTTTGTAATATGATATCCTACACATTTATGTCTCCAACTCCATATAATATAACAGCAATCAGCCACTGATGATATCAGCACCCGATTTCTAAGTTATTCAGCAAAGCATACTCAGCCATGATCCATTCTCATTGACCCAAAAAAACCAAGAAAACTCACCACTCAAAAATAACAGTTCACACATCTAAGACTGGATTAAACTTTAAAGTCAACTTAGATTTAATAACATACTGCTTGACCCAATAGTTGGCATCAATTCTTATGAAGGAATTTTGATACACCTACTCGATGATCACGATACAAATTTACAACACAAAATGTTTTCTTTTAAGTAGCGAGTGAGAGGGGGATTCGAATTGGAGACATCTTCCGATGTTTTCTTTTAAGAGCAAATGGTAAATGGAACATTATATTCATCACCATATTTCTAGTGACATTTGAATGTTTTGAACACAATCCAAGTAATCATAAGATTACTAGGACAAACAACTTTCATCAACAACGTGGTTAAGAAATGCAATACATATAGCATTCCTCATCAACAAAAGAACAAAATATGCTTATTTATTTTTTTTGGGGTGGGAGTGAGAAAAGGAGCAGGGTCCATCTTTGTCAGTGGGATCTTGTTTGTAGGCCTAAGAGTAAAGGGGGTTTGGGTTTTAAAAAAACTGGTGCTATGAATCAAGCTTTGTTAGCCAAGATTGGTTGGAGGTTGCATATTAAGGATGAAGGCTTGTGGGCAAAGATTTATAAGGCTAAATACCTTAAAGGCCATTCTATTCTTGATGATTCTGTGATTTTTAGGCAGGATTGTTCTTCTACATGGAGAGGTGTGCTTCATGGTGCTGCTCTTTTAAGGAAGGGTATGTTATGGAGAATTGGGGATGGTGGTACTGTTAAGTTTTGGAAGGATAATTGGGTTTTTGATGCTCCTTTAAACCAAAATGATAGTGGTGTGCATATTTGTGACCCAGATTCTGTTATTTCCAGTTTTTACAGAGATGGTTGGTGGGATATGGAGAAACTAAGGGCTGCTTTACCTGATGAGCTGGTCCAAAGAGTTATTAGCTGTCCTGTGGGGTTTAATAGTGGGCTACAGGATGCTCAAATTTGGAAGTTTTCCTCCAATGGGATTTTCTCTGTAAAATCTGCTTATAATATGGTTTTTGAGGGCTCTACTTGCTCTGATGTTGCTTGGACGTTTTTGTGGAAGCTGAGGATTCCTCCCAAGTTGCATATTTTCTTTTGGCTTGTTTTTCAAGGAAAAATTCTTTCTAATGAGCAAAGAGTCAGAAGACAGCTATCTTTGGATGCTTCTTGTGGATCGTGTCATTGGCCTATGGAGTCTATACTCCATATTCTTCGTGATTGTGTTAAGGCTAAGAAGGTGTGGAATGCTCTTCTCAATTCTAGTCAAAGTGCTAGATTTTTTACTATGGACTTTCAACCTTGGCTTAGAGTAAATTTGATGTCGAAGATTGTTTGGGCTGATGGTATTCCTTGGAATTTGGTCTTTGTTTTCACATGTTGGTATATATGGAAATGGAGGAATCACTATGTGTTTCATGGTGATGAAGACTTGGCTTTTGACTCCATACAAATTATTACTGCTGCTGTGAAGGAATGGTTTAAAACTTCTAATGTTTCTTTTACCAAGTGTGCTAAGGTTGAGGCTTGGTTTGCTTGGGAACCTCCTCCTGCTGGGGTCTTTAAACTGAATGTTGATGGCTCTAGGAAAGTTGCTTCTGGCCATATTGGTGCTGGAGGTGTGTTGCGTGATGTTTCTGGTGATTGGTGTAGTGGGTTTGCTATTAATTTGGGTAAAGGGCAGATTCTAGAGGCTGAATTATGGGGTCTGTTCTTTGGTCTGAGGATGGCTATTGCGAAAGGGTTTAATAACCTTATCGTTGAGATGGATTCGGCTGTTGCTATCCAGCTTGTTCAGCAGCATGATTCTCTTACTTTGCACCCTCTTGCATCTCTGGTCTCTAGCTGTTGGCAGTTAATGCAGCAGCTTGAGAAGTGCAGCATGCGTCATATTTTTAGGGAGAAAAACAGTGTTGCAGATCGTCTGGCTGCTTGGAGTTATAACTCAGATCTTGGTATCTGCGTTTTTGATGAGGCTCCAAGTTGGATTGGGACTTCTTTGGTGGAGGATTTGTTAGGGGTGTCTAGGCCCCGGTTGATTTGTGTTGGTTAGTTTGTTTTGTTTGTTTGGGGTTTTCCCCCCCCATTTCACCAAAAAAATAAATAAATAAAACTCTAACTAAATAATGGCCCAATCTCTTTTGGGCTTCCACCTCCAATTCACTCAAAAAAAACAAACAAAATCAACAAATGGCCCAACTTCTGTTCTTATTTTCCCCCGTCACCCTCTTTTTGGAGGGTACTGATATTGAGATTACAAGCACTAATTTACATAAATTCCCTTCAAAAAATTTAATTAATTAATTAATTACCCAGTCCCCAACTAAACAATGCTTTCTGGTAATTATCAAGCCATGCAATGCAGTGCAATCTCTTAATTATAAGTCGAAATGCATAATTAAACAAGGAATTACACTAAAACATTATAAATTCTGTGCAATAGCAGATAATCTGTTGAAGCAAAAGGAGAAGAAAGACGAGCACTAACTAGTTTAACACGCATCCACCGCTGCCTGTGATTCAAAAGACTGCCGCCGTCGGCTTCAACTTTTTCTTTGGGCCTCCCACCGAGTTTCTCAGGTTCTCTCTCTTCAACTTGTGGTTTTTCTTTTCACTTTTATATATTTTTTGTCAAGAGTTAATTTTATTTTGCCCTCAAAAGTTTTGATATATTTTTAGGTGAAGTGCGTAAATTCAATACTCCCTTTGTTTTTAACCAAAAAATTTAAATTTTACTCCCCGAGCCAACGGAGTCTAGCCAGTGAAAAATTTACAGATTAGTGATTGTTCATCGCACCATCATAGTGTGTCTGAGACATTTCATTTCGTTGTAGTTTAGACTATTCTTTGTATTCAAAGAAAAAAAAATACTCCCCTTCTTTTTTAATTTTTAAGAAAAAAGTAAAATCTGGGAATAGGTGCCATTTACAATTGGGTGCACTTTAATCAGGCCCAACCACTGAACGTTCTGTATGAGGCTGATACAGAGAAACCAAAAAACTTCAAAACTTTGCAGGATTATGGAAAATGTTGCTTTTGAAGGACCAAGTTGTCATGAAAATCCATTGTTATTCTATTCAATTCTGACAGCAGATCCTTACATGATCAAACCCTAATCTTAAATAACCTTACAAAACTTGGCAAACTCATTAATCACAATAATCAAGTGCTAAAGCAAATCTGCATCACAAACCCAATTTTGCTTTGAAGGAAATTTGAATGAAGACATTCTTCATCCCCTGTCACCCTACGGCTACGGCGTTGCAACTCACCAAATTGTCAGGTTCTCTGTGCCTCAAGCGCATCAATGTTACCTGAAATCACAATAAACCACTAATAAATTAATATTACTCGAACCAGAACATGCTTCCGGTAAGAAAACAAACCTCATTGCAAAATTCTTATACATAATGTATGCATGGGGATGAAAAATGCACTAACACAAACTTAAAACCTTATTTCCAAAGGGAAAAACTGTAAATTTATGAAAAAGAAAATCATACCATTGCATGATTGATGATTGTTGCCTGTGATTAATTCTGCAGGGACTACCAGCTATTAGTAATGATTGTTGGGGAGTGGGCAATGTCACCCCAAATGTCCACATTAGTTTTTTCAATGGTTGCAGAAAATTCTTCTGGCATATTAATTAGCTTCAATTCAATGAGAGTCTTCAAGTGCCTTAAGCCGGTAGGGACCTTCAGCTTATTGCAGGATCTGATCTCCAACTCCCTGATGTTTTGCATTGCCTTTTCCTCCACATCCCAATCTTCTAGCCGTTCTAGCTTCCACAACTTTAACACTACAAGCTTTTGGAATCCCCAGGTGGAGCAAACCATCTTCGTACCAGTATAAGAGTTGGAGTAGAAACATAGTGATTGAAGGTTGGAAAGCTTCTCTAACTTGGGCATTGGATCTTCTGAAAATGAAGAGGCTGACAAAGTTAGATCAATGAGGTTTTTAGGAAATCCAGCTATGATGGAAGGATTTTCTAGCATCCCAAACAAATTCAAGCTGGAGAGATTCTCAAGGCCTGACAAAGACTCCAACACCAGAGGACAGGGTTCACCCATTTCATCAATTGATCTCATTCTTAAGGACTTGAGGTAGCTCAGCTTTACGATCCTTTCTGCTAATACTTTTTGCTCTTCCTTCTCTAACTGGAATGCCAATCCCAATTTTCTGAGGTTTATGAACTTGTCCAAACCATCCTTTAAGGGACTATGCTTATCCACAAATACACCCCATAATGTCCGGAGATTCTTGAGAGAATTGAGACCTTGGTGACGCATAAATTTACTTCGATACCTTTGACTTAAGTATAGGTGTCGAAGTTTGAGCAGTTTCCATATTGAACGGGGGAGAGTGCGAACATATGTGTGCTTCACATCCAAGGTTTGGAGGTTCACCAATTCACCAATGGAATCTGGGATTGATTCAAGGGAAGTCCACCTCAAGCCTAGATACCTCAAATTGCTTAATTTTACTATGGTGTTGGGCAGTTCAGGTCTGAATACACGTTCAAGATCAAGAAACTTTAGCTGAAGGAAATAACCACCTGCAATGCCCCTTCGTAGGAAGTTGCCTATGTCTTCTCCAGGTTTATATCCTTCTTGGGAATCAAAGGATAGAATGGAAATGATATCTGTGTAAGATCTTGAAAAATTGGAGCATTCACCATGAATAAGATCAAAACTTGGATCATTACAGTTTACGTGATCAGCAAGGCGCCTATAATCTAACCTCATAGCTTGTGACCTGATCACTTCTTGTAAATCTTTGTTCAAGCAACATGTCTTGACTTTCCCATTAAGCTTTCTTTCAACTACGTGAACGATGTCACGATCAATCAACTCCGATAGATGCTCATCCGCTGCTTCTTCGTAAGTTTCAGCCTTTTTCTTTGGGTCAGATTCATGATTGTCTGTCTTGTGTTCACTTACTTCTACCAACTCTTCAGCAATCCACAAAGCGAATAATCTCCTCACCGGAATTTTATAGTCCTTTGGGAAGAGTTTGAAGCAAGAAAGACAATCGGTAAGATGAACAGGAAACTTATTTATGCACTCTTTGGTGTAGTTACAGAACGACGATGTATCATCATCCTGTTTGATGTATTGAATCACCTTTTTCAACTCCTGAGCAGTAGTCTCATCTTTCCCTGACATTAGACGTACCATGGCTAGTGGTAAACCCTCACATTTACTCAAAATTTCTTTTGCTAGCATTTTCCCTTTTGGAGGGATGTGCACCACCTGGCTAAACAACTGCCAGCTCTCTTCTTTGGTTAGCCGTGGAAGTTGGTGGGGAGTGCTGTCGCTATCCACTTGTGAAGCCACTTCGGGGTTACGTGTAGTGAGCAGAATTCTGCTTCCACTTGATGTACTTAATGGAAATGCTGCTTTCAGAGTACTCCACTCGTACATTGTGGAGATGTTGTCAAGAACTAAAAGGTACCGATTCTTTTTTAAAATACCATGTGCCTCGTCAATCCTGTTGGATGCATCAGGATTAATCTCTTGGTGCCCTTCTGACTTAAGAGAGCTCAAGACCTGCTTTGCAACGTATTTCAAGAGTGGCAGTTTATTGTTGTAGGAGTAGTCGTGAGGTAGAGAAACCCATGCACGACAAGGAAAATGGTCCACGATGACTCCGTGGTTATAAATTTTCTTTGCCAGTGTTGTCTTGCCTATGCCCTCAATCCCCACTATGGAAACAAAAGAGCAGTGTTCATTGTTGGTTCTCAGTCTTGACACCACTGCATCTATGTCTTCTTCCAAACCGACCACTGAGCTTAAGTCTTCCCTTGATTCAATGCTGAATGCTTTTATGCATCTCAAGAAAAGATTGATAGTCTGATTAATCTGGTTGATTTCAAGGGAAAGCTTTCTTCCAGAATTCTTAAGCTTTTTCTCATCTCTGTCTTCTTCTGAACCTGAATTCATCTTCATAAAGGTTACCACAGATTCATCTGCACTTTGAACAATTTTCCTCACTTGCTCCAACCAAGCGACTCTGGAATTGTATCTCCTTCCAATCATTCCTGCACCGCCTACAAGTTTATGCATGATTTCCAGTTCATTGCAAAGCAATTTGACATCAAAAAATACTTCACGGAATACATTTGGCTTCTCTTTGAGGTAGTTGCGCATCTTGTCTATTACAGATGAAACACTATTCTCATCTGCGGTCTGATCTGGGGATTGATAGACAATCTTTGATGAATTAGAAATTCTTCTTATAAATTTGAAGCCGTACCTGTCCTTCCTTTCTAAAGCTTGTGTGAACCCAACGTTGATGCCCCTTAGGTCCCCCTCGAGCTTTCTCCTTGCCCTCCAACTGCTGATATATGATAGCCACCTAAATCTATTGGATGGTGTCCGTAAGAAGTTTTCAATGGCAGGATGTGCTTCATCAATGATCTCTTCCACTTCCTCCACCCAGGCCTTCTCAATTGCGCTCTCAAATTCGTTAATTCCTTGTATATCTTTCAGAAAAGGATGTAGCAGTTGCAATTGCAGATTTGTTGACTGTAGTTGCTCTCCAGTTCTACTCCTGTCTGGCATTAAATCTGGGTTTTGAATGAGTATACTATTTATTTTCTCTACAGTAGAGAAAGCCGATGCAGCTGCAGATTCAACTCGTTCTCCGGAGTTTACCCATCTTTTTTCATGTTCATCAAAAGGTCTTTCCAGCAGCCTTCTAGCATTAGACTTTAATCTATCCAGGGATTCACATATGTTAATCCCACTTTCCTTCTTCATCACAATGCTGCTTTTTATTTCCTCCTTTACCTGCTTAGTTATACTAAAAAGCTTATCTGTCTGCTCGAAATTCTTTGCAGTCATCCCAAAAAATATTCCAAGTCTATGGGAGTCTCGTCTCTTTTCCTCAAACGTTTTAACCAAACCTTGTGCTTTTTTTACAATGGATGCAATTTTGTCCACCCATTTTGCCTCAATTTCATCTAGTCCAGCCACAGTTACGGTTTTGTCCACCAGTTGTACCTCAGTTTCCTCTGGTCCAGGAACGGTTCCTTTACTAGGGAAAATAGAGTCCCAGATTTGATGTGCCCTGGCGTCTATCTTAAAGCATAAACGCTTAACTTCTTCTGCATCCTCCGAAGTAGCACTTAGTAACCGTGACTCTTTTCGAATCCATTTGATGTCTTCCTCCAAGAACAGAAACGGAAAGTGGTTGATATACAAGTAGAGGAACAATAGGGTGATTAGAGAGGCACACAAGGGCACCCATATGAGCACATAATTGTTTGCAAGCGTCGAAATCAGTAGCACCCGATACAGGGATGTATGGTTTACATAAATCAGTATAAGGTCTACAACAACTAAGATATAAACATGAGCATCATGGAGAATGGAATCAAGGAATGCCAGCTTGGTTGTTGTTACCTCCTTCTGGTTGGCCAAATTATCCAGACTTCTATCAAAATGATAACGATAAATACTATATTTTTCCAGTTCTTCAGCATTGGAAGCAGTCCACTCCTGATCAGCATCGGAAGCCGTCCACTCCTGATCAGCATCATCTATCTCTATATACTGTCCCATAGCTTTCCAATCCGTCTCCGTTGTTGAGGATCCCAATGGCTGAGCACCAGGTATTCCTGCAATGAACCATTCTGTGATCGTTTCCATGGCTGAGCAGCTTTGATGTATCAGAAACAAGTTCCCCAATTTACAGTAGGTTCAACATTGAGCATTATCAATTGAAGTTGAAGAACAAGTGCATGTTCTGGACCTCTGGCAAAACTAAAATCACATATGGTGGACTCCAGATGGGGACATGCATCAGTCCATTTCATCTGCACAGTTTTTCTTGTTTCTTGTTTCTTTTCATGTCTAATCTTTACAATGGTGGCTTTTCTTGGGGTCCCCCCATTCATCTTGTCCCTAGCTCTTGGTTTAAAGATGACTCTGGTGGATTGTCCATTCATGTCATCCTTGGGTCAGGTCAAAAGCATTGCATTTATATTAGGAAAATAATTCCCTCCTTCCCTGTAAGTATGAACTCCTGCATTCCTACCAATGGCAGTAGGAACTCCTATATTGTATATGTATATGTATATGTATATGAAATGTATGCATACAATATGTATTTCATATGTACATCCGGATTACGTTACGATTAACTGCAGTACGGTTTGTAATTTTGCTGGTTGACTGACTCCCATGTGTATATTCACAGTCCCATTACTACCTAGTACCTACCATACCTACCAATTTGAGTAGTGTTCTTATCGCCATTACTTTGTTGCTTTTTGGCAAAGTCACAAGGAAAAGAAAAGATTGAGCCCTCCAACCCCACTGCATTATTGCACTTTTGTTCTTTTCCACTGCATTATTACAAGATTTTGGGTGCGCTCTGATATTTTATTTAGTTCTTTTACGCTTTTTACTCTGTTTCTAGGCACCTAGCAAGCAGAGTGCAAGTTCGTTTAGTTTGAGAAATAAGCTTCATCTGACTCTCCGTTATCACTGCCGCCGTGCTTGAAACTTTAACATGCACAAGCCACAGGTCCTGCTATACTTCTCTTCCGCCTTTGAAATCCATAAAAGAAGAGATATCATGTGTCCATGTGAGATAAGTAGTTCGTGTCAGCACCATGAAGAGTAACTTCATGCAATGTGAACAACAAAACTATCACGAAGCACCTAGTTAAATGCAGAGAATCAGAGTTCCTAAAGATCATAATAATGCAGTTCAGTCCAAAACAAGAAATAATAAAAAGATAAATACAGACCACACTCTCCTAAATAAAATATTAAAACTTGCGTGCATCATTTGTTTACTGCACAACCAGCTTTGCCCTTTTATGGCCCTCTGAAATTTGGAACTGTTCAGTCAAACCAAGATGTGCCATAAGCAGCCAAACATGAGTGAGCAGCTCGCCTCCTCGCCTGAGCTGTTGAGCATGATCACTCCATCGACACCGATTGGCTGCGTAAGAGAGCATTTCCACCCACACTTGACTTACCAACTCCCACTTTTTCTCATTAGTCCCCCAATGTCCCTCAACCTCCATGGACTGCAAAGCTTTAGCAAGCCTGCATGCGTCAAATAGAACCGACTTGCTTCGATCTCCTTTCACTTCAGATGGAGAGATGTCTGTGCTCACTTTGAGTAGCATTGTACAAGCTTTTTCCTCGTCGGTTATGGATTTTCTTTCTGTGAAAAAGTCCTCAGCCTCAGCACATGTGTCTTGAAACCTTATCTGCCCAATCCCATTTGGCAGCATGAAGGGGCACATGACTAAAAGGTACAACATGTAGTTCGACAACTGCTTGCTGTTTTTACAATTTTGGTTAGGTACAACGTTCGAGTATCTCTTCACATCAAAATTATAACAAAGATCTGTTGCAATATGCCAGAGAAGGATGCTTTGTTCAAATTCAACCCCAGAAATGGTCCAGCCAAGTCTACCTAGACACTTTGCATCTCGAAGCACCTGGGCACCCCTACGAGCACATAATTGCTTGCAAGCATCAAAATTAGAAGCACTCTTTGATTTCTCTTTGAGCTGCGTAAATATCAAATTCTTCAACTCTTCGGAAACATCCTCCGAGTCTTGGTATCGATACTTCTCTAACAACTTATTTATGAATAAGTCCTTCTCAACAAAAATGCACTTGGCTGGCCTATTTTTGAGACAAAATGTTATTAGGTTGTATTGTCCCAATTTATTAGACCACCTATTGTTTTTAACCAATGGGATTGATGAAACGGCTGTATGGAAGAGCTTCAACACCCCATTTTTGTGCTTATTCAGCTGTAGCGTTGTCCAGTCTGAGGAAAGTAGCATGACCACAGCATACATTTCCAGGATTATAGCTCCTACCAACAATACATATGTGATAGCTACATCCTCTCCCGTGTATGCATGCTTCTCTTTGAACAAGAAGGCCAGGAATACTGAAACTGTGAGGGAAAGGCTGATACAACGGAGAATACCACCGAGACGAGAATGAACTAGGACAGCTCTAGTATAAAACACATCATACATGAATCCTAGCTCAATCTCAATGACTTTGAAAGCTTGCTCGGAGTTTCTATTTTGGAAGAATGTTTGGCTTTTCTCTATATTGTGGAAGCTGAGGATGAGATCAGCACATAGCCGCTTGAAAATTTCAAAGAAACTGTAGGCTTTGTTTAAAATCACAGCATTTTGGATACTGTTATCAAGTACTCCTCCGGCATCGTTGGAATTATTCTCAGCTTTGGGAGCTTCAATGGGTGGTCCTAGTTCAACCTTGAATCCCTCAGCTTTCTTAGAGCTGTATTCTTCCATGTATCTAGCATAATTGGGACCAGGGTCAGGATGAGGAAGCATAGACTCTCTAAAATGCTCACTACTTGCAGACCTTAGAACCCAAGTCCTCTCCCCAAACTTTATAATCCCAACTATGAACATTGGTATTGCCAAAAAATTCAGCACCTTATTGGACCATGCTCTTAAGAAGACATAGAAAGCTACAAGCACCTGGACAGCTACCCCAAGCAAGTGCCTCAACCACAATTCGTTGTCTTCTAAGGAGTAAGCAGTAATTGTATCTGGGCCACCAAGATGCAAGAGAAGAAAGGGTGCCCAAAATGCTGTTATTATATAGTCTGGATTGACAGAATCACCTGGAGAGTCTTCTTGGTTGTTGGAGAGTATGCCAAGTGAGACTGTTGCAACTGAGTCTGCTGACAAGTAAGCAAGCCACAGAACAATTCTGAGTATGTTACTGGTTGAGTGCTTTCTCCAGCTGCCAATGAGGATGAGGATGGCCTGCAAGCTGAGGCTGATCAAAACCATAGCCCGAAGCTCCCACTTGTTCCAGATTTTTCTCACACTTTCCGGGAAAATCTGCATTGCCATCCTCTTCTCTGTGAAGATCAAACCGCTGACAACTAGAAAGAAATATTTTTACAAAACATCAAATTGTGTCAAAATAAGTTTGCTTAACACATTCATTGTATGTATAAAAGTAACATAATCTTACCTGTGAGGAACATGATTAATCTGTTTTCACAAGATTTGAAAGGCAGTGTACTTAAATTTTGTAATGACGCAGGGGAGGCGGAGGATGCTTTCCTCTGCTTTTTGTTTTTCTTATTTTCAAACAGTAAGAGTGAAGATAACATACAGCCAAACCAGTTAATCCAAAGTCATCCAATATAATTGAAAAGTCGTGGTCAGTCAATGCCCTACCAATATGGCCCATTTCCATTTGGGCAATGAGAATACTCTAGATAAGGAAGAAAAAGAAAAGTAAAGAAACAAAAATGGTTAAATTATTATTTTATCTCATGTGTCCATTTGGGTGCAAACATGAGAAAGGAATGGTGGGTTTCTCATTCCCACAGATGTCTAAAATAGATCTCAGAAAATAGGGATTTTGCATTCCCAAAGGAGGAGGTGCATTTTCTCATTCCAATGATTGGTTTCAAATGTTGTGGTCTCATATGTAATTTTGACTCCATACCTAAACCCATTATGGCTGCAGCTTACTCAATTTGAAAGTCCACACATAGACAGTTGCATTTATCTCTTTTCTTCAGATGATAAATGTTACATATTGCAGGACCTCTAAGATACAGGAAAACCCATTTCATGATAACTTAAAATACATGCAGATGAATGACTGTATTTGTGGAAGCAAAATCCAAATGACCTCTCTGCTTTTAAGCCAAGCAAGTGAGATAGACTGAAACCCAAGATCCCTTTCATTTTGTATATCTGGGTGTCAACCTGAACATGTTGAACACTAATTGTTTTAACTTCATGAATATATTTTACTTCTTGTACAACTTTGGATCCCGAAATTTCATGACTGACAGAAATTTTGTTCACCAAATGATGTGAAACCATGTTATATATTCGAATCTGAGCTCACTCTTAACTTGATTTACTTTTAACGAGTAAGATATTGACATGTATACGGGTGCATCATTCGACAATAAAGTAAGATGATTTGTGTATAAACTAAAAATTTTGCGTGAAGCTCAACAGAGGTGGAAATAAAGTAAGGCTGCTTGCCTGCTTCCGACTCCGACCCTAGTTTTAGGGGTTTTTTTGTTGTCATTACTAATTATTGCTTCTTTATGAGTTCGAAAATGAATCATTCTTGCATGGAGATAGACAATTGTAGTTTAATAACCATGCAGAGCTAAATATAACATATATACAAAGAACCAGTTCAGATTTGTTTGCCGTGATTTTATTTTGGCGATGGAAATAGAACACTAGTATTACTTTTGTTGCTTTTTAACTTTATGAATGGATACAAGACCAAAAATACATATTGAACTAAATAAATGCTTAATTATAGACGCAGAGCAAAAGTACAATCTTACAATCTTACAAGGAAGAAAAACTTCAATTAACAAATCAGCAAGGCTTAGCCAGTGCCACCAAGAACACCCTTAAGCTTCTTGATCTGAGCAAGGTCAAGGAAAGTGGTCTGCCCCACCAATGCAGAAGGCAAGTTGTTAGCAAAGAGGGCAAAGTCAAGGATTTGGAGACCAGGGCTTGCACTGCTGAAGCTAACAAAAGCACTGGAGTGTATTTTAGCAGCATTCACTTGAAAATGCAGCAACCCTTGAGGGAAAACCATGACATCTCCCTTCTTAAGAGTCTCCAAGTACACAGTGCTGGCTGAGGAAACAAAGCCTGCTGTGATGTGGCCTCTTGTCACAACCAGAATTTCTGAAGCACCAGGGTGAGTGTGGAATGGGATGACGCCACCTGGCGCTAAGTCTAGCCTTGCCATAGAGAGGCCAAGCCCATTGACACCAGGAAACTGAGCCACAAATGCAGGGGTCACAGCAGCTTGGATTATGTTGGTGGTGTTTCCACCTTTGGCCAGGCCAGAGAACACAAAGTCACTGACAGTGACATTAGCAGGGCTCTTGCAAGGGTAGCCTGCAGGACCATCTGGGCCTTTCAAGTCTGCCACACAAAAGTCTTGGACAGAAGCATGAGAAGAGGAGGAGAAGAAAATGAGAAAGAATAGGAAGAGAATGTAGTACTCAGGCATTTTCACAAATGGGTTGTGGGCAAAAGTGAGTGTGAGGCATCTTGGATGGCATGGTTAGGGTTTATATACAAAATTGTAGATGAATCGATTGGTGCAAGTAGACAACATGCCATGCAGGACACAATTGACCCATGGGCAAAACAGAGCCATATCTTTGCTGGGCTGAAGCTAAACTTATTGCATTAGACATAAAACAGGATGTCACTTTTGGTAGTTAGTAGTGGTAAAGTGACTTATAAAGCAAGCATTCAATCTTCCACTCTGTCAAACAACTTGCATGCACAACCAAACAATGGATAATAGGGCACTGGATATCTATAACAAAAATAATTGTTTGAGAATGCTAAAAAATTAACAATGAAAGCAACCTACATTCATGTCCATTCACAAACAAAATATTGCATAATATATAATTATCAGACCAAGATTCCTTGACTGATCACGTTCACATATCAACAGCCAAGATGAAACAAAGATTTCATTATCAATTTGAAGGTTTAGTTGAGGAAATTTCAGTGGGCTAAACTGAATTTAGCATGCATAATGCATTAGTATTTAGTAGTAGAGTGGAAGATGGTGGTGAAACTTAGCTGTTTGTGGTCCAAATTTCCAATAGCACATGGGAAGTGAGAAGGAAAGCGCATAAGCAGCCAGTCTGACAGCTAAAACCTTCAGGGGTGTACCTACGCTACAATTCTTTCTTGGGTGTGTCCTTCAAATTGCAACAATGCATTTCATGTGTGGACTATAGTCATTCCCTCTAGCTAAGATTTCTAGAATAGCTAAAGCTAACATAGCATGAATCTGAAAGTCAGAAGCTGAGAAATCCACAAGGTCAAAATGAAAAAGTGGAAAACTTCTAGGTAAATCAGAGGAGTTTTACATGGAAGGTGGACGAAATAGTGTGAACGTACATAGAAATTAAGGAGCAATTTTAGTTTTTAATACAAGCAATTAATCTAAATTACAAGAAAAAGGGAAATTTTCACAACTAGGATTCGAAGATAAGACCATAGCATAGTGTTGCCATATTGAATTACTTAATATTGATTGAAAATAAATGCAAATATTTGGTCGAAGACCATCCCAAACTACAGCCCAATATTGCAAAAAAACAATTAAACCAGGACCAAAACAGAAGCAACTAAAAATCCTGTATGAATTTTTCTCCTCCCTTTCCTTTTGACTAATAAGAACAAACAATATACCTGCTACCAGCAGTTCCACGTTGGTGGGTAATTTAGAAAATGTTCTGTATAATTCCATATTGGGGGCAGGGGAGATAATAGTCTCTTGCGTCAGTTCAACCGGCTTTAGATCGCAGGTTTTCCATGACTCTAGATGTGGAAGTAGCCTCTTCCTCCCTTAAACTTTTGTTTACTAAAAAAATAAGGAACAAAAAATAATAATAATAATAATAAGACTTAAAGCAAATTGTTATAACCTCAACAACAATAAATATACTTGGAAGCAATAGATATTTGTATATGTACATTAAGAGTTGAATAATGAGATGTATATTTTTGTTAACATGAGGACTTTATCTCAATTTGTATAAAGTTACTTTTTTTATGAACTTTGTATAAAGTTACTTGGATGCTATCAGACTTCAGCAAAACATCTGCCAATCTATTTGGTGTTTGATTTTGTGCTTTATCTAAAGCTACGTGGTTTTCAACTTTTATTCTTCCAATATAATATCTCAAATCTCAAAACTACAAAAAATAATAATAATAATAAATACTTGCTTAAAACCAAATTCACGTTATTTTAACATATAACTTCAAATTCAACGAAGAAAATTTTAGTAAAGAACTCATTAGTGCAGTAGTTTAGAATAATTACTCTTTTAAGAAAAGTCCTGTATTTGAATTCTAACATTCATATATGTATACATGTAGTGTGTGTGAGTTTTGAAAAAATAATCAAAGAATAGTATCTCAATTCGTTTATGGCTGGCAGGAGGCAGGAGACTTTTAGGAAAGGCTGTGGGAAGCTCTGAGAAGTTGCATTATATTGATGCCTTTACCTTAATTTGTTTTCTAAATCAGAACCTTTCTGAATGGAAAAAAGAAAAAGCAAGCCTGAAAGGGTCTTTGGATTTATTGGCTTAGAAATTATGGGAATTTCCTTTTAAATGCAGGGCTGCAGTGGAATATGTCAGGCCACACCATACTTACTCAGAGCAAACCAATGCAGAAAGATCAGTCCATCAGTCCATCAGTCATATCATATTACCAGTATGCAACCCTCTCTCCTAAACTAAACCCATTTGTCAAATTCAACTATTTTCTCTTCAGCAAATTAACTCCGAACAACAGTTTGAGACAAATGGCTCAGATATTTTAATCTGAATGATAAGATATTAAGATGAACAATCCACCACCAGTGCCAAAAAAAAACATTTAAACCTATGTACCTTTGCTATACAACTTCTTCAACTAACCCTACCTCTTTTTTCTCTCGAATCTCTCCCCAAAAGGAGAAAGAAGTTATGGTCTCCTATCCTGTACTTGTGTTTATTTATTTGGGTTGTTAATCCCACAATAAATTGGAGTGGATAAACATAAATAATCCAAAGTTTGGTCCACTGGTTGTTCCAACTTCCAACATTGCAATTTTGCAGCAGCAGCAACAACTTGAAATTCAATTAGAAAGGCATTAAAGAAGGCAGTGGAGGAAACTGGTGCTGAAGAAAAGAAATGTGACACATTATTCATGAAAGAAATGAAGAAAGTTGATCAACTATTATAAATAAAAAAAATGAAAACAGACTTAAAAATAGACGATTTAATTATCGAAATACAACACATGATAAAATTAAATTCTCCAGACAAATTATAAATTTTTAAATCCATCAAGATATTTAAGTTTTTTTTTTTATTTTTTACTTTTACGTTGTTGCAAAAGCTAAGGATGTCGTGCAAGTTTGTGGGGGACCCACAAAGTCTATGTGGCAGTCAAAAACGCATCCTTCCCAGGTGAGCTTTATTTTAGTCTTGAGACCTGCAATGTAAAACAGCATCACTCTATGTGACTAATATGGAAAGAGGTGTTTCAAAGAGATGCACCTTATTGCGTTCATTGACCAAACCTGACTTAGTTGAGGCACATCGATGAAGGACGTGGGGCGCATGTGTTTTGGCTCAGAGAGTAACAGGTTTCAACAGTCAAGCACAGAAGATATGTTGTCTTTTTTCTATCTTGCTGTAGACATGCAAGAATATAGATGTGATACAGATGTTAAAAAAAATAAGTAAATTTAGGTTTTAGCCATAAAAAAAACTTTTACTTTTATAAAAAGTCAAAGCTTTTTCAAAGAAGACAGAAAAACCTTTCAATTTTCAAATTAAAGACATGCAAATGTAAAATATTCCTTAGGAAATCCAAAAATAAATAAGGGCAATTTTGTCCATTTTGGCTTCTTTTAAAAAATTTCTCTCTCCTTTGAACTTTTTCAAAGTCTCCCAAAAAAATGTATCATTTTGTGATCTTGATGATGAGAAATGGGTGTCCAAATTTTTATTTTTTTGGTTAAAAATGGGTCCTATGATATTTCATACAAAAGTATGAACTATGATCTTGCATATATGATTTGTGTGAAAGAAAAGAATGAATTAGAAACACAAGGAATAGGGGCAAGAATGTTTCTTTTACTCAGCATTTGTCTCATTCCTTCGATTTGTGTTTCATGCTTGCTGAATTAACCCTTTGTCCTTCCCTTTTCAGTTCAGTTTCTGCACCAGCTGCAAGATTTTCCAAACCCAAGATGGAAACCACTTCTGAAATTCACACCAATCTTGATAATTCAGATACTACCAACATGGTCAACTAGGCCAAGATCATCAATTTCTTTTTTCCATGGTCATACTTTTTTTCTGCAATGAATCAGAGTAATCTTTTGATGACCTTTTTAAATTCTTGAGATTTTATCCTTCTTCCTCGTTTCAAACTCTTCAACTTCACTCTTCACCATTTGGTGCATTCACTATTTACATTCATGAGTTAAAAAAATCTCCCACTATCCAGATGTATCAATCTGAAAACAAATTATCACACACAGATGCACAATCTGCGTCCCCCAAAGGCTTTCTGCTCAATAATAGATGAGATGGCCTACCAAGTCACCTCAAAGAAAGAAAAAAGTTAAAACCCAGGGATATCAAAAAACCATAATGTAAACGATCATGGGATTTTTTATATATAAAAAAAAGCACTACTTCATAATCCAGAAAAGAAAAAAACAAAAATCATTGTTTTTCTCTCCAAATTTTCACGTTTGAAAGTCAGATGAAGTAAAGGTGGTGGGGATGTGGGGGAAAAAGAAAAGAAAAGTAGAAGAGTAAAAAGCACTTGTCTGTACCACAAAGGCAGGGCCTAAGCTGGAGTATGCCCCCAACTGAGGAGAAAAATTTAGTTGAAACGGGATAATGCTGTTTTGTTATTCTCGGTTATCATGTGATTCATAGTGTTATTCATAGTGTTATTAGTCGAAAATATCAAACATAATATTATAGAAGTATTTCTCTACACTGAGGAGGGAGAATGACATATACATATATATATATATATACAAAAACTCTCACTTTGCCATTAACAAAGAGCTTCACATTTCACATTACAAAAGAGATTTGCTTTGCTATTAAATTTTGCAGCCTCACATAAAAACAAGGCACGCTTCTCAAGGAGACTATATATGAAGTGGAGACAGCAAACCAAAGAAGAAAGGTGCATTTTTTCTTAATGACACTTCATTTTTTTATTTTTTTTGTTTTATGGATTTCTGTCGTGTAGAGATTGAGAGACAGGAGCGGCAACAAGGAGCAGCTATCCTGTGCCAGTGGGACATTTCCGTCAGGCCTACACACGTGGGACCATGCAGCGGTCACACGTGGGCCCACACTCATGTGAGTAATGCGCAGGGGCAGCTGCAGAGCAGGGGCAGAGTTGCAGTCATAATAAGAGCAGACTCCGTCAGACAGACAGGGTGCACAGAGAAGAGAGAGAAATAGAGGAGAGAGAGTGTCTTCAGAGGCTCTCAAGAGCCATTAGTTTCACCCATGCATAAAAGAAGCCTGCAACCCACTAAACAATCAGCTCAACAAAAAACAAACCCCCTTTCTGTGTCTCTTCAAATCTCCAAAGCTGTTCTTCCTGAATCCTTCTTCTTCTTGTTTTTCATCGCCTTGGTATTTTGAAGGATTATTAATTCTTTGTTTTGTTTTCTTCTTCTTTTTTTATATAAATTTGTTCTGCTTGAAAAATCAGAAGACAAAAAAAAAATGTTGAGTGGAAATCCAAATACTGCAAGAAATAGGTACCCTTTCACACCAAATCAGTGGCAAGAGCTTGAACACCAAGCTCTCATCTTCAAGTACATGGCCTCAGGGATACCTATTCCAACTGATCTTGTCTATTCTTTAAAGAGAAGGTTGGACAATTCAATTTCGTCAAGACTCTTCCCCCATCCCAGTAAGCACATGTTTTGTTCATGGTTTTGTTTTGTTTTTTGTTTTTTGTTTCTATGTTATTTTAATTTTTTGAGATTTAAAAAAAAGTAATGATATATTTTTTTTGTAATAATTTGGGTGTCTTTGGTACTTGTGTGGGTGCAGTGGGATGGGGCTGTTATGAGATGGGTTTTGGCAGAAAGGTAGACCCAGAGCCAGGGAGGTGCAGAAGAACAGATGGTAAAAAATGGAGGTGCTCAAAGGAAGCTTACCCAGACTCAAAGTACTGTGAGAGGCATATGCACAGAGGCAGAAACCGTTCAAGAAAGCCTGTGGAAGTTTCTTCATCAACTACAACTCCTTCAACAACAACAACTGCAACAGAGCACCCTTCATCTTCTTCTTCTTCAGCCCTCTCATCACCGAACAACAAAAACCTCTCCAAAACCTCTTCCTACTCTCTCTCTCCACTTTCCTCATCCATATCCACTGAAACACAAACCCAACATCACCCTCACCAATCTAATTCACCCCTTTATCCCTTCCTTAATTACCCTCAGTCTTCCTCTTCAAGTTCTAGGCCTCCTCCCGGTTCTGTTTTCTCACCTCAGAACAACAGCTCTTCTGCTACCCCTCACCTTTTTTTGAACTCTGGATCTTATAACACTCAAGCTGAAAAAGATTACAGGTTTGTGTTAACAAAAATCAGATTAACCCATGATTTATTTTTGTCTTCTTTTTTTGTTTTTCCCATAAAGTTCTGTTCTTTCTTTTGCCAGTAGGTATCTTCATGGAACGAAGGGAAGTGTGGATGAGCTAGCTTTCTTTCCAGAGTCTTCAGCAAATGGAAGAAGCATATTGACTGGGGGCTCATCATCATGTCAGCCACTAATGAGTTCCTACAGAGGCTACTCTCAACCACAGTTCCAAAGCCTCACAGATCATCATAATCCAGAAGTTTCTCAACAATCACAGGAGGAGGAGCAGCATTGCTTTGTTTGGGGCACTGATTTCAAATCAAGCAGAGCAATCAAAACAGAGAAAGAAGCAGCTGAAACCCAAAAGTCACTGCACCACTTCTTTGGAGACTGGCAGCCACCAAAGAGCACAGACACCTGGCTTGATCTTTCATCCAACTCTGGAGTTCCTAATGGTAATTAGGTTTTTACTGTCAATGTTCTCATTTGGCTCTGAGCCTCTGACCTCTTTGTTGTCAGTTGTTTAATTTGAAACGTTTCCTTTGTGGTGCAGATGGCTGAAGTCCCATATCTCAATTATGGGGAGTTGATCAAAGGCCAAAAGAGTACTCTCTGGTGGGGCATTGCCTTTTCTAACTTGAACTGGTGGCTAGGGAGCTTTATTTTGCTGAAAGGCTTGTGAGTGAGTGAGTGAATAATGTAGGGGCCACACAGAAGGATTTCTGTCTTTTGCTTTTTCTTGATATTTATTTCCTTCCTTCTTCCACCCCTCTCTAAGAAACATGTCTCATGTCTGGTATTTATAGACTTGCTTGTTTGACTGGAAGCATGTTGAAATGATATGGGGCCTCGAGGGTCAAAGTTCTGTATGGGTAGGAATTACTTTATCATATGGAATTTGGTTACACAAGTTCATATTTATGGACCCAAGATGGGGAACATCTGCAATGAATTGGCTCATTTACCCTTTTACCTATGTGGACTTTTTGTGTGTTTTCCAAAGGGTTTATTATTGCCTCTGCTCATCCAATGGACAGCACTCAGACTCAGAGCATATATTTTTTTTTTCCTTCAATCAACCATGGGTTGGATCTACTGTGGTCTGGTCTCTTTTCTATTGAATCTCACCCCGTTTGATTATTTTCCATGTCCCAGTCTGAGACTTCGAATTTTATAGTATTTTTAGGCAGTTGCACACTTGGATCATGTGAGTGAGTGGGTTTTTCATTGAACTTGACATGGCCAAATTGATGCGCTTTCCCCATAAAATTAAATTAAATCTGGCTTGAGTTATTTTTTCTTTATTATATAAGTTTAAATTGTGCCCCAAAACATCCCTTCGACAAAAATTAAATACTGATGAAATATACCAGCATCATGTATCTTGTCTCCTAGGAGTACCCTCTTTTTTTCTTTCTTCAATGTTAAGAAAGGAGGAAGAGAGTTTTCTCACACATACCACACTGCAAATGTATTTTGGAGGTTCGAACTTGAGACTGGTCTGCAAGTCAGGCTTTTTACAACTGGACTGGACCTGTTGGCGGGGTTGAATATGTCGGTTCTCTTCTTTGTTATTAATGTGTTTGGGCTGCTCTTCTGAGCCTTTGCTTTCTGTTTGTTGGGCCTAGCCTCTTCCCTTTGAGCTATTTACCTTCAGGCTTCTTTGAAGTATCTTTTGGACGGAAAAGTTGAAATCAAAATTAACATAAAACGAGAGCATTTGCATTTGATACTTTTCATTCATAATATCAAGTCAAACATAACAAGCACTTGAAAATATCATATTGGATGGATCATGAACACCACTTCAATGTTCTGATATCTATAGTGAGGGCTTATCTAAGTTCCTTAAATCAGACCTTATCTCTTAACCGTTGGATCAAATTGATTAGTTTAATCCAACAATTAACATATAGGGCATTTGATACTTTTCATTCATAATATCAAGTCAAACATAACAAGCACTTGAAAATATCATATTGGATGGATCATGAACACCACTTCAATGTTCTGATATCTATAGTGAGGGCTTATCTAAGTTCCTTAAATCAGACCTTATCTCTTAACCGTTGGATCAAATTGATTAGTTTAATCCAACAATTAACATATAGGACCTCATCTAAGGGCCTTAGATAAGACCCTCACTATAGAATAACACCTGATACACCATTTAATTGGTCTAATACTCCATCTGATTTGATCATTTGTCTTTAAAAATCGCATAACATGACGTCTTGCTTTTGATTTTATATTATGACACAAAAGCAGAACTGTTCTATTTTTTTGGTAGAAAAAATAGGCCAAACTTTGTCCATCAATTCCAAGTTACAACAAAGGAAACTGACATAGTCAAACAAATTATATACTGTACGCATAGGCCAAATTATGCTGTCTTTGCGTAACTCTTAACTCAGAGGGGAGTCAACTTCCTGAGATTGGTCCTCAGTTTGCAGCTATTGCGAGGAGATTCGATAGCTGCTGTTTTTCTCATCCCTATGATAAGCAAATAGAATCAAAGTCATAGCTCATAATATAGCATTTACAAGTTGAGAGAATCCCTTAATTTCAATATATGGAAGCAAGCAAGCAAAGAAAGATAGTAGATGAACTTTGTACATAAACTTTACCAAAAACAGAAAAAGAAGATAAAAGATGGAACTTTGTACATAAAATTTACCAAAAACAGAAAAAGAAGAAGATAAAAGATGGAACTTTATACATAAACTTTACCAAAAAAGGAAGAAGATAAAAGACGAACTTTATACATAAACTTTACCACAAAAAATAAAAGAGATTACTTATGTGACCCTCCCAAAAGGGGAAGGAGGCAGTATTCCTCCCACAATCTGAGCAAAAAGGAAATGCTTATAAGAACAAGTCTCGTAAACAGTAAAAGTACATTAAAACTTCTGATTCCAGGCAAAAATCTGTATCATTATCATCAGAATGTAGGGGAAGTGAATGATGATACTGCTTCACTGGTGAATGTTCTTCTAAGTATCTTTCACCATAAACCTCTTTGCAGGGCATTCAGCAGATGCAGCTAGCATCTAAACGCTAACTGCAAGGGAACAATTTTCCCTATTTTTAAAAAACACTTTCAGAAGACCAAGGAAAAATAGTTTTGGTATGATTCATATTCTACAATCAGCACAAAGAGCTAAGATGTAACAAAAACCAGAATGCCTGGCAATTCCTCCTACTCTCCAACATAGTCATGCAAAAAGTCAGCACACACCACTGATAAATGTACCAAAATGAAATCAGAGCATCAAAACAACATTTGGATATGTTTCCAGACAAAACTATAATGTGTATTTCAGCAGTGAAAGTCAGAGTATTGATATATAGAACACAAACTAGACTAGATCACAATATGAACCCACAAAGTCATTGATACCAATACCATAATGTGTATTGCAGCAGTCAATGTCAATAACTTGTATATGCAACCCACAAATTTGATATTGTCATCACTCTCATAGAAAGAGAGAAAACTTGATACTGTCATTGTAATTCTTCCATGATTTCTAACATTGTTATACAGTCAGAGGGTTAAAGTTAGCAGGAAATGAGAAAAGGTAATCAGCTCAAAACACAAATCCTAAGATGGTTTCTTCTGCTTTAAATTATAAGCCGTGTAAACAAAGCTAAAGAACAAAAAAATCAACAGAAAATTGAAGAAACATGAAGAAAATTCCAAGCAACAATAACCCATTTACAGAGCAACCGCAAGGGGGCCAAACAGAGCAGCCACCAATCCCCAGATCCATTCACAACATATCGATCTGTTCATGATTCATATACTGCCTGCCGCTCACCAAAGAATCATAATTCCCTAAAAGCCCCACTATGATATGCTCATTGAAGAATATCCAATCCACTCGTAGCCCCAACTACATAGCTCTCAGCGAAACAAAAGAATTTGTAAGAAGTCTGCAACTAAAATATTCAAGAACAAGTCTCATATCTATCCTTCACTCTTAGCAGCTGCCTTCTCTTGAAAACCAAGAACCCAATCACACCAATCTGAAGAATGGCAGCCATACCAACAAACAACAGCCCAATCTTCTTCCCTGCATTGTACTTGTGGCCAGGATGAGGCGGTGGAGGATGCGGACGGCGATTATTGGTCGGTCTTGGCCCCCTATGTGAGGGAGGTGGCAGTCTCTTCTGATCATTCTTGGAATTGAGCTGATTTGCGGGGCGATCAGGTGGTGGCGGGCCAGGAGATTCTAGTGGAGATGGTGAATTCGAAGAATCTGGTCGAGATGGGGAGTTCGGAGATGGCGGGGTCGGAGATTCCGGAGGTGGCGGGGTCGGAGATTGTGGAGGCGATGGCGATAGAGGTGGTGGAGGCGGTGGCGATAGAGGTGGTGGAGGCGGTGGCGATGAAGGTGGTGGAGGTGGTGGAGGTGGTGACGGGGGAGGTGGCGATAAGTGTTGAGATTGAGACTCGACAAGAAGAGCACATAAGCTAATAGCAAACCCCAAAACCACAAAAACTAAGCTTGAAAATGGGGATTCCATGAAAACAACAACCACAGGACTTGCACTCTCAAGGCAAATTAGGGCTAGGGTTTCTGGAGCACTCTCGCATCTGAGTCTAACCCAAAATTCTTACTTTCCTTTTCATCAGCTTTGAATCGAAGGGAAGAGAAAAAGGGAATACCTTGCCTCTTCAGATTGATTGCACCCAAGAACTAGGGTTTCTGAATCTGAGCCGTTTTCCAATCAGGCCTCTCTGATTTCCTCTTCCTCTGAAACTGCAACCAAAAGGGTCAGATGGGTTCGGCCCCAAATGCTCGATTTCGTCCTCTCGGGGCCTGCCTCAGAAAGCTCGGTTCCTCTTACAGATATAGTCCCAGAGGTCTAGGGTTTGGGCATGAGCTCGCTTGATCTTCCAATCTGGGTCGTTCTGATTTATCGTTCAGCAGAATCAAACCAATCGGTCAAATGGTCAGAAACGCTTTGATTCCATATTCAAAATCGTCACACAATGGTTAGCTTTTTGACAAAAAGGAATTGGATTGAAAGTGGGTCTTTGGGGCTTTCTTGTCCCTGTGGAAAAGAATTACAGAAATGAGTCAAATGGGTGGTTGGGGAAAACATTAATTGAAAGGTATAATGGGAGGAGAGAGCTTCTCTGTGATCTTCGCCACCTTCTCAGAAACAGCGAAACTAGAGAGAGAGAGAGAGAGACAGCGAAAGGAGGTAGATAGACACAGAGAGAGGGAGAGAGTCTACGCGGGGTTCAACGGTTGGGCTAATTTGGGTGAATGATTGCATAGGAAGAATCTTTTAAGCTGTTTTCCAATGAGAGAGAAAGAGAGAGAGGGGGAAGGGAAACTTGTGTAGATGGAGAAAGAGAGTGTTCGTGTAGCTTTGTGACTTGTCAAATGGTTATCATGAAGTTGGTGACAAAAAAATATTCACAAGTCTATGCAAGTCACTGCTGTCAATTGGCTATATATACCCAATTGAAAGTTTATAACTTTCTATGCAAAATGTCCTCAATCTCCCATCTCTATCTATCATATATGTAAATCAAGACTCTTTCTTTACCCTTCTCAAATTTTAATGAGAGTTTGCAGTCCAAGACTCCAAACCAACAACACTATTTTCAACAAGAAAAAAAGAAACCAATGGAAGGCAAAACAAAAAATATCTTATAAAAGAAAACCAGTCTTTGGACCATGTGGACCCAGTTAGTGGGTATATCATGGCTTTCGCTTTTTCAGTGTGAATTAATGGTGGAAGGGCCTATTGGGCTCATCTCAAAGATTTGGTTGGACCTGAAATTAGGTAGAAGGTAAGGTCTACGTCCGTGGTCCACCAGTTTGTCCGGCTTTAGTACGGCTCAGCCCATTCAATGGGATGGTCCGGTTCGGGTCGTATTTTAGCTTAGCTCCTGCTGTGGGTTGACCCTTTTGACCGGATTTTCAGTGGCCACCGACAGCGGTGTTGAGAAACTGGACGGGGTTGTTGAGGATGCCTCGTTCATTTGACTATGGTAATGTCTTAAGTCATGGGTGTACAAAGATGATGTTTGGGTGTCCATAACATCCCTCTTTTTACAATGCTATGAGAATGGCCCGTTTCAAATGGGTGAAAAGCTGGATCGACCCACAACTCTTAAAACCCCCTTTTTCATATTTCCATTTTTTCTATTTTCTTTTCTACTCTTTTTTTTTCTTTTTTTTTCTTTTTTTTTAAGAATACTCTCTCAGTTAGATGAACGGTTATCGTCAATTCTTTGAAGTGATCTATTCTCATGATCTGGATCTTTAAAAATTAAAAAAATTAAAAAAAATTGTGACCAATTTGTATTAATTTTTATTAAAATAATCAAGCACATTATTTAATTATCTTTACAATTCTCCATCTCTTCTTAATCATGTTCACATCACCAAATTCAATGGGGGTGCAGCCACTGAAGCCATGGAGAAAAAGTCATCTCCCTCCATATTTTTAAATATAAAAAAACTTAGATTTAAAGTGATTACTTACTTGTCCAGGAGAGCTAGAAATTCTGTGGAATCCAAAGGTCTGTCTGGCAATCTGGTGGCCTGGCTTAAAAGACAGTCTAGCAAAGCTCCCTCATCATGGAACCCACAAGTTTATTTGCTTGAGGGATCTTTATCAAAATCTTATACAAATTAAATAATTGGATTAATGCCAATTAAAAATATTGTATTTGTGGAGTGAATTTAGAAAAAGAAAAATTGACAACTGAAAGATCATTTTTGAGACTTCCAGCTGGATCCAGGAACATATGTACACTTTACAAAAGGGGGCATAAGAAGTTTGCAAACCCTATATCAATATAAGGCATTGCATGCAAGAAATAAATTTACTTGAACATATATCATGAAATATTTTATGTTGCCGGAATTCAAATGGGTCTTTTCATTTATTTTTGTTGTTGTTGAGTACAAACGATAATCTAAATTAAAAAGGAAGGGAATTTCTCACACACACATATAATTATGATGTCATGAGAGTTCGAACAAGAGAACTATAATCTGCAATTCAAGACCCTTTTTTACTCTGCTTGACAGTGTTGGCTTTCATTTATCTTTTAATGTCGAGTATGTGATTTGAACTCGGACTTTTCTCCAACGTAGTGAAAGCTGAATATTTGACCAACTGACAAGTTTGTCATATATTGGGCTTTAGATTGATGGCTGATGGGTTGAAATTGCAGGAGGAATCGTTGGTTGGGACCTTAGAATATTTTAATCATTCTCTATTTTTGGATGAAATTCCTTTCATTTGAATGGGATCAATAATCCAAAATGATTTTCATATCACATAAGTTGATGGAGTGTCATAAGGATATCCATCCATCCATCCATCCATGGATGATCAATGGTGGTTCATAGCTCAGGCTAAACTGTAGTCATTCTGTAGTGAGTGCATTATCTTAACTTTTGGATCAAATTAATCAATTTAATTCAACGACTAATTAATTTAATTAAACAGTTAAAAAATAAGACCTCATATAAAGAATAAGGCCCTCACTATAGAATTCTTTGGCTAAACTGAGTTTCAACCTTTGATTATGGGCTTGTGTCTAATTTGCTTTTTATTTTGGGCTTTTTCTAGTTTGTTTTCTTTGTTTTGGGCCCTTGGCCCCAGTTGCAAGATTTTAAAAAAGAAGGTTAAATTGGTTGGATAGAGACGTCTCATTCATAATATCATTATCCTTTGATTTTGGGTATTCAAAATTAAGTTACACACTAATCAATAAAATGTCTCGCACACCCGCAAAGGATTCACTAGTGTAGTGGTTTATAGCTATTACTCATCCAAGTAAGGTTTTGAGTTCGAGTTCTAACATTCGTATAGTGTGTGTGAGTTTAATATATTTCGCTTATCTCAATAGGAAATATCCTTTAAAAGAAATGCACACCGTCTCCCCTGAACAATTTACTTTTAATTAAACTTAAAATAAATAAAGATAAAAGGAGAGTCTATATTGTCTACGGAGGTATGATATTTTGGGACACAGATAAACAAGACAGTGAATGCAAATACAAGTACACTTGCAAAATGGCATGCATGGCATGACACATTTTAATATGCTATGCAAGTTTATTTGACATGTTGTTGTCCTCAAAATGACAAAAGTAACCTTGGTGTAAAGGGAGCAAGGTCACATGGGAGAGAGAGCGAGAAGCAAGTTTGGCTGGATCTAATAAGTCTTTTTACCAGCGGCAGCAGCAGCATCAAAAAAAAATTTATTTTATAGTGTCTCAAAAACAATGTCAGTCAAACAAAGCAAATGGATCTCACCCAAAACCCAGCTGGAAGCTCTTGTCCCATCAAAATTCCAAAAGGTTTCTTCTTCCCTTTTTTTTATTTTTTTGGTAAAAACCCTAACAAAGAGAACGAAAGTGACCCATTCACTCTACTGCTGAATGCTGATCCTAGCTAGTGGCAAATTGGTCATTCAAAACCCTACCCAAGTTCACTTTAGAGAGGGAGAGAGATGTTGGAATTGCAGAGACAGATGGAGAGAATAAATGGCGCAGGGATGGGCCGAAGGCCACATAACAGTGAAGGCTTTTACACATAGATATAGATGTAGATTGCTGCATTATTTGATGTGTCTTGGAAATTGATGCTTTTGTTTCTTTTATTTTAGTGTGTTAGATGTTGAAACTCAGCACCTGGCTTCAGGCACGCGATTTGACCATGGAAACAAAGCTTCATAATCCACCATCCAAAAGCCCTTTATAATGAGTAGTAATTCTAATTAAACTATTCATACTAATCAAGAATGCCAAATATTTACATGGTTCATTCATACTAGTCAAGAATGCCGATTATTTACATAGTTCATACTAATCAACGACTATCAATCATTCGATGAAAACAATAATACGTGGTAATAGGAGAATCTTGTTAATTAGTGTATGTTTAGGTGGTCAATTTGAACACTCAATAACAAAAATTCGTATATACTAACAACATAACAAATGTTTACAAGAAAAATATCAATTTTCTTTTGTTTAGTAATTTTGTCTTTTTCTTGGGTTTTTGACAAGTTATCTCAAGAAGCAAGATAACAAGTGATGCATGCAGCATATATATATATATATATATAAGTTCTTGAAATATCCAAAATCCTATTCACCAAACACAGAAGCTAAAAGCACAGAGCAAGTAAAACCTAAAGCTGGTAATTAAAATAGCTTAATTAAATGATTCCAGGAGCCAGCGCAAACTGAGCCCTACAGACCTAAGCACTGCAAAAATCCAACCCTAATTCTGTGCCCTAGCTCTAAAAAATCTTACATAGATTATACATTGATGTAAAAGCAAAGAGGGCGTGGCCAGTAGGGCAGCCTAGGATAGTTATGATGGAGAAATGTCGCTGCTGGAGGTATCTAGTCCTGTGGATATTGTCTCTTTGTGTGTGAGAGCTATAAGGTTCTGTCCTGCCTGCCAGGTTTTGTTGTTAGATTTTTCTGTGGATCCCCCCCTCCTGCCCCAAATCTATCTCTAAATTTTCTCCCTGCAACACCCTCTCAGTCCGTACATATTCTCTAACATAAAGCATCGAAACTGAGTTGAATAATATATAGTTGGAATGTTGGATATTCGAAAAATTATATGAATAATGATTAATTTCATGAGTGATATATTATATTGATACCGTCGTACCTAAAATGTGTGTATGTCGACTCACAGGAGATTCTCTAATAAGTGTTTTATGTAAAAAATTAGTTACATACTTCTAATCTTGGTCGTTGTATTATATTTATTAAATGCATTGGTAGTTTCTTATGCAATTTAACAACCGAGATTAGAAATATGTAACTAATTCTTAACTTAAATACTTATTGGAGAATCTCTCGTTGACTCACTATATACATCACTACCGTACATTATAAATTATGATTTTTTTATAATCAATGATTCAAATTAATAATTTCAACAATGTTATTAATAGAATAATTTGATAAGTGAAAGTTCCAGTAATATTATTTCATTTTTCAACAAAGAAAAAAGCTACAATAAGGGCAGCACTTCTTCTTCTAACCTTTAAAACATAAAGTTGTAAGGGATCTTATGATAATTCTAAGCTAGGTTTTGTGAGGGATCGTTCCCCAAAATTTGTGGAAGAAGTATAATCTGGGGACTTTATATAAATATGAGTACCTCATCCTCAACCAATTTTGTATCCTTCGAAAAATGTGTACGTGAATAAAAGAATTAAAATCTCAGAAAATTTTAAATTGTGTATGGTCACAATTGAGAGTGAAATAAATATGTCAAAACCTAACGATATTGCAAATTATAGTCCCGAAGTAAAAGGAAAACCTCAAGTAACCAAATCATTCCAATTCTTTCACCAAAATATTGCTTTTATGTTCTAAAATATGAAAACTTTATTACAACAAATTATGTTCTAATTTGCATTTTGCATCTATATATATAACTAAGTTACTAAATTTTGTAGTTCTCAAACTCCATCTCACATCATATTTTAGTCATTGTCCGTTAGAGCATCAACAATGGGAGGGTGTATAACGGACATCACCACCATGGAGATGTAAAATAAAATGCACATTTGCATATATTTTCACATATTTTGCAGGCAGGACCCACCCAAAAACAGAGATGAAAAATGAAAAAAATGAGATGTAAAAGTGGTTTTATATTGTTTCTCATTTGAGTAAAAAACGTATTTACACCCCCCATAATTGTAAATGAGATATAAAAGTGGCTTTACACCCCCAAAAATACACCCCCCACTGTGAATGCTCTTAGGCCCCATTTGGTTCACTGAATGGATTTGAGGGGAAAACATTTCCCATGTCATTTCCCAAGGAATAGGAATGAAATATTCATTTCCCATGTTTGGTAATGTCGCGAAAGTAACCGGGAGATTTCACTTTGTTTCCTTTTTGTTTCCTTTCCCATGTTTGTTTTGAGTAGAGATGGAAAACAAAGTTTGTATAATTTTCCAATTATACCCATATTAAATCAAATAAAAAAAAAGCATTTAATGATACGTTGTAATTATAAATTGTTCATAGGGACAAAATAGTCATGAAAATTGTGCATTGAATGTTGGCTCATTTTCCCGAACTTTCCTATGAGAAGGGAAAACAAAACCCAAGTTAAGAGGAGGGATTCACTTTCCCCCCTACTTTCCCATATGCCAAGAAACCATTTCCTATGTATGGACTTATCAAACATGGGAAAGCAATTGAATTTCCATTCCCAAGCATCATTTCCCATGAACCGAACGGGGCCTTACGGTAATCACTTTGGCCTTCATGGACAACTTTTGCTCACACTCCATAGTTGAAGAAAGCAAGCAAATCCAATACTTCCGAATTCGAATCCCTAATCAGTCAATCCAAAATCGAACCCTAAAATGACCAAATATACCTCAAATTTGCTCTAATTAATACAGCAAGTTAAACCCTAATCCAGTGTTAATCAGTGAGTGTAAGCAGCAAATGTAACCCAATCACTCGATTTCATAACAAAGAATCTCAACCGACTCCTTTACCCATCAGATATAGAAAGAAAACTTGATTTGGTCTAAAATGTTAATTCAAACTCTTCTTATTTAGGTGTTAAAAGCGAAGAGACTTCTATATTGTACTTGTTGACTTGTCTTCGATTGGATTTAGACTGATGGCTTGGTTGGCTGCATGCCTGCAAAGAAAAAACACAAAATTACAGAGAGAGAGAGAGAAGCCCACTGCGCCATTGCACACGTCATTACAGAAGAGGCCAAAGGGCACGCAATTTAAGGGGTTGGATTCTTTATTTCTCCACGAGTCAAAGGGGGGTTGTCCCCACTTCTTTGACTTTTTCTCCCACAAAAAACACTACTTCACCTGCGCATTTTAGCAAATCGCCATGCACTCACCGCTTTGCTGACCGTGCCCGAGGAGAACAACAAGAACTGCACTGTGAGTGAGTGAGCTGTGGTGATCAGCTGTAGCAGCGCCTCATTGGGACTTCATACTCTCTCTCTAGTTACTAATTGCCTGTGAGTTTGAGATGGTAAAATCTAACTTGAATAGAAGAAAATTTAGAAATAAACAGCTTTTCTGTGAGTTACTTGTCCACCAAATAACGTGTTAGTATAATAGCATTACTGGTGCAACAAATAAAAGTGATTGTATATAGGGTTAGGTTAGTTTATCTCACGATCATAAGTTGATCAAGATCATAAATCCGTATTTTTACGGCTAAGTTTGAATTCCCCTATTTAATATATATATATATATATATATATATATATACACTCTATTTTGAAATGTGAATAATATAAGAGTGCTGGTTAATTGAGATTTTCCACTGTTTTTGTGAGGAGATGAATTTGGTGTGTAATTATACGATTTTCCTTTACTTGTTTCTTTTTCTTACAAATGAAGATGTGCATTTTTCTTTTCTTTTATCTTCCCAAGAAAATTTAATTCTTAATTTTGACAAGTTGCTCTCATATATATTCAGACCGCAACAAGAAAGAGAAAAATGCTCTCATCTAATAGGTCCCATCGTTTTCATAATTAACTCGAACTGCTATATAAATCGTACTCCGAATTGTCCATTTCAATCTTCAGAGGTATCATCGCAAACAAAAAAAACTTACATGTAACAGGAATAACAATGTTTTACTATCTTCGACCAATAACATAACAATAAGTAAAAAAAGTTATTTTACGTAGCATTGCGTTATTAACCGGGAATAACAAAAAATATTATCCCTATTACATGAGAGTTTCTCTCTACAATCCACCACACTGCATAGAAAATTAAAAGCAAGAAAAGTATAAACCATATTTTGGTTAATATTTAAATATATTAAAACATGCATATTAAAGGAGCTAAACTTCTGGTGACAGCAAATGTTTTTAATGAATTATTTTTGCATATACATCGAGGAAGTAGTAATGTCCCTAATATAAAGAGGAAAGCAATGTCCAATATACATTAAAACATATATATATATATATATATATATAAAAGGAGTTAAAATTCAGGTAGCAGCAAATATTTTGGTCGGTGAACCACTGAACCAATACTAAACCGAAAAATAAGTACTTGATCAGTATTTATTGTTTATAATTTTTCTTCCTTTTTCAAAGTGTCATTCATCACAATTAATGGGGCTGAAATCAGCTGCTAGATTTGGTCAGCTGATACACAGCAAAATGCAGCTTTTTCCATTCTGACAGTGACAAAGAAATTAACTTTCACCACTAATTAATTTCTGTTTGTTCTTTTGGATAAAATAATATCAGTTACAGTTAATAAGATGCAAACACCAAAACAATAACTGTTAGGGCTTTTAGAACAACTCAACCCATTCCATTTACCTTTTTTTTTTTTTTTTTTTCTTTTTTTTTTTTATTTTTAACTTCATTCCTACCTAGCTTGCTTAATTTCTTCCACCACAAATTAACCAATTCTCCCTAAGACTAATTTGTGCTCCTTAATTACGCTTAATATTAAAACACAGTTCTTTTCCACTAATCAGTCATTCCACAGTGCAAACATAGGGACTTGTGGAACCAGACCAAGATTTCCAAGCCTTGAATGATCATTCCCACCACCATTGCCATCTTCATACTTAGCACCCTGCAATGAGAAATAAGCATGGGAATAGTCTCCTCCACCAAGGCCAAACTCACTAGTGTGGCCAAATGAGCACTTGGGGCTTTGTGGGCTTGAAGAGTTCCTGCTGCTCGAAGCACCCAAAGCTGCATTGTTGTTGGTGGTGTTTGAATTCTCATGATGTGAATGGGAATGATCCTCAGAATTATTATTATTCCACACCATTTCAGCCATGTCATCACACGGTTCACCACTTGCTATGGCCAAAAGGGGTTGTGCAGAAGTAGATGATCCACAAGAATTGAAGTCTTCGATTGCTGCCGGAGTAGAGTCTTTCGGCGAACGCTTGGCCAGCTCACTTGCAATTAGGGTGGAGCTTGAGCAAATTCTCTTCACATCATACCTACTCATATCAAAGTTGGTCACAGCACTTGTGCCCCTAAACTTGATTGCAGCAATGTCATAAGCCTCAGCTGCTTCTTCTTGTGTGCCTATCATATTTAAGAATTGGATATAACAGTTGATCAGAAGTTGTTAACTATGAGTTTATTCTTAAATGAACAGATCAATTGGTCATTTCATAGCAAGGTGGTAAAAAAATACTTACTAAATGTTCCCAAGTACAAGTCTTTGTTTCCAGCCACCCTGCCAATTCTAGCTTGCCACCTTCCATGCTGATGGTGTCTGCCAAGACAAAGAAAACAAGGTTTTGACAGATAAAGAGGAAAAAGGAGGATGGGAAACTGGATGGGGAGGCCTTGAATAATGTATTAAGTTTACATACGTTTTGATATCATATGGACATTTTTCTAATAATGTTTTCCTATTATTGCCTATGATAATTGAAAAAAAAGGCTGCAAATGCAGAAAATAATGGCAACTCTATTATTAAAGTTGGATTTCTGCCATACCTTGTCACTCCTCTGTACACAGAAGCTCCTCTTGAAAACCCACTGCTTTTCCTACACAACATCAAAAGATGCCATTCAGACTTTAAAATAAATAAATAAAAATCAAAGCATAAAAGAAGAGAACAAAAGTAACAGAAAAGTATGGTCCAATAGGTATCGGTATCAAGTTGAAAAAAGTGCTGATGATAAAGGGTATATACCTTCTCAAATTGGCTACAAATTCTTGCCTTGTCATGTTCTTCATCTCTTCCAGCTCTTTCTCATAAGTACTCAGCTGAGCAACAACAATATCAAAAGCATACAGAATTGCATAATGGTTTTAAATATTGTTACAAAAAGTGAAACAGGGCTTTTACTTCATTTCTAATTTCTTCGAGAGAGACTTTCATGCAACGGCGATAGATAGCAAAATAGGGTAAAGTTATTCCCATTACAAGATATTTTTTTCTGAATTTCTTGAGGTAATAACAAAACTCACAGGAAAATTAATGTGGGTGGTTGAACCCCAATACTTGAGTGCAGCTAAATCATATGCCCTTGCTGCTTTTTCCTCTTTATCATAACCACCTGATGATCGTAATGCAGGAAAGGAATATGAAGGTTATTAAATCATATATCACACCTTCCAATGCACCATATATATTTTTATTTTTAAAAAAATATAAAAAATTAAATGTTCAACTGTATAGAAAATTCAAAGAGAAAAAGTACGTCCACAAGAGCAATAAAGAAACAGCATGCAATGCGTATCAGAGCATCAGAGCTACTAGATTCGCTTACCCAGATAAACTGCAGTTGCAAAAGTGTTGAAGATGTGAAGAAAGACCACCAACCCAGAAGAAAATCGCACGAAATAAAATACCAGACCGTTAGTATATTCCTTTAACAAACAAAAGTACCCAAAAAAAGAAACTAAGGAAACAATCTTTCTTCCATCACCAAAAAAACAATCTGGCAAAAATAAAAACCTCACCTTGCCTTCCTTTTCCCTGGTTTGCCCTTCTTTTCTGCAACTATTATCCCACAGATGGGCCCTCATATCTCCCAGTCCCACCTATACCTATAACACATAATTTCATCCCCACATTAAAGTATTTTTTCAGTGTTTTCTTTGTGTTTTTTTTTTTTTTTTTTTTTTTAAAAGAAAATACTTGGTAGTGTTATATTACCTGGTGACACCACGGAACTGAGAAGTTCGCTGACCAAAAGTGTCAATAGATTTTCTAGGAACTGGTTCTCTAGCTGCAGATTTCCCAACAGGCCTTTTCTTGCTTTCCACTATTTGCATTTGAGAGATTCCGGCCATATTATTACCATTTTGTTGTAAGCTTGGGCTCATAGTGAGTGAGAGAGATGACTGGTGAAAGCTGTTGCCATTTGCCTGGTGGTGATCACCACGTGGTGTTGATTTTTCATCAGAAAACGGTACCGTTTGGCCCAACCAAGATTTGTACATGCCATTACTTTGGATGAGGCTTGGTGGGTTTAGGGTACAATAATGGCTGTATGGTTGAATTAGGTGGTTGTTGTTGTTGTTGTCTTCTCCATTGTTGGTGGTGGTGTTGAAGTTTGGGGCCTCATTAACATTGATCTGAGAGATGGTTTCTGGGTTTTGGTCTTGTTGGGTACTTTGGCAATTGTAGACTTTGGTTTCACTTGGAGGGGGAGAGCTTGTGTAGCAGCTGCCCAAGAAATCTTCAAGCTTTGGACCCCCTTCATCATTTGGGTCTGTGACACTTGTTGCACCCATGTGATTTTCATATCTCCAATCTTCCAAAATCACCATGCCAAGAAAAACACTCAAAGTGATTATCAAAAGTCAAAAGCTGCACATAAAAAAACACCCACCAAGTGGTCATAGAAACCATGTCCTAACAGTGACATGCAATACCTTCAGAACCATTGGGTCGCCTGAAAGGATCAGCAGGAGGAACACAAAGAGACCCATCAGAGCGCAAGGGCATGATGGTCATTTGAGAAGTGAAGCCTCCTCCTCCTCCTCCTCCTCCATGGTCTTGTTGATCTTCTCCCCCACCAAAGCCTTCATGGATCCTCAAGTGTGGAGTGAGAGAAAACCCCAACCAGTTACTCATATTGAGAATAGAAAACAACCCACAAATCTAAGAATTTGGTGTTTAAATTTCTCTGTCTAAAGTTCAAACCTTTGGGTTTTTGGGAAGTTTTCAAAGGTGGTAATGGTTGTGTGGTTTTGGGGAACAGAGGAAGGGAGTAGATTGCATATGCATAAATGTCTTTTGCTTCATAGATTTACTTGTGAATCATATGATGATGGAAGGAAAGGAGGGGCTCATTTGTCCTTGTGGGTCTTTTTGCTTTGCTCAATGGACATGCAAACCTAAAAACCAGATTTGTGAAAAACTACAAAAACTCACCCCTCCTCTTTATATTCTCGCCTTACCTCTGCTTCTGTTTTGTATTGAAATTCTTGGGCTTTGTGCCCTACCTCCCTCCCTTCTTTCATTTCTTTGTCATATTCCTGCAGTGGTGGCCATGAGACATGGACATAATGTTGTAGACAAACATAAAATTCAAATTTATTACTTATTATTTATTATTATTTGATACATGAATTCAAAATGAATTAAGAAATGATACTATTAAGAAGATACTCCTCATTTCTGCAACTCACACTTTGATACATATATAAAAATAATTCATAAAAAATAGACAAAAAAAGACTTATGCACACATGTTACATTGTTAGTGACATGAATATATGAGTTTCTACTTACCTGATAATGAGTGAAGTATGAAATACTTTCAATGATTGAACATCAAATCAAAGTCAGCACACACTTAGATCTTCATCTTTGTTAATTAATCTCTGCCCTTGTGGATCTATTTGCTCTATGGAAGAAATAGAGAGGTGTGATGATTTTACATAGCTCTTAACTTTCCTAGGCTTTTCGTTTCTTCATTCATGAATTTCTACCTAGTTATAATGAATGAGCAAGCATATGGAAATTGATTGCCGCATGGCTTACACCCTTTTGCTTCCCATTCATGTAATGTATAATGTACCAAATGGATCAGTATTCATGCACTCCATGTAGTAATTAATGAGGCTTCAATTGATTAAACTTTGTTAATTAAGAGCAATTAAATTTGTGCACGAATGATGCTGGATTTGAGTTGTTTTTAGAGGGGTAAAATTGTCTCAAAAGATTTTGCTAGTTGACTCAGAAATTTGTTCCTTTTAAATTCCTAACACTCTCCAATGATGCTAATAATGTGGGCCTCTTGGGCCTAAACTTGTTTATTGGGTTCCTCATGAGACATATTTTTTAGTGGTTTCTCTTTTAGGGCTAATGTTATGTAAAAATAGTTTGGATTTTTTTTTTCCGCAATTTTAGCCCATCGAATGTAAGGCATTCAATTTTACTCGTGTACGTGAGTTTTTCCCCTCTCCCTCTTAACTTTGGCCAAAAAAAAATGTACTCATAGCAAGATCAACATGAATGCACATTAATGAGAAATTCGGAGATATTGGAATTAGATTGGGTTTGGAACTTATTATAACTTCCATTATTATCATTGTAACAATTTACTTCTTTAATTCAAGCCTTTGGGTTTGGGCAACTGTTTTAGAAGTCATGTGTTTTCCAACTTTTGTTGCTAATGCAGCAGTGCAGAGCTCTAGTTGCAGAAACACCAGATAAAGGCCTGCCAAGACCCTGAACAAAGGATTGCTTTGGGCTTGGTCCTCCTATCTCCCTGTGCTTAGTCCTTAGTGTGGGTTTGATTTAGCTAGCATGTCCAAAGAGCCCTACAAGCCAAGGCCATACACTTCTTCTTGTTTTGTGAATCTTTCCCAGCTCTAAGTAGAAGAGAGAGTTTTGTAATTTTCAAGTACCAAAACATTAAGTTTAAAGAGTTTTATTTCTCTTTGCAACCTTTTGTAGATTACAGAAATCAAATCCTCGTCAATTAAGTTGAACATGTTGTCCTACACATAGTTAACACTAATTGGTTAGTTAACTTGTCCCATTAATCACATCCTAATCATGCTACCGGTATCGATATATCTTTCGATATTTTTCTAGCGAACCGAAATAATATGTATCTCTATGGTCTGTTGTATATCTTATATGATACCTACCTCATCGTTGTGGTCAAATTTGGACGTACCACACACTCCATAATTGTAGGACATCCAAATACATTAGTTTACTGAATTAATTAACTCCTAATCTCTGAGTCTTACATAAAACTTCTGGCAGTGACAATGTGACTCTACCTTCTTCTCTGATGCACGCCATGTTTTTTCTTTATAGTTTTTTCATCCCAACTTGTTGTGTTTGGCAGCACAGGCTTCACACAAGCCCACATGCCCCCCACCCTGTTACCCTAAAGTTTGTTTATATAAATATTCCTACACTAGATTATTTAGATTTGGTATAATAATAAGATTCACATATTATAAGAACCCTAGTTTTCAGATTCTCCACTTATAGGTAGGCCATTTATAATCTAAGTGGCTACAGCTTTTTCTACAAATGGGTAAAGTGCAAATGATAATGGGCACAGTTAGCTTCCTACTCTTCTAGCATGATAATCCTACAAATCTATGTATTATTGAAATTCAAATATATTTCAAAGCCATCAACCACATTCTAGGTCATCCACCCTTTGTTTCAAATCACTAGAAAAATTGGATCCTTTTTTGTTTTCAATTTTCCTTTTTCTCTGCTGACATTGACTTTCTTACTATTCAGAGCACCATGTACCAAATACCTCGTTTTCAAATTTGACAAGTTCCATTCAAGTGAAATGATTATCATCCAACTAGTAAATGCTTCATTAATTAGTCATCTTAATTAGCTAGAGGTTGTGTATTTACTTGCTAATTTCAATACTTAAATTAGGTGACTAAGATGGGAGGGGGTATGCGGTTCTCAAATTTAGTGTCCCTCCATGTCTCTTCTTCATTTGGCTCACATACGTCCATTCACTTAACTCCAATGTAACACTGTTAACTTACAAAATAAGTATTATTGTTTGGAAATAATAATAAAAAACCAAGAACCAAAAATCCATCTTGATGAACACAATCATTTTAGTTTGAGGATGATAATGCAATGAACCATAAGGTTTCATTGGAATGCTAATGCAATGAATTCAAAGCACAACTGTTTTGAATTCAAAGCTCAACTGTTTCTGCACAAAAATCTTGGAAAAATTCTTGTTTTGCTGCTTCATCATAAGGCCTATAATATATTTAATTAAGGGCTTTATCTGTTTGGCCTTATTAGGCTAAAAATGTTGTCACACTGAACTAATCCAATTCAATTAGAAAACGATTTCCTATTTTTCCATTGGTCAGTAATTCACTTGACCTCTCTTTTGGTTCAATATCTGGCACAACATGGGAGATGCATATATTTTTTTTATAGTAGATGCATAGAGATGTGTGGAATTTAATTCTCTAAGACTCAGAAGATTGCAGCATGCCATGAAATTCCAAACTGCAAGAACATAACCCAAGAGATCAGATGCAAATCAAGGTATCATATAGATGAATCTCAACAATATCTGTCTGTCCGTCTGCATTGATTGTCTTTAGTACACAGCTGCTGCTGTCTGCACCACCTAATCCTTAAATTAAGAAATCCCCTAAACCTAATTCCCCATTAGTTAATATTTCTTCCTGTTTCACTGATTTCATCAGGAAACAAACACATGTTTATATTTGAGCAAAGCAAAGTTATTATAGTGCAAATATATTGGCTTTTACACACCTAAAAGCAAGTTCAACCGATCCAGACATTCATTTTCTAACTAAGGACCCCCTGTCTATCATGCAAAAAGACCAACATTTAGACAATTGGTCAATCCCAAAAAGTCATCATTATTGTGGTCAAAGCCGTTCACTTTTGCATTGGATGCAAACTATTACAGAAAGGTAATAACTACTAATTATAATTAAGCATATAAATTACTATGAATCACGTGAGGGTCACGTGCAGTGACAAACCAGACCAGTGCTCGAGGGCCTCACTCAGAAAATATAAGCACTTCAACCAATTATATTAGAACTACATGCACTCACTATACTTAGAGATAATAAAAGATAACAAGTTTAAAAACGGGTCTAGTACAATGAAAAAAGGTCTTGATTTGTAGATTAAGGGTATCAGGTTTGAACCCTCATGATATCTTAGTTGTGTGTGTGAGAGAAATCTCCCTCCCCTTTAATTTAGACTATCGTTTCGTTTGTATTAAAAAAATGAAGATAACAACCTTAAATTCTATCAGATTTTTTTATGTTTTTATTTTATTCTAAGGCTCTGAATTTACTGAAGAGCATATATAGCATATTCTTTTCAAGACAAAACTGCTACTTATTAACCTTAATATTGTATTGATCTCTCCTTGTCTATCTAAACCCTACTATTCTTTCTTCCCTTTTGCCAGAGACTATTTTTACTAAAAAGACTGCATGCCTTTTTATTTACTAAATCTTTGCACATGCAAAAAGAAACTGTGCTGCTTAACAAAATAATCACATATATACTACTTGACAATCTCTCCCAATATGGGGATCTGATCAACTTTACCACAGCCGTCTGATCTGATATGCATCATTTATGTTACCCTTTTCACCACAATGCTTTTGCCACCTTTTTGCGCACTAAGTAAATTAAATTCTAATATCCAACACTTTTTTCTTTAGCAGCCCCCTTTGTAGTAAAATGTAAGCATTGACAACCTTTACAGCACTCTCTTTGCTCAATCATCAACACTATGATCAAAATTCAAGTCTCTTTTCTTGCACCTGCGCCAGAGACCTTGTATATTTATATGTGGTAGTTGGGGTTTTGTTTCTTCTCTCCCATCAAGAAGGTTAGATGACAGAGCTGCCTCTCTGCATAACTTAGTTTCCCAAAAAGCCTCGCAAAATCTCTCTCTCTCTCTCACTCTCACTCTCAAACACACTTACACAAAGCGACCCAATGGCTCCTATGACAGAAGAGTCCATTAAAAGAAAAGCGAAGGCAGGGGAAGCCATGAAAAGCTCAAAAAGGGAAGTCAACAAGGGAGCATGGACAGCAGAGGAAGATCACAAACTAGCAGAGGTTATTGAAGTACATGGTGCAAAAAGATGGAAGACAATTGCCTCCAAAGCAGGTATATATCATAATCTTTACAGACTACAAATTGATGGAATGAAACAAAAATCATTCATCACATTACATCTAAGCATGATCAAAGAGCTGAAAGTGTCTTAATTCGATTGATGCAGGCCTCAATCGGTGCGGCAAGAGTTGCAGGCTAAGATGGTTGAACTATCTAAGACCCAACATCAAGAGAGGAAATATATCTGACCAAGAAGAGGACTTGATCCTTAGGCTACACAAACTTCTCGGAAACAGGTACAAAAATCAAATTAGGATCAAGTTGGGTTTGCATGATTATTTATAAAAACTGACCCCTTTTCTCTGTATGTTTTAACTTCTTAGGTGGTCTTTGATTGCTGGAAGATTGCCGGGTCGAACAGATAATGAAATAAAAAACTACTGGAACTCTCATTTGAGCAAGAGAATAATCCAGAAGGAGAAGCAAATTGGAGCCAACCCAACAAGACAAATGGTCTCCACAGACCACAAACTAAGCCTAGCAGAACATCACCAGAAGGTCCACATAGAAATGAAAGAAGACTCGTCATCAGAAGAAGGTGCTAGCTTTGCATCCAAAGACTCGAACAAAAACATGAACAATATTGATGTTGATGACTTCTTTGATTTCTCCAACGAGGGACCTTTGAATTTGGAGTGGGTGAGTAAATTCCTGGACTTCGATGATGACAGATGGCTTATTAACTGATGCCACTTTGTTGTCTGCTTCGTTTGGTTACTCTTTCGTGGATTTGGTGCAGTTCATGATCATCAGAGAGTTGTATGTTATATTTCACCATCTGGACAACTTTTTTCCTTTTCTTTCTTACTGGGTTAAAATTTTAGTTGAGGAATCTGGTGGAGTTTATGTCGGTGCGCTGAAACTGTAAATCACTGAGGCTTTTCGATGCTCCTAATCATATTCGTGAATCGAGTTCTGCCTTCTCTTCGATACGTACATACCTACACGTATATATACATATATATATATATAGACGAACACAATATTTTCAATAAAAATATTAGAATGATTGGGATGTTGACGTGCAAATAATTTTTCAATTTGATGATTTTTTTAGAAAGATGATCTTTAAGAGAGTACCTCGAAAAATAGACCGATTCGAATTATAATAATCACATTGTAATTCAAATCTTAAAGAGCCACCTCAAAAGTTAATTTGTTTGAATTATGATTAATCACATATAGAAAATGCTCCAGTAAAGGAACTCTAGAGGTATTGCAAATTTAAAAAGTACACTTAACCAGTGTATAAACGTGATCGAGCGTGACCCCATTACCATCTTTTGGCCAACATATTTGTTAGACAATCACTGGTCCTAATAGTTTAAGCTGTTAGAGAATGAATTGACAGTGTATATCAATCTTGCCTCACGTACATGCCATTGGGGACCACTACTTGTAAAAAATGACTATGATACCATATTAAATAACCACTAACCCCAAAAGATTAAATTGTCAGAGAGTCGACAACGATGTATATCAAACTTACAATAATATTGATCGTCATCTAAACTACCACCACCACCACATATCATCTGGTTGAAAACAATGGACATGCAGGCTAAATATAATAAGAACAAAAAATAATAATACTAATACTAATAATGCTCATGGATAGCAACTTTTAAGGTCTTTGAAAGATGATGAACAGAAACATTTAACACTGCAGGAATATTTGTCATGTAGTTCCCAGTTGGTTATAGAGATTCTTTTATAGTGGAGGATTTGAATGTAAAGATAGTGAAGAGTAATAATAAAAGAGAAACAAAGTTGTCTGTATTATTGTGGACAATAGTTGGAGCATAGATGTGTTATGATGAGACAAAAGGCTACATGGGGCTCAGAGCTTTTCATAAGTTTACCATTTGCCTTGCCAGATCTTCCCCAAATTCTTCTTTTTATACAGCACAGAATTTCGATGATTTTGGCATGAATAAATTTTGTGTTTTACTGTCATCTCATTTCAGTTGAAACAAGTCACGGACAGAACCATTTGTGATTCATACGAGTGTATTTGGGAAACTTTTAAGCCTCTAGGTTTCTTTGGTCAACTAAGAGTCTAATTTACAATATACGGGTTATGATAACATCAGTCATTCGTGCATGAGTAAGTAACTATGAGTTGTTGATGTATTGTGGGATCCATTGCATCGACATTATTCCAGAGAGTGGTAGAACATGTTTTATATTTTTCTCCTTAATCTGGAGCCTGGACACCATACAATTAAAATATCAATTCATGCATCAACTGCAGCTTTGAGGACCCCCTGCAGGACTGAAAAGTAAAGAGATGTGGTCCTCGTCCTCCCTGCCTAAATAATTGTTCATGTTGCATGAGAATAGGTCCAAAAATCGGGTTAGGCAGAATTTTGTTTATATTAATTTCATTTCCTATAAATTCGATTTGTCTATTCTGTCACACGATGATCAGATTAATTCTTTCTAAGAATGAATATACAAAGTGATAATCTCTTTGCAAGTACCTTAGAAAACTCAAAAACTCTATCCAGCTGAGCTGACAGTATACATATTATATGTATATGTAAATGGGGCGTTAAGATTTTAATGTACATACCTAAACATTTATGAGATATTTAGTGATATACTCATTTTTAGCACTAATATTATAAATAAACCCTACACCATTGAATTTCTATAAGCAAATCCAAAAAATGACAGCTGGCCTTATTTAATTTAATATTGATTATTAAATTACTTTGATGCCTATTGAGTATTTTGAGTATTTTTATGAGATTTTGGAGTTGGGCTTGTTTTAAGAAATTGATGGCAATTTTGTAATTTATAAGAAGTTAAAAGTCTTTTTGTTATGTTGTAAATGGACTTTGGGTGTGTTTCTAAAGTCCATTTCATATGATGTATTTTTATAATTTGGGCTCTTATATTGGGTATAATAGTGAATCTCCCAATATTTAAAGTCCCACACCTAACACAGAAGCTAACCTTTCTTAATTTGCAAGCCCTTGATTACCCCCGAGTAGTGATATGGTGAAAAATGAGTTAGGATTAAGTAAAATTAAGAGTTTGATTCCTGTCCATTATAACCAGAAGAAAAGAAATTATTTACCACTTAATCATTGACAATAATTCAAATTAAGACTTTGAATAATTGAACCCTATCTCAAAGCTAAATACAAAGCTTCCAGTCAGGTCCTGTTTGGTATTCAATTTGAATTCAACTTTTTAAACTCAAAAACAAAATTTGGATCCAAAACAAAAAAAACCTGTTTGGTATCCCTATTTTTAAAAACTTAAACTCAACAACAACTAAAAAACACCCAATTATTAAAAACAAAAAATATCTGTTTTTTAAGTTTTTTTTTCTAACATCCCACAAGTTCTCAAATTTTTAAGACTTGAAAACAGTTTTCAAGTTGCATACCAAACAAGTTTTTGAATCTTAAAAATATATTTAAGAACTCCTTGTTTTTAAGAAAAATCAAAGTTTTTGAATTCTCTATTTGAATAGCATACCAAACACCCCCTTAATTTCTCAGAATTCTTTGCAGTTTACATTGCCATGAAGCCTACTATACAAGTACTCAATATCACGTTCATTTCTCCACATATGTACATATACTGAGGTCGATATATAAGTAGATTTGTACGTGCAACTAGTTTTTGGTCTAATGATATATTTTTTTTACCATGTTAAAAGAGATCCCACCATTTTCGACTCCCCTCGCCAAATGGCTTCTTATCTACCATATGCCCCTTTTCCCGGCCAGAATTTTCAATCTACCAGCAACTGATGTTCCCTTTGCATGTGTGGAAGAACTGTTTTCTTTTGTGGGGAGGTTGGGGGTGCGTTGAAAAGTGAGGGATGGGGAGAAAGTGAGTTGATTGAACTAATAAAGTACTGTATATTTCTCCCATTGCAAGGACATGCTAGATATAGATAATGCTATAGCAGAATGCATTCATGAATGTACTCAGGTACTACACTATCAGCCATGCTTCCTTCACATGGGAACAAAATCAAGGGACACAAGAACCAAGTAGCATGAACCTTTTCCCACTCACAAATGATGAAATTAACTTTACCCTTCACCAATCTGTCCTTCAAAATGTATAATAACAGAAAGAAAGCTTCAAGTGGCACAAAATAATTTATTGGAGAAAAAGTATTATTTTTTAAAACCATTATTGTAGAGAAAAAACGAAAATCAAAACAGGAGAAGGAAATACTCCATCTTCTATCACAAAGGGCGTGTTTGTTATTCTACTTGGATCTAATTTTATGAACTCAAAAACATATTTTAAGTCCAAAACCACAAAAACCCGTTTAGTAAGCCAATTTTTAAAAACTCAAACCCAAGAAAAATTCAAAACACCCTATTATTAAAAACAAAAAACATGGAGGTTTTATAATTCTCTCTCTCTCTCCTCTCTCTCCTCTCTCTCTCCTCTCCTCTCTCGCTCTCTCTCTCTCTCTCCTTTTCTTTTGTTAATTTCAATTTGGGAATCTAGAGTTTATGATTTTCTAATTTTAATTTTTTTAGATTTTAAAAATAGTTTGGTGTTCAATACCAAACAAGTTTTTAGATCTTAAAATCACCATTTGAAAACTCATGTTTCTAAAAAAAATCATAATTTTTAAATTTACTTTTTTGAGTAAGATACCAAACGGGCCTTAACATCATTCAAGATTCTTCTCATATTCTACTATAAAACTGCATCCTGTCTGTCACTTACTAAGTCTTTCTAAGAATGGATGTGCATAGTAATAACTTCGTTCCAAGCACATTAGAAAACTCGAAATTTCTGACGGCAGAGCTTCCTTCATTTTTCTGATGTGGTTCTGGGAAATCTGTTGAAATTGAGTACATAAGCAGTCTAACAAATGGACGTTATCCTTTTATCAATGATGGAACGCGGAATTTGAACTAAAGACCTCTTCAACCTCTTCCAATATTGAGAAGGGCAGTACTACTATAGTAAAAGCTAGTCGATAATTCCTGCGCACTTAGATTTAATTGCTCACAGGTGATAGGATTGATTGTCATTATTGGATACTAAAGTCCACCACCTGACAGAGAGGCAGCGGTTCTTAATAATTCGCCTACATCCCACTTAACTAATGACAATAGTGTCACATTTAGGCTCTGAATAATTCGCCTACATCCCAAACCAAAGGAAAACTACAAAACTCCAAGTCAATTTCTTAGAACTTCCACTCCCCACTGAGTTATCTGCCACCGCCATGAAGATGAAGCCCGTGCTATATCCCAAACCTGACATGTCTCGATATCAGGCTGGATCTGTCAATCCCTTCTATCATCGGAATTTTTTTCTTTCTTCTTTTGGACTTTTGGACAGATGGGAAAGCATTAGGGCGACAAAATCAGTGTCATTCAAATACGGAAGATAGGTAAATTGTTTGAACCAGCATATATAAATTTTTTGCCTTTACATCCAGATTTATAGAAAAAGTAACAAAAGTAGACAGTTACATCCCAACCAAGAGTAATCATAGCATATATACAATGAGAAGAAAAAAAGTATTGAAATATCTTCATCTATCCCTGGTCCGAATTTTTTTTTAAATGGACAACAACTCATGCTCCCTTTGCTTGTGCGGAAGGAATAATTTCGTGTTCACCTGAACATGCAGTGCTTGTAGAAGTCAGTGATAAAAAAACAAAAAGATCATTTTCTTTTGGGGGATGAAAAGAAGTGAGAGTTGTGATAATGTGAATTGTTTGGGCTAAAATGGTACTGTATATCCCTCTCGTTGCACTTACATATTCGATAGCGTAATAATATAAGTACTTATTAAATAAAAATAGCGAATTTTAATTCAGAATGTAATTGGTTACTTACACTATCAATGGGTACTGTCAGCCGAAACATGAGTGTCAGCCCCATGCCATGGAGCAAGCATAATTGACCACCAGTTTACCATCAAAACCAAAATTCTGCAATGTTGATAAATACAAGTGAATAGACTCCCAGATTTATCCAAAACTGTTTCAAGATAAACATCTGCAGAGGTCACTAGAATCTCAACCACAGTTCAGATATGAAAAAAAGCTAAAGGACATAAGAACTGGCAGAATCGTTTCCCTTCACAGATGATGCAACTTGAACCCTCTTCACCAAGAACTTTTTGAACTGATGAACAGAGCACTATTTAAAAAAATCAAGTCATACTAATATTTCTTAGTTATACGAACTTACATTATAGAGATCAATCACCAATTCATCTGGGTTTGGAGAGAATGCACTGTTGACATACACAAACTACAAAAAAAGGAAGATGGGATTACTTCACCAAAACTTATCGATTGTAAATCATCTAAGACATAAATGACGAGATGATTTACCAAGGTATCCCGGTGAAGTTGCCTTCTTAGAAACTCAATCACTTTCGCAAACTTGTCAGTTCCAAGAATCTGTCCTTGGAGGAGAATTAACTTTAATATTCCCATAGAAAAACTAATCATAGAGAAAGAAAGTTTCAAGTGGCACAAAATAATTTCTGGAAAAATAAAAGCAGCTTACTGAATCAGATGTCCCATCATGATATCTATTATTTCTTAAAATTCATTGTAGAAATTGTTCAAGACATAAGAAAAGCTTCAACTCCCATCATAAAGCATCGTTCAATATTCTTTTCATTATACTATGAAATTTCATTCACTACAATTCACAAAGGTTATTCCTTTCTAGTCATTGTACCCACCCAATGAGACTATAACTTTTTTTCTTTTATCTCACAGTCAAATGCCCCATGGCTATGAAGTATGGAACCTACGAGTTGGTTGGAAATTCTAACAAATGCCTCACTTCAAGGTCAAAGAACGAACTAAGGATTTGTAATAAAGCAATTGAAGAGCAAAAGGTCATTAAGAGCAGACACCAAAAGTATAATCTTGTTTGGAGAACCAAAATGCAGAAACTCATATAAATCATCAAACCAAAAACAAGACCCAAAGCCAACCTAGATAATTCCAAACATTGTTCTTGAGACACAGAACCTTCATCATAAACCATGATCGAGTGGAAAACAGTTTTTAACATTCAAAAACACTGTAACGAAAAAGGGCAGACCTTAAATTTGGCTTGCTTCAGTATAGGGGCATCACCAGTAGCTCTCAGATGAACAACCACTGGACCAAATTGAAATCCCCAAAAAACCCACCATCAAACAAAGCTCCAAAAACCCAAATTCTAAAACTGATCAAACAGCTTAGAAAATTTAAAAACCCTCAACTGAACATTGAGAAATAATGGGTTTTTCATAATAAGTCTAAAAGGCTCACCTTTTCTAACAGCGCTCGGAGACTCCACGGTCGACATTGCTATCGATCTCTGATTCGAACGCCTCACTTACAAACAATTGAACTTGGACAGAAGAATCAGGGGTTTCAAATAACAAGGCTAATGATGGAATTGGAATTTCAATTCGATCCTGTTAGGTTTGGAAATTGGGAAAATTGGGTTTCGACCGAATACAGTGGGCCTATTGGATTAGTATCTCACTGTCGACTTGGCTCGGTCCATTTTGTTTTAATTTTGTTTTTCTTAATCATTTCATAATTGTGATACTATATAATGAGGTCATGGTCTAACTTAGTGAAAAAGGGTATTGATTTGCAATTCGAACACTTATAGTATCTTGGCACTGGTGGACCCAAGAATTTTTCAGTGGAGATGCAATTTTTAAAGGCACAAGACTTAATTGATGAATAAGTTTTTATAAAGATTTGGAATTCTCTTTATAAAAAAATTAAAAAATTAAAAACCTTGATGTGGTGGGGACATAAAAAAAATTAAAATATGAATATGATGTTTTATAAAGACTTTTTATTTATTTAGCTAAGATGTTTTGTAAAGACTTGGATGGAGTGCTCTCCCAAAAAAAACAGAAAAAGACCTTGCGACTGGAACGTGGATGTTTTGTATTAAATTATTAATAATAGTATATAATACTGATTATGATGAACGACAAGTCTGAGGGCACTTTGGCAGCAAGTTCCGTGGAATTAAGCTTCATCTTTTTTTTTCTCCTCATTCAAAACGACGCCGTTTTGATTAAGAACTTCGTAATAAATAAAAATATGAGCAATGTGTTGCGCGCAACAGCCCAGTAACATAGCGAACAAAAGGAGTTTCGTTGAGGCATTTCCTCGAGCAGTTTGTGGGCACTTCCATGGCAGAGCAGAAGAGGTGCAAATTCCACCACCTCCAAAGCGTTTTTTGGCGAGGAGAGGTGCAGGTGCATCTCCTTGCACTTTTGTGGGTCCGTCATTGCACCTTGGTAGTGTATGTATTAGAGATATCTCTTCCTTTGTAGTCTTTAGACTATCGCTTGTATTAATATATATATATATATATATATTATAAGAAGAGAAGGTTGTGACATTTGGATGTAGAAAAGGAGAGTAGGTTGGTTGATAGAGAATCCATTTGAAGCTGAGCCTCTAACATTAAGGTAATATATTTTAAACATACATCCAACAACAATAAAGATTGGGTTTTTCCTGTTTTTTGTTGAAAATAGTATGGATGTAATCATGAGATTATGTGACAATTGCACTTTGTGATAACACAAAGTTCTTACACTAGATGGGTTTGTTATTTTTTCATTCACACTTGTATTAGACAATCTTATCATCAAGTCTACTTTTCTTCGTTATTATTACTATTTTTTTTGTATACAAGTGATATTATGAGAGAGATTTTCTCACACACAGTAGTATGCAAGTCAAAGTCTTTTTCACTAAGCTAAATCTTGTTTTCCTTTTCTTCATTATTTTTTAATGAAAGATTAACTTTTGGTTGAACCTGTTGAATTATGATTTCTAATAAGTTTATGATTAACTGACCCAAAAGCCACAAAAATAACATAGATGGATGGATCAATCAATTAAAATGCCATTAAAAAAATCAACCAGTTATATTGTTTTGCTGCCAAACTCAAATATGATTTGTTCTTGCTTTTCATTTAAAGTGATTATATTATAAATCCAACCATACAAATTCTTATTAGAGTTTTTCTATTTAAACCCCATACTTTTCTTTGTTCATCCCAATATTTAAATCACTAAGCTCTTAAGCTTTATTAGTGTAAAAAGACAAAAAAAATGTCATCCAACTTAATACTTAACTCTAGTACACCTATACACACACCCCACCACTCTTCATATTAAGTTTTAGAAAAACACAAATTCCTCTACACCCCTATTGTCAAATTATTCTTCTCTTTCAATCAAGAAACCTACTATACTCTCATCTTCTCTTCACAAACCCTAAATACAGTATGCAAATAGTGGCTTGTGGGTCGTCAATTGAGTTTGACAACATTGTTTTTATCTCTTTAAGTAATGTGAGATTGAGGTGAACTTAGAGTGGTGAGTGGCAATATAGCGGGGTGTGTAGTGTGAGGTTGATGAGTTTTTAAATTTTATTTATTTATTTATTTATGTTGGGTGTGTATTTAGGGGTAGTGTGAGAAAATAGTGAGGTTTTCTTAGAAATTGAGTAAATTTGAATTATAAGTTAGGATAAACTTAGAATATGAGGTGAATACGAGATTTAAATAGAAAAACTCTTCTTATTATATCTCCATTTATTGACTGCACATTCTCTTACAGCTTTCATTCCCTTCTCCCTTTTTATTGTTACATTTTTTACCGTTAACGATTTTTAATATAATTATATAATATTAATCACTCATTCCAACATAATCCATACCGTTATATTATGATCAAAACCGTGATGATGTAAGTAGAGCTGGCAAAATCCACCACTGTTAGTACTTAGTATATTCCAATTTATATCCGTCAAAGAAACGAATGGAGAAAAAGATATGACACCAAAAAAGTAATTCAAGACTGGCGACTTGGTTTTATTGCGACAACAAGTACATATTGCAGAGATTGAGAAACATGAGGAATTATTTTGTACGTGACATAACATCCTCTAGCACTGTGGATGACCATAATAGAGTAGACTTTGATCATCCAGATACTTGCAGTCGTTGATCGCATTGACTACCCTATAAAATTCATGTAATATTATCACCGACTGCAAGTGCCTACAAAGAAACGGACTCACGTCATATTTTGTACACTCGCACACACAAGATCAACAAGAAGCATTTTCTTATTAAGAAGCTAATTATGTATAAGCTAAAGTTTTTGGGGCTGGCTAATTTTTTATTACTAATAATGAGCTGTATTATCTATGAGCCAGTCTAAGTCATAGTCAATGACAGGAGCCATGGAGGAAGATTGGAAATCTGGGACTTTGTCACGTGTAGTAGCAGAAGCAACGCTACCTCCCTCATCATTTCCATTATTATGGAGCTCAGAAAAATCCACATTAAGAAAATCCGACAGAAAATTCTCATCCATCTTAAAATCCACCATGAACTCACACGAGCTGTTTTCATCATCCAAAGGAAATATGGGTGAAAATGGCTCCTCAATCCCAGCAACTTGATCGGTGACCTGGTCAACGGCCACGAGTGGAGCATTATTGGACACGTGGTCATTGTCGTCCCGAATTTGGTCATCAAGATTTTGTGCCTCTTGGGGTATGAACACTTTGGTGCACCTTGATGCCTTTGTTCTGACCACTTTGGTGCATGAATTTGTATCGACTTTAGGGGGCTGTGTGGGTTTTGGGTTTTCTTGGGTTTGATTTGGTGGTTTACGATTTCCATCTGCAAATGGGTGTCCCTGAATTTTCTTTCCAATCGTAGTGTTCCAGTAATTCTTGATTTCATTGTCTGTTCGGCCTGGGAGCCTTCCAGCTATCAAAGACCATCTGCACCAATAATATAAAACTCATATACTTTTTTTTATAAAAGTAATATACGGAGAAAGTGGAGAATCGAAGTTAGAGTAAATGCTCTTAATCATTTGAGGTTAAAGAAAAATACGCATTTATTTTATAGAATTAAAATAATATTCAACTTCAATACGTGGTGAGACGTTAGATATTATATTATTACCCAAAAATTATATACCTGTTTCCAAGGAGTTTGTGGAGCCTGATGATGAGCTCTTCTTCATCACGAGTGATGTTTCCTCTCTTGATATCCGGTCTTAGATAGTTCAACCATCGGAGCCTGCAACTTTTCCCACATCTCTTAAGCCCTGCAAAACCCATCCATTCCATCAATGATATGCCCTATGCATTTCCCTTTGAAATGTATGAAGAAAAAGACAAGTTTTTTTGAGTAAAGCTATCTCACCTGCTCTTTTGGGAAGGTTTCTCCATTTGCCCTCACCATGAACTCTTATATACTCTCTCAGTATTTTGTCTTCCATACCTGTCCATGCTCCTCTATTTAAGCTCTCATCTTTTGAACAACAAGGACTTCTTCCCATCTATAGAGTCACCCTATAGAACTAAGGAACCTCAAAATCCTCTCTCTCTCACTCTCTCTCTCTCTCTCTTCAATGGTAATAAGTTGTGGGCAGATGAAGAGAGAGTGGAAGATATGTATATATATTGGTACAATGAAGGGCATGAATCATTGAGGACCCCACTGCAACTGGGTGTACTATATTAGTATTATACCTATAAAAACAAAAAACAAAAAAACAAAGGGGTCACAGAAGTGTTTAGGTTGCATGTGATAATAGGAAACCTTCTTTTCGCCTAACAGTTCTTCCATTATTCAGGGAACAAATTAAACAGTATAATCCTAATTACCAAGAAATTAAATTAAATTGTGCATAGGTTTAATTATTATGCATGCTTTGCACTTAAAAAAACCAGGGTGGGGGTGGAGTGGTGATGATGATACGTACACCTCTACCTCAAAGCTAAAAACTAAATAAATAAATAATTAAAACCATATATATAAATTAGACTGAGCCTATTATTATGTCTCTCATGGGCTGCTGCTTTGTGCTAGCTAACTTTCTCACACGCCCTTGAAAGTTGGTTGAAAAAGAAACAAATTTATGTCCGAATATGTTATATTTTGCCTCCAATCCATCACGTATGGACAGTTGTAGTGTTTGAATTGGGAACCAAGCATTGGCTGTTTTGTTGGGACCATTATTGGGGAGAGGCCATCTGCCCGTATTCACTGTGTGGATAGGTGGTATCAACTACATAATTTGGACCGCAACATATTTGGTTAATGGCCATGTGGGATGCTCAATCATGTACATCAAAAAGTGAGGTGTGGTTCAGATTGACAATCTAAAGTAAGAAATTATAAGTATTTATTTCGACGTATGATGAAAATTTGTTGAAAAGTTGAAGTGATTTGAGTAATACTTTGTCGTCGGTTTAATCGAATTGTAGTTAGTTTGGTCATAATCGAACAATTTTGTAGTGGTTCTAGTCTCTACTTAGCAATTCTCTTAACTAAACTGGAACAAAATAGCAAAGTAAATACAAGTTTTAGTATAGTATGGCAAAAATGTGTTCCTCGTGGGTGGTTAAGGTGAATCGAGAACTGCATATTCGATGCACTTGCTAGTATATTCAAGAATCATATCAATTGGATATTGCAATAACGCATTTCGGCCCTTTTGATATGACCATGGTGAGGATAACTTTATGCTCATTACCCTTTGTTAATGAGGTATCCACTCAAGTCTAATTGCCCCCTGCCAACAACCAATAATGATTAAGAATCCAATGGAGCTCCCTCGATCCAAAATGTGTATCACGCTGTCCATCCCATTACTGCCTCAACCTTAAAATTACCAATCCACTACACATAAGTTAACACATGATGATGAACCCTAGTTTCGGAGAGGATGGAAAAACGCAGTGTTTCACTGCTATAATTATAACTTGTATGAGATTAAGCCCTAAAACCTACATATACTAGATGATTAAGGTGGACCTCATGTGCACGATGATGGAGTTCAGCGCGTAAACATGATACCACACCACCATGATATGATTTGTCAATGTGAACCACCAACTTCCTTGTCATCCATGGAGGCGGGCGGCTGCTGCGGCTACCATTCAACATGGCAGAGGACAATCAATCAATAGCATATAAATGTAGTGGTCACCAACTTTAGCCTTGTTTCTGATGCGCACTTGTGCGTGCGTTGCGTCCATTCTTTCTCTGCCATCCCCACAGACAGCAGATCACTGACATCTCTTGTGTGGGGGCCGTCAACCTTCTTAATTTGTCATGCGTACTTTAGGATCACGTCTTTCCTTTTTTTGGGTACTTATTTTTTTCTTCAATATTAAGTGCTAATTATATTGTCAAACTAATTAATCACAATCAAGGAGGTTAATCAAAATCAATCTTCGAAATGCGTGCAATTTAATTACACGCTACGACATGGTGTTGAATATGAATACTTGAAAATGCAATGTTACTCATGTGACTAATCATCTCATGTTCAATATGAATACTTGAAAATACAATATTACCACTCGTTCTAGTGATCATAATTCATTGAGTATTTTCATGTGTTCATATTAAGTAAAAGTTGCTCCTAAAAGTTCTTATGAATTCATTTAGGTGGGGGCTACTCTAGTAAATAATGCTTCAATGTCATGATCTCACTTTTAGCACTTTTGGCATGTATGGTGACGTCCTCAAGAAAAGCTTCTAGTGAGTCTTTTTTTAATTACAAATTGGTTACCATGTAATGTAGTTCGTTAAGCCGAATTATCATTTATTAGATTTTTATTTATGGAAAAGAAAAAAAAAGCACACACGGGAGGGTAAACGATCTAAACATGCGATTTTCAATACATGTGATACAAATAGTATTATTATGTTGCTTTACCTAAACGCCTCTAAGTTATGTATTGATATATTGTTTGAACGATTTCCTTTTATATATACATATACGAGAAAATTTGCTTAATTGTTTAAGAAGGGAAACCAATCGAACCAAACTAACGGATATGTAAACTATAAATTTGAGACTTAAACAGAACTAATCTGAATTGTAGATTTTTTGTAATTCAAGGGTGATGTTTGGAAATCTAAACCAAATAAAAAACGTACCGTGCCCCCGTAACTTTAAGGGAGAGGCCTCTAGCAACATTATCCTCCCAAGGTCTTGGAGTAGAATTGTCCTTGGATAGTGCCGATTACGTATAGATAGATTCCAGAAGGTAAGCACTACAACAATAAGTTAGCACATCAGACAGTCACTGGCTCTTGAGTGTGACTAAAAACTAAAGTGTGACCACATCAAAATGCAAAGACTTTTTTGGCCAAAGTATCACCTCACGCGATTGGATTGATTTCACACTTACCACATATAGACAACTTTCATAATGAACATGTGGAAATTCAAAAGTTTCCTTTGTTTTTGTCATCCAACTCACGTTCAAGAGCATTCTGATTCCTCACGGAAAATACTTAGCTTATGATTTGCTAGAAAGAAAAAAAAAGAAAAAAAGAGAAGGAACTTCGCTAGATGTTATTTATCACAACAAAAAGCAAGAAATTTGTACCTAATTTGGTTAAGAGCAGTAACAATGCACCCAAGGTCATGAGTTTAAATCCCCTCTAATAATATCGTTTGTATTAACCCATCTTCATGTCGTGTGCTATACGTATATAGTTGCGTATATATATGAGAGAGAGAGAGAGAGAGAGAGAGAGATGTTTGAGAATAATAAACTAATATTATGGAAGCTGGACATGCTTGTAAGCCTCCACATATATATACGGTTTGAGATGAGAAAGGGAAAGAAAAGCAAGTCTTGTTTGACAAATGAGATCAAAAGAAAGAAGTTATAACACGTTGCATAATGAAGTAGAATAATAAGAAGAAAATAAGAGAAGCAAGTGCATGTATCAAGATTCAGGCATTTCAACTAACGAATTAGGTGATATCATCCTTTACTTTTCTAGTCAATAATCGTACAGGGACTTGTGTAATACAACTCTAGAAATTAAATATGCTAGTTAGGCTACTCGCTATCTACCAATAATTCATTGCTGCCACTCTCCCTCATAGCAACAAAATTCTTCTTATCCTTGACTTGCCTAACCTCATTTCATTTAGGCTAAACCAAAGAAATAGTCTCCCTTTTTGTTTCATTCCTGAAAAGGCTAGCTACGAAGAATCACGCAAATGACATCTATCACGTATGTATATATATATATACACACACACACAGTGACTTGAGCTTCTTTCTTTTGTATTTTTCATCAAAGCTAAACTTGAGTTGACTGTTAGCTTAAAGATGAAACGTTAGTGTCTTCCGCACACCCACCATTCAAATCTAGTATATATATATATATATATATATATATATATATATATATATATATATATTATGCTTTTGGGTCACATCACAAAGCTCAAAATCACAAAACAAAGCTGCACAATGAATTTGTAAACATCTAGTTTGCCACTTTTTATAATCCATACATGACTTGGGGTGCAAGCAAAATTAGTATAAAAATTCACCCCCCAAAAAAAAAAGTAATATACAAAGGTGTCCAACCAATTCTTCTTTTTAAATGCCATACAAATAAGATCCAAGCCAAAAAGCTTTCAAGAAAATATTTATATTAAAAAAAACTACAGATAACAAATTAGATTACAAAGCCCAACCCAACAAACTCTAGTAGGCTGAGAGTTGGCCTTATGAGCCTATGAAATGGAAAAATGTCAGTCCAACCCAAATGATCAACAAATTCAAAAGACAACGCTGTAGCTTACTACACTGACTTTAACCCACCTAATTATCTTTTTCTTGGCAAGTAATTACAGATTTGTGCTTCTATCAATCCAAATACTGCTCCCGCTTTTGCTAGCCAAAACCTGTGGTACAGAACAGTTAACAGATTAAGCAACAAACAACGAACCCAGATTTACAAGCAATGTCAATGAACTAAAGTCTGGTAAGCACTGAAACCAATCTGAAGCTTGGGGAATCCCATGACCTAAGATAAGATGCAAACTTAACTCTAGAGCTTGGACAAATAGGGGCCAAGTCAAAATGGCTCTTAGGTTAGATGACTCCTAAGTAGGGAATCATGTATTGCTGTACTTCTATTGTAGTTTCTAGCCTAGAAGGATTAAAGGGAATCATAAAACTAGTGAATGAGGAAGCTTACCAACATATCTAAGAACTTAAATCCACAAGGAGACCCAATAAACACTGATAACTGATGTCTTAGAATCGCGTCATTTGCTGCAGCATTTGAGAACCAGTTGATTGTGAAACCAACTGTTCTGCACCAAGTGAAGGTCTTAAGTGGTTGGCACCAACTGGATTGCCAAACCCTCTCATCATCTCTTTAGGATTATTGGTATTCGTTTCCAGGTGCGATGATTCCATCAGCGTCCGTATCTGACCAAATGGTTAGTTGTAGACCAGCTTTTACTTATGCTTAAAAACAAAGGAATATTGAAAGGAAACACATACACACATAAAATTGCAGCTTACCATATCTAAACGCTTCTTGTGTAGATCACTTGACAACTGCATGTTATAACATATAAGCAAGATATCCAATAAATCTCTTCAATCGACTTGATAATAATAATAATAATAAAATAAAGACCCAAAAAGGGCATATATGGGATTGATGAGATCATGGCAATGTTTCACCCAGAGAGAGATTTGTGGTTTCAATAGTTGATTACAAATTCAACCAAACAAACATAAGCATATTCAACTTAAAAAGTACTTATCCTATTTGAAACAGATGCACCAATGTTTATTCCAAGATGTCGAAGATGCTTACAGATTTGTTTTGGTGTTTCCTCTCTTCACTTGAAAATCCAGGAATTGTCAAATTCCAATTTTTCTCTGCAAAATTAGTTTAATGCATTAAATTTGGTATGATTTATACAAAGGATAAGTGTGTCCAATATTTTGTTAAATGCTACCATAGCTTCCATGCTATTATTGTAGAAATCTCCACAAACCTCAGATTCATCTCTTGAGCCTAAAATTGACCTTAATGAACTTCAAAACTCATAATTTACTAAAAAAGAACGATACTATCCAACCCATGAGCCTTATTATTATTATTTCTTCTGATAATCAAGAAACTCCGATGATACTTGGAAAACTCAAAACCTAATAAGTAAAATCAAGAAGAAAACTACAGGGAAAGATAAGCACAACGATAAGGCACAACATGGGGCCAACAACAAATCCAAAGACAAATAAATAGACAGCCAGAAGTACATTGGTCTGATTCAGACACGAATCAGATTAAGTATATGAACACAGATTTGTTAACAATGAGACAGATCAGTTAAATTCAATGATTTCTTTAGCATGCATATTCATCAACCTCTCTTTTTGCATAATATTCCAACTCATAAAGATCTTTCTCTAATCATCAAACTGGGAGAACAGTAAACTAGTTATGCAACTTCTATAACATAAAAAATTCACCAATAATTACAAGAAATATGGAGATGAGATGTGGTACAGCACAAACCTAGGTGTAGCAACACATCCTTGGACTCTAAAGTTGAAGATTTTCTATGCTTTGCCAAATTGCATGCATATGTTGTCACCTGAAATAGGTATAGGATAAGTACGTAATGTCCATGCAACATGTCATAAAAAGCTTGATGAGGCAGAACTTGGAAAGAGAAAAGTACATGTTAGCAATATAAAAATTGATTTGGGCCACACAAACATGATTAAGAGGACTTGTATATCAACTTTGAAACTACAGATGACAAGTAGAGATGTATCTCAGTTGTCCAAATGTGATCTACAGATGATATGCAACCGGACGTCATTATATATAGTATAAAATGTTAGCATGTCACCGAGCCTCACAGAATCAATGAAGTCATCGGCAATCTCCAAGAGAAGATCTTCAACTTCAGGATCCAGCCTTCCCTGTGAATCAACCTGGGCAGGAAGAAAAGGTTCTCAATGAGAAATTTATTAGCACATACCCCAACCCCATATACACACCAAAAAAGCAAAAGAAAAAATAGAGTCAATATGAAGGAAAGACCTGAGAGACTAAATCTTGTATCTTTCTCTTCCCAAGAAGTTGGTTAGTTGCTTCTGTTCCTTGGCTTGAACTTCCTCCTGGTGTAGTTGTACCAGATGCAGTAGCATCAGGCTGTGATCCTGTTAAACTAAGAGATTTCTGGCCTGCAGGTACAGCCATTCTCGGGGAGTTCTGCTGCTGCTGATTCAAGGGCAGTTGCTGTGACTGTGATTGTTGCTGTATTTGCTGCTGCTGTTGTTGATGCTGCTGCAGCTGCTGCAGCTGCTGTTGCTGTTGGAGCTGTGGATGGCTCAGTTGCTGCTGCTGCTGTACAAGCTGGGAAAACTGTTGCTGGTTCAAGGGCATAGACTTTTGCGAAGCCAACTGCTGCTGATAGAGAGCCTGTTGCTGCCTCTGCTGTTGAAGACGGAATGAAGGTGAGCCAGTGCCAGAAATTGTTGGCATTTGCTTCAACCACTGTGGTGATAAAGAATTCTGTATCATCGCTGGCTGTCCATTCTGAGTCAACCCAGATGGCTGAGGGTTCATAAATGCAAGTGAAGGTGTTCTTGGCAAGCTCTGAACCTGTACTTTATAAACTCAGATTAAATGTCTCAACCATGAATTAATATATATACATTAAAGACATGCATAGAGTAACAGCATTGCCAAAGATCGTCAAACTTCATAAATACATCTCTAACTTTCAATGTAAGAAAGATGATACTACTGTAGCAACAATGTTAAAATTACATGAATTCTACACAATTATCCATTAAGGGGAGCCATTACAAAACAAAGTGGGTCATTGCATAATGATTGACTCCATTTCCAAACAAAAGAAGAAATGAAAAATGATCCTACGTACAGTTAGACCTGATATGGAATAGGCTAATGTTGGATGCTACAAGTAAATGACAACAACAACCGAAAGAGAGAGAGAGAAAAATATATTTGCTGGGTGGACCTAATTGAGTTCTCAGTTGCTGCTAGGTACAAACCTAGGACCTCATTGGGTACTAGGGTGAGGCTTGCACTTGATACTAAGAAACCAATCCAGCATCTTGACATCATTGTTTCCACAATATACTATATTATAACTTCTAAGATTTAAGGGGAATATAAAGCATGCACATACCTCAAAAGTGATATCCCACATGTAAAATCAAACAGGTATTTTGGCAATTTTAAGTTGGCTACAAAAGCAGGAGTGCCATTGTAGTAGATGATCCTGATTCATTTGTTACATGCAGATCTTAAATGAAGGTTTGAAATATAAATCAACCAAGGAAAGGCAAAACAATAGGGCAACCTGATACATCATACATGGCGTGACCTTTGGCTTATGTCTTTAACCAAGACTAGAGGAAAATTCACCAAGAAAAAGGTGAGTATTAGGGTAACAGGTTCTCCACTCTCTTATATCCAAAACCATCTTTGTTCCTCCCTGTTAGTTTGGGAGGGTTTGGTGCTGTTTTGTTTCTCTCTGTGTTTTGTATTGGTTTCTTCGGTGGTGGTTGCCTTATCCATCTCCGTGTTCTTTTGCTTAATAAATTTCGTTTCTTCTAAAAAATAAAAAAAAATAATCCAAAACCATCTTAGAACCAGAAACTGGAATTTTACAGTTTGAATTTATCCTCTTAAACCCAAGAACAAAAAACCTCCATTCACCTGAAACAGGTCAGACTACAAATGCAGAGCCAAAAGCAAGTTGACCTCACTGCATTGGCCCTTTTGGCAGGGTCCAACACCAACACATAATACAAATCAATTGAGAGAAATTCAAACTGTAGAAAGACTCATTACATGCCATACATGATCAGCTAAAGTGAGTACTCCGTATTCCCAACTTCATATAATAATTTGCGTATACATATAAGAAACTGAAAAACAGACAAATGTAGCAGTTGGTGGAATAAAGTAGAAGATGTCCAAATCACCAGATCAAGCAAGAGTAAAGTATACAATATTATACCTGTGCAGAGGTGAGAGAACTTTGTTGGGCCAATTGTTGCCTAAGTTGGCCCGGGTTCATTCTCTGTTGAGCATAAGAAGCGAGTGCCCCATTAGCTCTTAGTTGAGAACCTAAATTGATGGATCCCATCATCCCCATTGCTTGTGTCCCTTGTAAAGATTGCGCAGGAGAATTACCTGCATGAAACTGGGAACCTTGGACGAGCCCTCCTTTTTGTCTCGGCTGCATAAAGAATTTACTGGTATTGTTAAACAAGAACATTTCCAATTTTAGGAAAGCATTAAGTTCACTGGTTTGCTTACTTGACTGGCTATATATATTATGCAACAGTAAAGAAACCAAAGCAACATGTCTATCACTCCAACAATACTGATGCATCAATATTCAATTCGGAATTGAAAAGGGCACTGATATACCATAAAAATATGATTGTTTTCTACAATTTAAAATTTGTTTGCATTTGATTTTTGATGGTAACGATGTACTTTAATACACCATTTAGGATATGAATAACATAAGTCAGGAAGTGTAGCATAACTATGTAGCAAGGTTTTGCCCTTATTGAAGCACCCGGCTATCCCAGCATAACATTCACAGAAAAACACATCAACAAACTTCTGTTGTTACAAAAAACACTACAACTAATGCATTTCCACTTCCTTCAACAAGTACTCTGTAAACGCACACTCACCACATTCACCTGTCCATATCAAAAGATAACAGCAAATTTCATGAGGAAAATTAAACTCATACCGAGGCCAACATCTGCGGCTGCAGATTGAATTGTGCAGCTGCCACAGCAGCAGCGCTAGACAACATGGGTAAGTGGCCACTCTGCCCCATCAAAGCAGATCGCGACAAGTTTCCGCCACCAATTTGTTGCTGTGACTGCTGTGGCTGGTTTTGCTGTTGCAGCTGATTCTGCTGTTGAATAGCACCGGCGCCACCAAAATTCACCTGCGGATACGAACCCCCCTGCTGCCTCATCATACCAAAATGCTGCTGCTGCTGCTGCTGGTTCTGAGTCTGTTGCTGAAGTTGGTTCACTCGGGACATCGAAGGAGACCTCTGCAGGGTCTGCTGGAGCTGGTAATTGGACATGGAATTCACATTCACATTTTGGGATTGTTGCACCAATGACTGAGATTGCTGTTGCTGCTGCGGTTGGTTCAATTTTTGTGTGTAATCTAATCCAACAGTGGGTGTAATATGTTGGTTTTGAGGGAGAGAGATGTTGGACAAAGGAGGGAGGGGAGGGGATGAGATTTGAGGAGATTGGGCGAGAGCTGAAGGGGATGGAATTGGTGGGTTTGAGGAAGAGTTTGATGGGTTTTGGTTAATTATAATGTTTGTGGCTGCTGCTGTTGATGCTGCAGTTGGGTCAATGCTATTGGGGTTTGAGGGTTGCAGGGGTTTTGGGGATGAAGATGGGCCACTTTCAGCCATGTTTCAAAATTCGTTTGCTTTTCTTTGAACAATTGGGCTGATGGGTTTCGTTGTTCTTGATGAAAAAGACGCTAATTCATTCTGGAAATTTATTTTCTTGGTTTCTGATACTGGAAACCAAAAGTTTCAGAGAGCGAGCGAGAGAGGGGTTGAAGAAGAAGGAGAGCATTGGAGAGAGAGAGGCAGAGGGAGAGGAGGTCGAATCTGGTGCATACACGTCAGCAGACGGGCAACCAAGGGGTGGGCCACACGTGCGACTTGGTTGCAGAAGAAACTTTGGACCTTGGAGTCAACAAATCGTATACGTTCGGGCAAAACCAATCATATACGTGAAAATCTAGACCGTTTATTATCTGCAGGTGACACATGGAGACCTGGTTGTTATTGTCGCTTTAAATCAACATATGATCCATTATTTTCTTCTTTTTTTCTTTCTTTTTAAATCTCATTTTATCGATGCAATTTCCATCACACTCCTTATGCAAATGAGATTAAAAAGTTAGAAAGATAAAAATGAGTACATGATTACTATTTTGAAATGTCATTAAGAATAATTATCCGACAATCTGAATTTATATTTGCATGTGCATGTGTATGATATATTTTGGTTTTACGTCATTAAGACATAAATTCTGGAACGCCATTAACAATTTGTAAATATAATTTTTGTAATTGACACTTTCTCAAATCACAAAACCTAAATTGGTTGTAATTTTAGTGTGAGATAGTCACAGAGGTTCTACTTAGTAGATGTACTTTAGTTAAATCTACGAAAAAAGAAGAGTTGAGAATATGAGTTTACTTATAAAGTAAAATTTGCATGTGCATGTTTTATATGTTTTGGTTCTACGTCATTAAGTTATGAACGATCAATCAACAGTTGCCGATCATTTATTGATGGGTGATTTTATTGGCACCCCATTATTTGCTCTTTACACCCCATACTAATTTAAAATATAAATAACCTATTTTACCCTTATACACAATTACCGTTAAGGACAAAAAAATTTAAAATTAAAATTAAAATTGCTCACTACACCCCACATATGTTCCTGCAACCCTAGTTTGAATTTTTTCTCAAACTATCATGTTCCTAAACCCTAAACCCTAGATTTATATGTTTATACTGGTGCAAAAATATCTTGTATTTATTCACGAAGGGTGAGATTGAAGTTAGAGAGGTTTCGAATGAGGTACGAGTTTATTTTTTGGCGTTTTTCAAGTTTAGTATTTCGTAACAGTCGCTGGTTGCGTTCAGCACATCAGTACCGAACGCGACAGGTAAATTCGGTGGGATGCCACCGAAACGTTGCACCATTTTCGGTAGGGTTCGATCGGTCAACAACGTAATATTCGGTGGAGGTCCATTGTAAGATGGAACGTAGTTCAGTGGTATACTACCGAAATATTACCTACGTTTCAGTGGCATCCAACCGAAATTTATTTATTTGTTCAGTAACTTATTGCCGACCACAAATTTAATCCAAGCTATTTTGATCTTACTTCCATTGAAGGAACAAAAACAAGGTGACGCCCCTACTGAAGGCAACAATGTGGGAACAGAATGTGTAATGGACTATAGTGATCAATTCACAACTTATTCGGTAATTATTTATCTGAAATTCTTTTTAGTATCATTAACGTGGCATTAATGTTTCAAATTTTATATTGAAATAATATGAGTTTTATGTGTAGATATTCAATAGTAGAGATGCATTACTTCGATGGGCTCGTGAACAAGGAAAATTGAATAATATTGTCATTGTAATTAAAAGGTCTAATTATGGAGGTGAGGGCAAGAGGAGACCTCGTGTAATACTTGCTTGTGAGAGGAACGGTAACTATAAGTCTTGCAAGTATAGTGAGACAACTGATATAAGGTCGGATGCAAATAGTGATATTAAAAAATGTGCTAGGGACACTGGTACCAAGAAATGTGGATGCCCATTCTTGTTAAAAGGTGTCAATATTGGTGATGGGATGATTGGAAGTTGGAGGTGGTTTGTGGAGTACACAACCATCTTATTTCAAAGTATCTTCAAGGTCATTCATTTGTGAGGCGACTTACTGAAGAGAAGAATGCCTTGTTGGTGGACATATCTAAGAGTTTGGTGAAACCCAGAGATATTTTGGTCACCATTAAAGATAGAGATGCAATGAATGTTTCAACTATGAAGACAATATACAATGCTAGGATCCGAAATAGAACCAAAGAATTTGCTGGGAGAACCCAAATGAAACAATTGCTTACTAAGTTATCCGAACACAATTATATTGAGTGGCATAGGACATCTGGTGATATTGTAACTGACCTGTTTTGGACACACCCCACTAATATTGATATTGTGCGTGCATTTCCACATGTACTTATCATGGATTGCACCTATAAGACTAATAGGTATCATTTCCCACTATTACAAATTGTGGGGGTGACATCTATTAATATGACATTCTCTGTTGCATATATGTATATGAATGCCGAGAAGGAAGACAATTACACATGGGCATTGACTGCATTGAGGAGTTTGTTGGATGATAATTGTCTTCCTGGTGTTATTGTCACTGATCGAGAGTTATCCTCAATGTGATCTTGGGGAGCCGCTCTCTGTCTCCTCGCTAAGGCCGTGGGACGCTGTCTATTAGGTCAGGATGATGAAGCTTCAGTAGTACCCTTGCGAATCCTCTTCATATCTAAAAATAAACAATATTAAGTACACACTCAGTAACGTATTCGGTACATAATCACTGAAAAACGGAAATAAATTCGGTGGACAATCACTGAAAAAAAGAATACATATTCGGTGGAGTACCACTGAAAAATCGAAAGAAATTCGGTGGGAGTCCCCTGAAAAATGGAAACAGATTCGGTGGACTACCACCGAAACAAAGTAACAATTTCGGTGGTAACCCACCGAAAGTACAGGTTCAATTCGGTGAACTACCACTGAAGCAATGTAATCATTTCGGTGGCAATCCACCGAAACTAGAATCCATTTTCGGAAAACCAGGTTCGAACTACCCAGAACCTTGAAATCGAAATCAAAATCAATATCAGACTTTGGCTTTTCAAAAGTGAAATCAAACGTAGGCTTAATCAACACTTAGAAACGTAAATATATAAATCAAATTTGAAATCAAACCTTGAATAAGGATTTGTGAGAACTTGACCTTCAATGGCTTTCGGGTTTGTAGAGATGGAGATGGGTGTGATGGTTCTGTTTCAGAGATGGTTCGGGTTTGCTGGAGGCGATGGCAAAGGGCTTCTTCGATGGTGAGCAAAGATCTGCGATGGCAAAGGGATGAGTTCTTCGATGTTCTGCGATGGAGGCGATGGCAAAGGGCTTCTTCGATGGTTCTGCGATGGAGGTTGGTGTAAATGGGATGAGGTGTGCGATGTGGTGTGTCTGCAAGAGGAGAGAATTTTTGGTGGGGTGGGGCTGGATATCAGATAGGGTGGGGTTTGATTTCAGATGGGGTGTGGCTGAAAGGGAAGGGGGTTTTCGGTGGGTGGTTAGGGAATGGGGTTTATGAGGGCAATTTAGGGGAAAAAAAAGGGGTTTAATGAGTAATTTGAAATTTTATTAAAATTTAGTGGGGTGTAAAAAATTATGGGGTGTAAAGAGTAATTTATGGGGTTCATATAGAATTTCCCTTTATTGATATCTCATTAATGATATTCAAATTGAAGTGGTTTAGCTGTCTATGAAGCTAATTTTCCCCTTTTAATTTGTAATTGACTTTGATTTTCGTAGTGAATTGATTCAGATTGGACTATAAGTCATGCAATTTTCTTATGGGTGCATTTTGCTTGATCGACATCTGTATTTGTTTTGTACTTTGTTGAAATTGCATGATATCTGCTTAGTTTTTATTATGCTTTTAGTTTTGGATGTGAAGATAAATACACAATACCGCTCGAATTATAAAACCCGGTAATTTTATATCACATAAAGTTTTAGAGGCATCAATTCCTATTTCATCCTTACAAAAAACAAACTCATATTTCATTGTTTTAGATCTCAATTGATGTGACAGTATTTTAATTGTTCATTTTGAAACCGCTACGGAATTTTTTAATTTTTTAATACAAGCAACAATCTAAACTAATGAAACCGCTATGAAATTTTTTATTTTTTATAATACAAGCAATAATCTAAACTAGAAGGAATGGGGTTTCTCATACACACGCTATTAAGGTGTCATGGAAATTAGAACCTGAAACTACTGGTATGCAAGTCAATACCCTTTTTTACTAGGCTAGATCCCGTTGGTGCTACGGAACTTATATATAACAAGAGAAGGCCACATCAGCTAGCATCAACAAGTTGGCAGTAGGAAGGTGAAACTAAAATCAGTCCATCATCAGCTACAGCACAAGATTTTCATTTTGTCCCTTTGCTAAAGCATAGGTAGAGGAACAAGTACAATCAGGGCACCACTATTGGAAACAAAAATTACAGTTAGGAGCTTTTTTTTCCGCGAGAAAAGGGACTTTGGGAATGGAAAATCATTTTCATGTTTTCATAATACTGATTTTTCAGAACCTCATACATTGAAGAGCTATACAGAAATTGCCAAATCAGTGAATGCATATATTTTAATCACATCCTGTACAAGAAATTTTAACCCACAAAGCACGTCGAACAACAAGTATAGCTCCAAAATAGATTTAGAACAAGACGCTAAACGTCTACAGCAAGGACGTGCTTGTAGGGTTTGCAAAGAAATGCTCACGGAAAACCAGCTTTGGTTCAGTGAAGCTGCTTCCAAAGAGAGTCCTTAGTATTGGTGGTAGCCCATTGGATGTAGTTTGATGCATCTTCCTCACAGAAATATGTTTATCCAAAATCAACAACTCCAACAACTTTCTACAGCTCTGTAAGAAATTTAGAAGTTAGCATTAATATTGAAATAGAAAAAGTCAGACATAATTTCTACCATAACAAGAAAAGGCAGACAATATATTGGTAGAGAAACTAGTTCATACAACAAATTGTGGGTTGGAATACCTGGGGGTTCAGTACATCCATCCGGCGGATAATTTCATCCTAACACACAAAACAAAGACAGAAGAAGTGAGAATAAACTACATTATCTGTGTAAAGCCTTTCCAATTAAAGCTATTTGTTCAAGCTTGATATGCCCAATCTGACCCAAAAATCTCCCTAAACCCCCTAAAGGACAACCGTGACAGGTCCTAGTCAACACATATCCATTGACGTTCCATTTGTATACAGCTGCAGAATGACAATCATCCATAACGAGAAAAACAAACATAATGGCAAAACTTTAATGAGAAGAAAACATGTTTCACGATAACTATGTATAACCCTAATTAGCATATTTTGCTGGCTGACTGAGCAGAACAATGAAACTCATAGGTAAATCAATAGGCAGACCAACAGGAATGCTGAGATAATCAAGAGGAAAGCAGCCTCAACAACAATTTTATAACCAATGTGTTTATCTTGTAAGTAAAAATAATATTAACAGTAAAGGCAGCAAAGGGAACCTTGCTGCTGCATCCAGCGCTCACTAGCAATGCCTGGTGAGTATGAAAATTAAAGCAATGTGCAAGAAGAAAAGTTTCAGCAAGATAATCATAAGATTGAATATCTATATTGACATTGCTAGTTACTTCAGATTTGAAGCTTCCACCCTCCGCAACATTTGATTTATGGGAGGCAAAGGCGACATAAGGTAGCAAAAGAAATGCTTTGCTAGTCATGAATAGAATTATATAAACCCAAAGGATGCAAAGTACCTCTAATATCCCTGGATTTTGCATCACAATTCCAAGAACACGTCGCCTGAGTCCCTTGTAGATAATCTTGTTAATGGTCCCATCACCATTTATCCATGGTAATATTGGCACACATAGTTTAGCCGAAGAGGATTTAGAAGATTCACCCTCACCATCCCCTCTAGGTGAAACTTCTATGCCTTCCATACAGCCTTCCAGCTCACTGCTAGTCTGTTTTTTATATGAGAGCTCACTAACCTCTTCAGGGAAATTAAGAAATGTCACTTTATGAACATCATCAACATTCATATTTATATCCCCCTGTAAATGAGTACAACCACTATCACAATTTTTTGGATGGAGGATCAAATCGCCATCATTGCCTCTTCGTGGTTTTCTCCCAGAAGGTGGTTCAAGTTTTTGACAAATCCCTGGCACTGAAGTCATAAAATACTTGCCACGATACAAAGAATCAACAACACGAATGGAGTCATAAGCATTGACCTGTGAATAAAGCAGCAATGTTTAGCTGTAGTCATCAGATTTGATTGAAGTATTGAAATCACACGCTTTAACTTCCTGAGATCCAAATTTAAGCCAAATAACGCTAATCCTAATTTCTAAAGCCAAAATTCTGTTAAGTCATTTTGAAACAGTTTTTTTAATGTCTGGCACCTCCGCTTAAAAAGTGATAACAATGCCTTCGGGTTGATACCTCAACCAAAAGAAAACCATCTCTCCACTGTTAATCAAATCCTAAATCAAAGAATTCCTAATTGTACTTTAATTTGGCACACAACTTTAAGGTTATTCCAGCTGAGGACAACACAAAGTTAGAAATTGGAATATAAAATAGTAGTTGTCCCACATCCTAACAACCTAAACTTTTAGAAATGGTGGCAAATCAAATGAATTTATCATGGTATCAGAGCAGGAGTAGTAGAAAGAGGCCCACATGTGAGGGGGATTGTCAGAATATACAATACACATACGAATTAACATGCACACACAGTGAAAAACCAACAAACTTTATCAATGAGAAATTATTCTCAGATTGCTAAATCATTAGGAAACTAACCTTTAAGACTCGTTCAAATGTTTGAAGCACGTCAATGATAAACTCAGTCATCTTTTCTCCTAAAAGGAACATCAAGAGATAATCAATACTAATGCATGCATGAGAGTGCACACGCACTACAGATACGAATTAACATGCACGCATAAAAAGAGTCATAGAATCCAAACCTGGGATATTTGTTATTTGGGAAACATCTTCTATGCTCAGTCCTTGGTCTCCAGCCGTCTGAATAGCACTGTAAATGGACCTAAAGACCTCGGGATGGATGGGACTTGATTGATTTTGAGAAGAACATGATGGCAGCAAATGTTCAGCATACCGCACCATACCTTCCCAAGGCGAGTTGCTACAATTCTCTAATACATGGACAGTGCTGCTTGAATCAAGGATTTCTTTCATATGGTGAGAATGAGATAAAATATTCTTACCACAATTACTATCTAGTTGATAACTCCCACAATTTTTTTTTCACAAGGAGTATCGTTTGTGAACAAATCTACAGCGTCAGCTGTAGAAAATGATGCACGATATACAGATACCTTGATACCCGGGAAACCTTTTTCTCGACGGGAAATAATTTCACCTTCTGCTGCCACAAATGATTTTAGCCTTTTAGTCTTATCACCATCTAAAAATTCATTGCTGTCAATTTTACGTTTTGAGCTTCTCAAATCTTCAGCTTCTCCCATGCCTTCATCTGGCAAGCATGGGGAAATTGACAGTTCACCTGAAGAAACTAGAGCAAACAAATGGAATATGTCCCCACACTGTAAATCTGCAGAGAGATCAATCCCCCCTTCCATAAGATCTTTATCTCTTTCACGGAGCCAATGAGCGAATTTAGTAGCTCTCTTCCCAGAATTAGTAGGAAATGGTGACATAGAAATATTATGCAAGAACTGTTGTGAGAGAGAAAAGTGTTGACTGTCATTTCCCCCTACCTGCCAAATGAAATTTCATCAGGAATGAAACGTATACAGCTCATAAATTAGAAAAACAGGAATATACAAACATAGAGACAGTTTGTTATAAAACAATAGGAATGAAACTATTTATGGAAAATAGAAAGGAAATTTTTTAGATCTTCATGTTCACTTCCCCATTACTACAAGACTAACATGAGCATGTAAAATTAACAAAACTCAAGGATCTACCATGATTTTTCTATCTCTAAGATAGTTGAAAGCTGCAAATAGATCACACTCTGAGTAACGCCGTAGAATTTCTGCGAGCAGATTCGGCACCTCTGGTGCTGTTGAGATACTCAAGAAGACAAGCTTAAACAGCTCTACAGCATTAGAAACAGCCAAAGATTTGTAGACTTGTGTACTAACATTAACTCCATGCAAAAGCTTAAAAAACTTTTCATTAAGGTGTTGACAGCATGATCTTCGTGCAGAAATTTTCAACCCTCTTCCACTATGGTTCTGAACATCCTCATATGGAGTAGTTGATGCAATTAATTCAGATTCCTGCGGATCCTGAAGGTAGGTAAATAGTATTCAGTGAACTAGACTAGCCAGATATTTGGATACTAAGAAGGAAAAAAAGGATGAGAAACCGATCAAATAAGATACAGTACCATTGCAAGTGGATATCAAAGCACACGAACACAAATAATTTTATATATATATAGAGAGAGAGAGAGAGAGAGAGAGAGGGAAACACACAGAGAATTAGTCAAACACATGGCTCATTCAGCAACCTAATCACGCTCCACTAAAATCTATTTCAGATATGACAAGGCAACGTTAAGATTTATAAAATCTAAGGTGTAGGGATTCGATAATTACATATTCTTCAGCATTTGTGTTAAGATCTGACCAGTCCTGACAGGTTGATCCAACTCGTTTTGAGGCATCCAATTTAGCCATCCTCTTGTAGTGAAGTACCTCCTCAAGGGCTCTTTTAATGTTATTGTCATCAAAATCATCCCATGGTTCTTCCTGAACACCCGTCCCTTGATTATGATTACTGATATTAGGAAGATTTCTGTCATTATCTTCCCCCGACGAACCTCGCAAAAGCAGCCTACAATCATCTTTGGTTAGTGATCTGTTCTGAGTCTTTTCCAGGAACTTTGCATATCGTTCACCGATCACGTTACACAGCCTCATTACAGCTATTCTAAATCTTTTGTTACTTTTGAGTAATGCCATTCGTTTTTGGCAGGTACTAGGAGGTGCTGGAAGGTCAGGAAGTGAAGTCCAATCTATCCTGTGATATTTTGGCCCAAGAGTTGCACGATGTCTTACATATTGGATAATCAATTGCCTGAAAGGATGATACCAATATAAGTGAAATGCAAATAGGTAACTAATACTCCAATGAAAGAACAAAAGGAATCATATTCTTTTCTTCTTCATGATCAGAGAAACCTGATAAAGATTGTTGAATTACCACTATTCCCAAATGAAGTTGTTAGGAAATGAGCCAACAATTATTTATAGTCTGACATTCCACTCACAAGTGGGCTTTTCTACATCACTAAAGACAAATATGCGGGATTCAACCAATATTGGAAGGTTAAAACCATGATAAACTTTGTTAGTTTACCTAAAAGCTTAAGCTGTTTGGATGTCAGACAAAAATTACTTAACAATCTATCAAGACGACAAAGAAATCACCAACGCCAACAGAGTATACAGCTTACATGTATTAAATGGAGGAGAACATATTGAAATCCCCCCTTCAGTCTTAACAAATTGTGCTGTGTCTCATCTTTCGGCCAAAAAGATTTAATGTGCAAACATCGATCAATCTCCTAGGCCAACAATAATAGAGTATCATATGCAGGGACCCATAGTTGAAAGATCCAACCATGCCTTTAATCACGATTGACCACACTGCTAGCTTTTATTGTTGGGTCTAGGACATTGACTGACACTTTTAATGTATTATTGACTGCTAGCTTCTAATTCATAATAAAAGCATAACTCCACCATGCTTTTAATATACGATTGAATGCATTTCTAGCTTTAACAGATTGTTCTTATGATCGGAAAATGTTTACATATCTGCTTTCTTATTGAGTACAGTGCTAGCCTTTATCAGCTTTTATCTGTAACATATGTAAACGAATGGAACGTCAATGGATATGTGTTGACTAGGACCTGTGTCAGTTGGTTGTCCTGTTGGGGGTTTAGGGAGCAACAGTTTTTGGTGTATTGTTACTGGGGAAGAGTTATTAAGGAAAAATCTGGAAACAAAGATAATTATGTTTTAAAAATAAAATAAAATTTTGAAGTCTTAGTTTTAAATGCATGTGGAGCAACATGACACAGGAAAAATGGAAAAGATATAAAAAGGAAAGTAGCTGACATGCATCATCTACATCTTCTTCCCTTACCTATCAGCCTCCTCTGTCCACGAAAACCTTCGTTGACGTGTTGACTGCAACTTTTCTTTTTTGCAAGTACGTGTTGACTTCAAGTTTGAAAAACTACATTTGCTAATAATTGAATGGCACCCATCATCATCTTCGTTTGGTTCAGGTTCCTGCCCGGTTTCTAAATGATCAGCCAATGGTTCCAAATGTGTGTCATGCTTATCTGAAGAAGTGACCAAGAGACTTTTTTCTTCAATGAATTGTTTTACAGTGTCAGATAATGTGGCATTCCCCTGCTCTTCCAACTGTGCAGTTACCTCATCAGTTTCTGTGAACTTTACCGACTCTTGTTCAGAAGATCTCTTCCTTTTTCGTGAAACACGTCTACCTTTTTTAGGTTGAACTTCATCCCTTTTATTTTGCAATCCATGAAGACGTTGATGGCGCTTATCATAATACACACGAAGCACCTGCAAGTGACATTACAGGGACAAGCAAACATAAATGATAATGAAAATAATCGATTCAGATCGAAATGTTGATTTTTGCATAACAGGTTATTATTGATACAGTATGAAAGGGATAAGAATGAGACGTAAGCAAATCGTAGCAGAATATAACCTGCTCCAAGGTCAAATTGAGATCCTTTGCAATCTTCCCACACTCTTTAAATGAAAGCTTTTCACTTGGATCATCCTTCTCTACTCGCTTTAAGAGCTCATCACGCTGAGCAGCTGTCATAACTCGAATTTTGGTCCATGACCTGTACAGGGACACCTGTGGAAAAAAGAAGAAGATAATTTTGCAGCTAAGTTGATCCACCAGTTCTTCCTATCGCAGTATTTGTACTCCAATATCAAGGCAATCCTAAGAAATACAAATTCATGTGGACTCCACCCAATAAAGGATACAACCACCAATAACTGGTAAAGGTATTCGTGTAGAATTTTAGCAAAAAATAATTGTACTATCTGAACTGAAATATATTTCTTGAAAAGTTAAAAGATCGAACTCAATCTCCTGGGGTGTGTGCAAGAGAGCCAAGAGTTACAGGCAAAAATCCAGTGCAAGATATATAATTCAAAAACTGAAAAGGGAAAAACCTTGAAAAATATAAAAGAAACAGCATACTATCAAATTTATGGTGGACAAAAAGTTTATAAGAACCCTCTACAAGCAAAAATAAATGAACTACAAATTTAAAGAAGAAAAAAATTCTTATAGTGCACAACCTCATGTACAGCAGATCCAGGAAATGCATGTAAAGCAGCTCTTGGGTCAGCAGCAGCATAACAATACTCTAAAGTTTGCCAATACTCATCAACAGCTTCTCTATTTGAGAGGACAAAATCATGTCTGATTCGTGGGCGAAGATCAACAGATCTAAAACTCAAAGATATTGCATCTTTTGAAAGTGGTTCCTCTATGTAAGGCTTAAACTCCAATGCATGCGTAGAAATGGCATGAGGAACTTTAATTGCATCTTTCAAATGTTCATCACTAACCATTCGAATCAACTGCAACAACAACAAAAATTAGTTATTAGCATCCTAACGTAAATCTACAATGTGCAAGCAAACAAGCCTGTTCAACATGTCGCAATGCAAACCCACAAGGTGGACATAAAGGGTCCCTCTCTCCAAACTACAATGAACAGAAGTGAGGAATCAAAGAATAGGGTTTATGAATGATGAGAGTTAAATACAGATTTCCCGATATTTAATCGAATTTGAACCAGATATGAGGATCTGTTGCACAAGAACCACAATAAGAGATGCAGAACAATATAACAACTCAAAAATAATCAATCTGATTATTGTACGCTCTGATTGGGTAATCTCATCCAAAGCTTTTGGCTGAGTGACCTTTTCAACGTGAAAATCACAAGTATCATAATTTCTGGTAGTATTTTCGGCACACTGGAGTCCAAATCAGATTTCTATAGTGGACCATTGCATATAAGATAAATAACATGTTCTGGACAATGACATTAGTGAGCTGCTTTCATGATTTTAGGGACACAAAACCCCAACAAATTTAAGTTCTACCACCAATCCGTCAATTCCAGTGCATGACCTTTGAAATGCTAAACATTCAGGGCTGATTTATGGGTTTAAATGTGGCAGACATTCTGAATGGCTGACTATACACATATAACGAACAAATTTTGAATGCAACCAAACAATCATACCTTCAATCGCCGTAAAATTTCAATGACCAATGATAGCCTTCCAGTTGCATGGGTATCCATAAGAGACTTGTACTCGTCAGCTGAAAGGTCAGAAAGACACAAACCCCTCTTACACTTCTCAAGCATATCATCAATTTTTTTAGTGCAGCCCACAACTTGTAGAAACAGCTCAACTGGAATAGCCCTGATTGCTACCTCTAGTGAAAACAATTTGCTTCTGCTGTGAGGATTTTTTAGCTCAATGACATCTTTTCCAGATGCTAAAGCATCATCAGATCCTGTGGAACTAGAGAGGAAATCCCATAGGAAACTATGTAGCAGCTTTGCACGAATCATTTTTGCCAGAATAAATCCATTAGAGCGCATGGCTTCTGATCTCATGGCTCGGATATCTGTACCGACGTGGTTCTGAGTCCTCTGAACATCCTTCAGTACAGGAACTGATCCACTTTTCTTCCATCGAGATGAGCACTGGCCACGACTTTGAATCTCAAAAGACCTCCATGTATCATGAATTTCAGAAACTAGTTCAGGAGTTAAATTCTGAACAGATGGGTGCAGAACCACTAGAGTGGTACGGCTACGACCACAATTTGTGACAACTGGGACGTTAATATGTATGCACTTGCAGTGCCCTAGTTCCTGAAGTTTCTTTAAAATTCGGTCAATAGTTTTCCTGTCTGTTGTTGTGCACTTGTCCTTCTCCAGACTCACAAGCCACCTATACAGCTCAGCTCTTAAAATAAACTTCTCGTCCTAGACAAGAGAACGAAAATAATAGATTTAGTTGTCAATATACAACAAGTAGATAAAAAAGAAGACCAAGAGAAGCCCTCAAGGTCATGGATGATGACAAGAACCTGTAGCCGCTCAAGTATCCTTTTTTCCCTTCTAGTGCTATCCTCAGTCAAAGACAGACATGGATACCTCGGATCTGATCCAGAACCAAGTGGCTTTAACGCAGCAGGTGGTGTTTCTGGTGAGGCACCATTTATTTCCACTGTGCTCAGTAAACTAAGTTTACTGTCACAAGTAGTATCTTTTGGCTCAAGAAACAACGGTTGGGGATTTCCAGGACAAAGAAGCATATGGTTAGATTCACTATACCGAGGAGATCCACCAGCAGGCTCAGTATTAATGTATCTATTTTTCATGTTTCTGGGACCAGCAGTATCACCTTTCAAAGTTGAACAATCATAGGCTGAATGAGTTTGACTTTGACCTGACCTGTCAAGAGCATCTGAGCTGCCAATGTATAGGTCAGTAATTTTATTTTCATTGGCATTTTCTGATTTATTAAGAAAAGGATTAGCCGATTCAGAATTGTGTTCCACAGATGTCCAAAATCGATATGTCTTGGCTTTTTGGTGCATTTCTGGTTGTATATTCATCCCAAACCTAGACCACATACCAGCAAGCCGGTTACAATTTTTTTTGTTGTTAATTCCAAGCCTCTCCAGAACCTGTTTGTAGAAAATATGAAAATTCTGAGAATTAAAATTAAAACACAAACTTTTATGAAAGTATGAAAGTAAACCATGGAAGTAAACAATGACATCAGAAAGTAAACCATGGAAGTGAACCATGACAAATTTATGGTCTCTGAAACTTAGATAGACAATAAATATTTTGAAATGCTCATATCCCTTTTTAACTAGGTGTATTAATTATATTCTTTCTAGGCACTTCCAACATGACTGCATGAGCAGCCAGCTTAGACAGGAGCAAGGCAATTGTACCTCACACCAGTCTTTATTAAAAAAGACCCTCGGCTTTCCCATGCTAAAAGAATAACAACGGATTCCATTGCTAACATCAATAATAATGAGTTTGTATTAAACTGCAATGCTTTAAAGAAAATATAGCTGGTCAAGAAATTAATGCACACACCTCATTCCTAGTCAAACCTTCTGATCCTGTGGAATCTATCAATTCATAAATTTGTTGCTCAATTGGAAGTTCTACAAGCTGATCAGTGATCTGACATTTCTTTCTCTTTCTGTATTTCACCTGCTGTTCTTCATTACAATGATCATCTACATGTGAAAGACTTTTTGGCTCAAAACTCATTTGAGTAGAATTTTCTGGAAAACGCAGGCAGCACTCAACCTGTCCAAAGTGAAAAGGGGATATCAAATCAGGACCAATGAACTAACATGATGGATCCTTGCCCTTGAACAGATTGAACTTAATTATTATTTATTAACCAAAAAAACAGCAACAAAATTTAAGAACATAACAATGAAAAGAACTCTGATCATAATTTATCAGGATTTTAATAAGGAAGGTAATATATATAAAAAATGAACTTATTAGGTTTTCTATTAAACACAATATTGCAAACAAAAACAAAAGTGAACATAAACATCTAATTCTAAAGCAAGAAAAGAACATCATATTAGAAGAAAAATGACTACGAACTTGTACCTTAGATAATTTAACTAGAAAAAAAGGACTGGAAACTTATTTATAAGATAATTTAAAAAAGAAGAAGAAGGACATAGTGAAACAGTAAAGCAGGAGAATTTGGATTTAAAAGAAACGCAATATTGAAAAACACAGTCAAGCAAAACAATTTTGTAAAACAAAATAAAAATAAAAATAATAAGAAACCTTCTCATTCACTTTAGCGTCAAACAACTCCACGATACCAGCAGCTTTCAACCTGCGACAAACCTAGCAGCACAGTACGTAGGGAAAATGCAATGAAAAACAATCAGCATAACTTCGAAAATTGCTGATTCAGAGTTGTAAGAGCAAATAGATAGTAATTAATTTTTTTTACTTTTCTCCAAGCTTTATGCCCTCCAGGAGTTCCACTGTAACCAAGATCTTTCTTAATATCCGAAACAACAAGAACCTTTAAAAACAAAATAACATGAAACAAATTTAGTAAGTGAAGGAAACAAAAATTCAATTGAACTAAATAGATCCATCAAAACTTTTAAGAAACTTGAGTTATGTGACCTTGCCATTGGCTTCTTCAAGTTTATCACAGACTGCCTTCATTTCCGGCAGATAGTCCTTTACAAGCACATCCTCTTTAACATATTTTCCAGCAAAGCCATCTCCACTTGCAGGACTTTCATTTCCATTTCCAAAACTCTCCCTAGTCTGTTCTTCCTTGGTGATCTCAATCTTCTGTTGAGAGCCTAAATGCTTCCCATGTCGATACAAATATAACATATTGGTAGTCACAAACGGACTGTCACCAGCTTCTTTTGTCTTTAATAGTGCAGATTGCTTCACAATTAACCCTTGACATTCAAGGCTCTTCACTGCATAATGAAAGTTTCTCCCTTCAATGCCAAGTTCCTTAGCAAGCTGACTTTGTGTAATTCCATTTGTCCTGTGATAACCCAATTTGTTAATGAGCCATTACTCACCAAACGAACGGACAAAACTCTTCTCTCCCCATGACTCCCAAAGTTTACTTGCAAACACTCAACATTTTTCTACAAGAGAGATGGGGATAAGAACCCCCAGAACCACATAACCACTGCTTCCGCCTTTATACCATCATTTGACCTTCCATCTTAGTCTAACAACATATTCCTCTCATGTATATATATATATATATATATATAATTTCTAGCTGGACTATTAACAGTTCTCGACCCACAATACAATGAACTAAAGTGTACATTAAAGATTGCAAATTTAAACCAACTCCATTCATGGCTCACTAAACCAATCCAACACTGAAAATTGAAACTGAGAAAACACAAACAAATTAACAATTTAACACTCCCATATAGATACCTATATACACAAGTTACACAATCAATCAAAAGCACCAATTATTCAGATATATACACAATTGACCAAAACCGCCATATAAAAAACATACATACACTATCACATTCCCAATTTTACACGTGCATATCTGGCATGCTTATACTTAAAAGCAATAGAAAACTGCGAATGCATGCAAAATTAGATTCTGAACAAAGAGAACCTAGCCATGACGACGCAGTTGATAGCTCACACACATAAATACATACATATACACAATAAATCAAAACCGCCAAAACAATCACATATACACAATCGAATCACCAATTTTACACATACGTATTCCGACATGCTTATATACAAAAACCATTATAAAAGAATGAAAATGCATACAAAACCAGATTTTGAACAAAAGATAGAACCTAGCCGTCACGAGGCGTTCGAGAGCCATCCGCTGAATCTTAGACAAGCTGGCATTGGCGGAGCGGACATTGTAGAGGCCCATGAAGTTGTCCCTGAGACCCTCGTCAGCCACGAGCTTCAGGTTGAGCTTCTCGGCGTCTTCGAAGGACAAAATGGAAGGGTCTGCCGGACCATAAGGTGCGTTTTTGGCGTCGAACTTGAGAGTTGGGACGGAGCGAAGGGCGTCCCATAGGGCTTGCTTGAGGTGAGGAGAGAGGTCGAGGTTGGAGGAGGAGAGAGAAAGGTCGAGTCTGGGCCAGAGGGCCTGGAGAGAGAGACCGTTTTGGAGCTCCGAGCAGATTTCTGCTAAGGCTGAGTTTAAAATTGAGTCCATGGAGAAAGCATCTGTGGATTCTTTTTTTCTTTTTTTCTGGTCAGTGTTTGTTTCGAGGGAAAATCTTTAGTTCAGTTCTGGAATGAAAGACGAAGAAGAAGAAGCGAGGTAATTTCAGGCGGGTACCACCAAACGAAGCTTGTTGACCCGCCAAGCTGTAAAATATTCCGGGTCGGGCCAACCCGATTCCGGACATGTCCGACTTTAGGCCATTTTGGCTTTATCAGTTCTAACAGTGTGAGCTTGATTGATTAAGTAACACTAATTCCGGATCTCTTTCATTCTAAAACGGATTCGGATACTCTGTTTTGATTTTCTCTGCCATGATCTACTTTAGTTTCACTGTAATGCTGCTGCATCATTCAAAAACAATCCAAAGGTAGAGAATATAACACGTGTATTTCAAAAATAAATGACATATTTTACATATTTTTGACACAAAGTAAAGGCAATAAACAGCGTTCTCTCCAATCAAATTGAAGCAAGGTTACGGTCGTGGTGAGATAGAGAAAGAGAGTGGCTGGGTGCGTATGCCTGCATTCGGGTCAATCTGAGAGAAATGAGATTTTTTATTTTTCTTTTCATGTTTTAGTTTTAAACTTTTAATTGATTAATTAATATTTTGATATTATTCGTATTTTTCAGTTAATTTTTTATATATATTTACTTTCACTGGGGGTAAAGCTAATGAGAGATGGAGATGACCAAGAATTATGTCAAATTCGATCAAAGGTGGAACTGGTTGTTGTCCAAAAGTTTGAGAAATCATATAATTATTAAGTGTATGATCGTTGTTTGGTTGATGAGGAACAAAAAGAAGAAGAAAAAGATTTGTCTTTCAACAGGACAGAACACAAAGAAGAAGAAGAAAAAAAAATAAACAGCTTTAGACGTTAAATATCCCGTTAGTTGGGTGTAAGTTTTTTTTTCTTTTTTAATTAAGAGTAAATTGAATTTTTGTTTTAGGATGATGTGTAGGGCTTAAATTTTAATAATGTGACGTATGGAGAACAAAAGTAAAGCAGAGGATCCGAATCTTTCTAAAACTACCCTCGAATTAATTATTGTAGAACAATTTGATTCAATTTGATTTTGATAAAAAAAACTATTGACAAACCAAACCAAATTAAATCAAATCAATTTCGATTTAGTTTGGTTTGTATGGTTTGGGCCTAAGCCCTTTTATTATTGTTGCATTTTCTCAACTTTGTTAGCCTAAATGCAACAAAAAATTTCATAATTTGCTACCTTTTTAAAAAATAAAAATAAAAATTATAGCACATCAAACCATTGTAAAATATTATTAAGGCCACAATTCAAACATCTATAACTTTCAAGTTCTATCAAATTTTAAAATCAACATCTATATAGTTATTATCCAATACGAAAACTACACATGTAAACAAAATAAAAAGTAAAATAAATATACAAAAGGACGGTTCGGTTTACAAAAGTTCAAAACTTCAATTGAATTGATCCATTATGGTATGATTTGTTTTTAGACCGTTTTGACTTTTTATTGATCAAATCAAACTTAGGCCCCGTTTGGGATTGATTTTTTTCGCTAAAAACCTGCTTCACTTAAAAGTTAAGCAGTTTAAGGTGTTTGGTAAAAATAAAATATCCTGATTATTTTAAAAGCAGTGGTCTTTTGACAGCAGCTTTTAAAAGCAGGCTCTTTGTTGTTTTTCAAAGTTACTTTCAAAAGAAGAAAAGATGAACATTTAGGGAAATTTTTTAATTCCCAAAATACCATAATTCATTTTAAAAAATGATACCACCTCCACTTCCACATCCAACTCCACCACTTGCACCACCACATTCACTACCTCCACAACCACCACCACCACCTCTTTCAAAACCTCTACATCCACATCCACCACCACCTCCACAACCAACACCATCACCACCTCTATGCTGCCACTGCCACTGCCACCACCACCACCACCTCCACAATCGTCATCCCCACCACCACCACTACCACAACCACCAACTCCATCTTCATCACCACCACCACCTCTACTCCATAATCACTACTACAACCACGTGATTAGTATATAAAACTTTCAACATCATGTCTATTTTAGTCATTATTCACAGTTACAACAATTTTATATTAAAATTTACCAAACGGTTTTGACACTACTTTTTGTACTAACAACACTTTAAAAATATTGTTTACCAAACATGGAGCTACTTTACTTTACAACTAATTATTTTCAAATCACAGTAGAAACAACTTTTTTTTAAAAATGACAGCAATCCCAAATTGAGCCTTAAATTATTTATTGCGATTCAAATCTATTAATTTGGTTGGTTCAGTCGGATTAATGTCCACCTCTAAATATTATGGTTCAAACGGCTTTGATAATATCTCTTTATAAGCACTTGAAACGTTAAAAATGTAGTGTCCACGCAGGAGACATGTGGTTGAGGATTGTAAAATTTTTGTTACAAAAAATGCTGAAAAAAGATCTTATAATTCCTTAATAAGACGGCGATCTTTATCATACTTTAGTGATTCATTTAAAATCTTAAGCCAAACTTATTAGCATTGAATACTAATTTAATTTGTTTTAGTAGCGTTGAATCAAAATCTGAATTGTTTATTACTTGTTCCGATCGGGTCACTTTCGAGTTTATTTTAAGTAATTATGATTATGAACCTTAATGATCCACTCATTTTTGTGATGGGCTTGATTTGATTTCTCTCTTCATGTTATCTTCTTGTGGGGGCGGGTACTATTTGTCCTTGTGATACAGAGTGCGTCACCTACGCACACTTACACACTGTATTTTCTCACAGCCCACAGGACAATCAACAACGAATTCAATGAAGTAAAAAGTTGCGTGAAGTAAAACGAGGAGGCGACAATCGAGAGTTAAGAGAGAGAGAGAGAGAGAGAGAGCGCAACTCTGGCTTGGCTGTCAATCAAATCTCATGTACAGAAGATCTGCTCCATGTTTCTCTCATGATTTCTGGCCTGCCGGCACAGCAGCACTTTCGTAAATAAGTAAATTCTGTTCCTTTGTATTACTTTCTCCATAAAATTTCATGCCGTTTTTGTTTTTTTTTCTCCAGAATATTGGCTTTCTCTCTCTCTTTCTTCCCCAATATGTTCCATTTTAGAGTTTCATTTCCTTTTGCACCTTGTAGACTTTTCTGGGTTATCTGGGTTAATGGGTATGTTTTAATCCTTGTTCATTTTAGTTATGCTTCTTTGTTTCTCCCTGGGTGACCCTGTCTGTATGTTAATTATGGAAAATCCTCTCTTTGCTTTAGCTTTTGGAAGCTCAAAACTTTCAACATATGTTTATCAGAAAACACTGCCTTGTTACCAACCTGGATATTGCTATTTTAGAGTATGGGGAGTGTTCTCTGCAAAGTTTAGAATCAATACAAAGTTGTTCTCTGCAAGTAAAGTTTCTTCATCTGGTTTTTATTGACTAATTTTGTTTTTGTTTTTGTTTTTTCCTTTTTTGTGTCTCTGCTGTTTTTCTTCTGAAAGACTGACTATTCTTTGGCATTGACTGGGTTTCTGGGGTCTTTTATTGTTGAGATTCTTTTCCACTTAAAAATTAAAAATCAAAACTTTGAATAGGTTGGTTCAGAAAACACAGAAGGGAAAGGTTCCTTTTCTAGGTAAAAGGGGTATTTGCTTTTAGGTCATTAAAAACCCATGTCTGATTTTTTTCTACTTGGTAAGTTGTCTGTGGTGCAGACATATCCTTATCCTTGTGTTTGGTTCCAAAGAATACAGAGGAAAAGAAAAGAATAGGAAAATTCACCTCAATATTGCTAAAACTAAAAGGTAATTCAATTGTTGATTGGCAACAGTTGAATTGTGGCTTACCTATACGTTGGTTCCAGATTCTGGCAAACAAGGTTTGAAACTTTACTTTCTGCTTTACCCTACAATTTCCTGCTAATTCAGTCATGGCCGTTCATTGTGTTTTTTTATTTATATGTAAAAAAATGGGTACCCATTAGATTTCATCTTCTGTAAAGTTTGTTGCTTGGTTTGTTCCATTTCGTTTTCCTCATACATGCTGTTTCTGATGCAGGACAAGAACTATTCTTGGTTGAAGTCAAATTAGAATGGAAGGTAGTATATTTACAGGCATAGGAAACGGAACCCAACTAGATACCAAGGTTGTGCAGACATTTCAGAAGAGCTTTGTGCAAGTGCAAGATATTTTGGATCAGAACAGATTGCTAATTAATGAGATTAACCAAAACCACGAGTCCAAGATCCCTGATAACCTCAGCCGGAATGTTGGCTTAATTAGAGAGCTTAACAGCAACATTAGAAGGGTCGTAGATCTCTATGCTGACCTCTCCAGCTCTTTTTCCAGGTCAATGGAAGCTTCATCAGAAGCTGAATCAGGTGGGACTTTGAAATCTGATGGAAAATCTAGCGAGAAGAGAATTAGATCCGGGTAATTGTTCAAAAATTGGCTTTGTTATAGTTATAGATTCTGCACTCTTCATTACTGAATAAGAAAAATTTGTACTACCAGAGGGAAGAACTTGATGAGCTTGTGTTACTCTTCTGTATCAATTATATCTATTTGAGGCTCTGTGCAACAGATTCACTGCCACAAACTTTCATGAAATATCTCTATGAAAATTTAGCGCTGTAGTTTTCAGTTTCAACACTGGATCTGCTAGATTAAATTGTGCATGCTTTTCTGTTTAGGATTTCATAGTTAATCCTATAAAGATCATTTAGATTTTGGTTGGCAAGTGGTGGATGCATTCATCAATTCTTTTTAGGACGGAGAAGAATAAGAAAATAAAAGGAAAAGAAAGTGTTGGATGTATCACTTTTTCATGTATTTAACCTGTCCATGAGTGACTTTCAAGCGTTCACAAGTGCAGTGGTGTTATTCATTAATCTACCCAAGCTTAAATGCTATCAGTTTGAAATTTCTGTTCAGAGATCACAGCTTTCTACTTGTAGACTCCCTTAAAAGCTGAAATTTGATTTGGTTTTTTTATCTTTTCTCATTGGTTTCATAATCATTTTTCTGATATATTATCTGCTTCAGATGGGAACTTTAGCTACCCGCTTTATTCTTTTCCCGTGTTTGTCAAAAAGATATTCTTATGGTGCCCCTCCCCTCCCTAGTTCAGGATTACAGTGGAGGATTGGTATGTACTGTTTGCTGCTCAGATAGCCGAGTTTTGTATGTTCAGAAGCTCCTGTGCTTGTTGATCTTACTTCTCCAATGACCTTGACATAGGGGGCTTTTGGGTTTAAGATGCTTCATGAAAATTGGAGAAAGCAGCTCTGGATTAAAAATAATAATAACTAGATATGAAAAAAAGGAAATGGTTTTGGTTTTAGAACTAACACCACCAATGCAGATCTCATGTTGTATAAATGATTGTTCTTTTGAACTTTGTCTTGTTGCTTAGTTTTACAAGAAAGCACTTAAAGGGACAGAAAGTTGATCAAACAGTAAGAAAGAGTAGGGCCCAGCTGTTCATTATTTTTTTAGGTGGAATGGAACTGGTTGAAACTCAGGCTATCCTTTGCTTAGGTTTATCTCTTTCTGATTGATGCTCTTATCCTTTTTAAAGTTTTCACTTTGTATCTTCCCTTTTAATTTCTCTCTCTCTCTCTCTCTCTCTCTCTCTCTCTCTCTCTCTCTCATGTGGTAGATGATTGCTATGTAGGTTTTGGCATAGTTTCTGAACACTTTTTGGCATTGGTAACAATCCATTCATTGATATAAGCTTAAGAAGTGATGCAAATATCTGATTTTCCCAAAGCATTGTTGAGGAAGATACATGTGGGGTTGAGGTTGGTTCATGTATGATGTTCCCCCTAATGGATGGTAAATGATTTTAGTCTTATTTGAGCTCAGTGGCCCATTTGTCTGACCAAAATAAAAGTTTAATGGTTGTTAAGGACCCTCACTTAAATTTGTCAGTTCTCATTTACAATCAAATCAAGGCCAGCACAAAGACCACTATGTGGTTGAGATAATTGATTGCTATAATCAGAGTTGAATTTTGAAGGTATGACAAATAAAAGTGGTTACTAGACAAGGTGATAGTTCAATTTGTAGTAATCATGCGGTTGAGATTCAAGTTCCAGTCTCTCTCCAATAATATCTCCTAAATTAAAGTTGTACCCATCAAATGGAAAAGGTACAGTAGATTTTTAAACCAAAGATTGATCTTTGAGCCAAAAACAAAACCCAAATTGGGGAATAGCAAGGACTTTTGGAAGTGTAAGATTGTGCCCCTGCATAGGAGCTATGAGTCAGAACAACGTTCACCAACTCGTTTAAAGTAATCTTGTTCATATATATGGAAAAAGGTTTTTGAATATAAGTTTTAAATGTTATAGTAAAGAAGTCATATAATATTATACAACAGATTTGTTGCGGCCATTGAGTGAGCCATTTTGACTTTAGATGCATGTGAGACTCATATGCACCAACGATCATAAAATGTTAATGCGTTCTCTAAGTGATCACGACTGACATATGATATCCTAAATCTCTCATAAATTGCCATATACACCCCCCCAATTAGGATTTCAATCGAATTTAATCCCCGAATTAAAAAGTCTGCCAATTTAACAACTGAATTAATTAAAATGGCAAATTTAGACTTTGTCGTTAAGTTGTGTGAATTTCATCCAATTTTCCGTCACCTATAAGAGTAAACTTGTAATTTCGAGTAAAATAAATTATAATTAATAAGGAAACTATAATAAAATTTAAATAAATAAATAAAGGAAAAACAGCCCCATCCAGCAAGAAAGAATCAGCGGCAATGGAGGTGTGTCTCTGAGAGGAAGCTAGATTGAAGCTTTGTCTGTACCATATACCTTGGCTGCCTCCCCGCACCGTCCAAATGAAAATTAAAATGAACCCAAATTTTCCACCCCTGTTGTATTTTTTGCAGACCTGGTTTTTTCAATGAAATTTCTAAAGGTTTCGAACAAAAAACAAAACAGTGATAGCTGGATTTTTGGTTTTGGTGGTGGTGGGCTTGATGGATCTGTGCATGAATACTAGAGAGAGATGACGACGATGACGAAGAAGATGGTGATGGCATTGGCGATGATGGATCTGGGTAGGGAGTGGTGGCTGGGAGCGTGGTATAGTTTAAAATATTCGGCTATACTTTTAAAAGTTTCTATTTATAGAGTATAACCGCGCGGCTATACTTTTAGATTTTTCTATTATAGCCGTACGGCTATACTATGGGTTAGGGTTTTCAGTTTTTATTTTGTAATTTTTTGTAATTATTTAAATATTTACTTTTTAATAACTTATTTTCAAAAGTAAAATAGTAAGTCATGTGCCAAGTATGTGACTTTTTAAATGGAATAGTTAATGAAATTCGAAAAAGTTGATAGTAAATGCTAAATTGGCTATTTATATAAGTGCATGTGCTAAATTGACTGAAAAGTTAGTTTGGAGGGTTAAATTCGATTAGGGTCATAATTCAAGGGGTAAAATGGCTGAAAATCCTATTGAAAATGCATTGAAAAGATCCATGGTGTATAAGCCAGACTTGAGAATCCAAAAGTCACATTCAACTAGCACTTTTGGATGAGGCATTGAGTTGTTTCAAATGGTATCACAGCTCAACATTTACACATCGACCCGCGCATGAAGATGATGTATTTGCCGTGGTGTGCAGGTCTTCTTAGAGCAGTTCCAGCAGCCCACTCGGGCTCGGGCTTGGGGGGGGAGAGCCCAAAAGCAACAAGTGCTGGCGGGGGCAGTGTGGGGTGGGCTGGCCCGAAGGCAGGGCAGCAGCCCGAAGGCAGGGGCTACCCGAGCAGCAGCCCGAAGGCAGGTTGACGTCAGCAGGTGCAATTTTTTTTTCTTTCTGCTGCCACATGGCGCGATCTGGTCCTTCCGATTTTCGAATTTTCATCCAATCCAACGGCCTGGAATTTTTCAAGGCAAAAATTATGAAAAAAAATCGTAAAAAATTTTAAAAAAACCCCAAAAAATACTGAATTTTTTTTATATAAATACCAATCCATATTCTTCACTTTTAACAACAAATTCACTTTCTACTCAATAATTTTTTCACTTTCAACTCTAAATTTTTTTCACTTTCAAGTTTAATTATTCACTTTCTACTCAATAATTTTTCACTTTCAACTCTAAATTTTTTTCACTTTCAAGTTTAATTATTCACTTTCTACTCAATAATTTTTCACTTTCAACTCTAAATTTTTTTCACTTTCAAGTTTAATTATTCACTTTCTACTCAATAATTTTTCACTTTCAACTCTAAATTTTTTCACTTTCAAGTTTAATTATTCACTTTATACTCAATAATTTTTTCACTTTCAACTCTAAATTTTTTTCACTTTCAAGTTTAATTTTTCTCTATCAAAGAAACTATTAAATAAAATTCCTTTTTATTCAAAACATTCCATACATAAAAAAACTAACCACAACCAAAGCATTAAATATATAAAAACAAACAATTTATATGAAAATTTTATCTGAATATTTTCTCTGAATATTTTATTTGAAATTTAGATTAAATTTATATCGGGTTTGAAAAAAAAATTTATCTGAAATTTGAAACCAGAAATCTTATATGAAAATCTTATCCGAATATTTTATCAAAAAATCTCATCCGAAAATATTGTCCAAATTAATTGTTTAGGTAAACAAATTTGTGAAAAAAACAAAAAAATTGAATAGTACCCCCCATTGCCATGACAACTGCTGGAAGTGCAATTTACTTTTTGCAAGGGCATACACTATTCCCGTGAATAGTGTCAGCCCTAGCCCCCCCTTGCCATGGCAAGATTCCAACTGCTGGAAGTGCTCTTATATGAACGGACAAATCTTTTACCACTTCGTTATTTAAACATAGTAGCACACCCATGTAAAACATTTGTGAAGAAGAAAAATGAAAATAGACAAATTGATTATTGAAGTTGCTGTTCCGATTTCTCCATCAATCTGTTCAAACATTCTTTCCAATCTGAAACCTTCTCACCTCCATTGACCACCTATTATCAAACAATGCCATGAAGATTCATTACTCTCTTATCAAGAAGGGAAAAAAGACAGATCAAAATAAATCAACAAGGGATCACAAATTTACAATATTACATCTTTTTTCCACTGCAAAATGTCTCCATTTTTTTTATACCTCAAATATGAAGCCTTTCTGGGGGACTGCATCAACTGCTTCCACACAAATAAAGGTAGCATCCTCCTTGCTAAGAGTTCCTTTTGCTGAACTACCCTATAAACAACAACAGCAAAATGAGACATGAATTTTTTCCCAAATGATATGAACAGATCAAGCATACTTTCGACATGAGTTTTTTCTTTTTTGGTTTTTACTCCCAAAACTAAACCAGAAAGGTTCTATGGCTCCTTGATGAAAAAGCAAAACAATTTGGCATTGAATAGTACCTGTTCAAAGCTAAAACCTTGAGTTCCACCAGAAGAATTTTGCAACAAGCCAGCCCGGATCACGGTGTAAGGGATTCCTGAGGCCACCAGTATTGATTCATCTTGCTCAGCCAATTTTCTTGCATTGCTTTTCAGGAGAGCTTGAATGCCATTGGCACCTTTGTAAACAGACAACTGCAACCTTATTATTAAGTCACAATAACAAACATTTCCTTTTTCCAGTGCTAATGTTTCTCCACACAAACACAGAGAGAGAGAGAGAGAGAGAGAGAGAGAGAGAGGTACCTGAGATAAGAGAATTACATGTTTGACGCCTTTCAAGCTCCCAACAGTAGATAAGAAGCCTTCCTGACAAAAGAGAAAACATTTAAAAGACATCTTCAATGTTTGAGTTTCTAAAGAGGCATCATGTCGAAAACATGAAGGCACCAATCTTTGCTCTGGTGGATTAGAGTTCACGTCACATGTTCAAACATAAATTTCTCAGGTGCAATTTCCCATTTTTTCAGTCCATTGCACCAGATGTAGGTTACTTTTACGTGAAATGCTGATTTCACTGTAACTATTGTGGAAGGTCTACAATCTCTTCTAGCAGATATAAGGTGCTGAACAGATTTCGATTTCAGTATAAGTTTGATTTTGTTCAGTTCATTTTCAAGATGGTTTATAACGCTACTGAGAAGCTCAAATTTCACGAAAACCAGCAAGTGGGAGGTCTAGATGTTATTTATGCATACATTTGGGCATATTACTGTGCAAACTCCTCTTAGAGCTCTCCTTAGAAATGGCTTGTCCCTTGAATCTCCAGCCATTGACTTTGCATACAAAACCACAACAAAATCACAACCATGCAGTCAATATTTCAAGCACAAAAATGAAAAGAAGTATGAGAACAGCAAATGCTAGTACAGGAACTAATTACCACCCACCTCAACATAAGTCCCAAATGCTTCAAGTGCAGCCCGCTTATCCTTCACCAGTGCTTTTATTCGAGCTCTTTTGACAATCAATGACAATATTACCATCTACATAGGCTAGATAGCACAAGGCTCAGAATCCATATACCAGAAAGCCAATCAAGAGCAATATAAACAGTACATAATCGCAAGAAGCAGCTTGATTAAATATTAAGGACCATGTTAAGAAATGTTATCAGAGTGCGTAATAGCTCACTGATCGAGCGCTCTTGCACCGAAGATGAATTGTTCTGTGGAACTGGCATCTTTTCCTCAGATATATTTGCAAGCAACAATGTCACTTAAAGTGATCTTTGTGTTGTGACAGTTTGAATTTCATCTACCACATCAATTCTTTTCTCAAAATTTAGGTAGATTCAATCAAGTTTTCAATTGCTACATGGGAGATTAATCACAGGTAATATACATCAGAAAAAATGAAAAATGCTGGAAAAGCACCTGACCCATCTCATTATCTCCATCAGTTACCAAAACAGCATCCCTAGTTTCTTCTCCTTCTGCACAAGGACATATCACAACCCTTTTATAAAAAAAATGCCCAATAAAGCATGGCCATAAACATGCATAAAATTGCTATATATGCCATCACATCACCTGGGAATTCATCATCTTCTTCAACATTTGTTCCATCTTTAGGCAGAAGCTCAGGTGCCCCATACCATTTCCTTAACTTGGGACCCCCTTCACATAAATTGAACACTGATCACTTAGACACAATGCAAACAAAGCAGCCAACTAATAAAGAATTGGGTCCAAAAGAAGAAGAAAAACCCAGTATGTTAGAACAAGATAGAGATGAAAATAAAGATTATTACCTTCAATATAATCAAGAATTTGGTCTGTGAAGCTAACTTTCTTCTTGGCCTTGCATTGAACAAGAGGACTCTTTCGGGTGCTTAAGATGAAACAGCTAGAATACGATGGCTTCTGATAAGGCAAGTTGAGTGAAGCCAGTAGAGAGAGAGTTGATGAAGAAGGAAGTACACCCGCCATTGGTTGTCCGTACGTTGTTATGTTTCTCTCATCCAACCGTTTTTTTCTGTTGCCACTAATGCTATAGCCTGTAGAAGATAAGATTAAATGCTTCCATACACAACAAACCCCCTTTTTGTATGGGAAAATTAGCCCAATGCCACTTTAACCATAGACCTCGTTGCAATTTGCCACTTCGTTGCATTAATTTGTCACACCAATTAAAATTTTGTTACAGTGTGTCATTTATATTCTAATTTCATCTACTTTTCGTTAAAAAATCTACGCGTAATTCACACGTGACCATTTGGAAGAATAGTTTGATGCTCGAAATCTTATACACTCCTTTTGAAGGATCATGCAAAGCAAATACAATTTTTTGGACAAAAACATAGACAAAGTCAAGTCGTAAATGGAACATTGCACTTTGCAACGAACTTCAACCGAGATGGCCCATTGCTTCAATTTTATTTTTTCAGGTGGCACATTGCAATTAACCTAAAATTTAGTGACAACGACATGTCGTTTTAACACCCTCTCCCGTCCTATATCTTTCAACTTTCTAATCTAGGGTTTCCCAAACCAAATACCAAAAATAGAAAAAACCTGCAGAGCCCTTTGAACTCCAATCCAAGCGGCGCCCACCATGGCTACGCAAATGAGCAAAAAGCGAAAGGTCTTACCACCGACCAAACACGCCCTAATGTAAATTTCCGACGTTTTCAACTTGTTTGACAGAATATATCTTGGCAATTAATTCATTTTGTATATTATTACAGTTTGTAGCCGACGGAGTGTTCTTTGCGGAGCTGAACGAGGTGTTGACCAGAGAACTCGCAGAAGATGGGTACTCTGGCGTTGAAGTTAGGGTTACGCCAGTGCGGACCGAGATCATTATTAGAGCCACCCGGACTCAAAACGTCCTCGGTAACTTCTTAGACCCTGTTTGGTTGATGGGTAGTATTTGGGATTGTATTTTAGGTTGATTTATTTGTTTTGAGCTTACATTGTGGATTTACAGCACATAATTAGCTTAAAGTTAGTAACTTTGATTTTGATTCTAGTGTTTGTCTCTGTTCAATGCTTGGTTCAGTTGAAGATGTGACTTTGAGAAAACATTGAAATTAAATCATTGTCCCTTACAAGTTTGTTTGTTAATTACGTGGTTCAGAAAGAAAGATGTTTACTTTAATAACATAATAGATTCAGTTTATACATGGAAATTGACATTCTTAAATTTTCAGAGAAATTTGGAGAAAAGGGATACTTGCTTAGCTTGTAACTTGAGATGAATTTTGTAACTTGTGTTGTTAAATTCACGTTGCCTGATTACACTTTTTTATTGATGGGTTTAGGTGAGAAGGGAAGAAGAATTAGAGAACTGACATCTGTTGTTCAGAAGCGTTTTAAGTTTCCGGAGAACAGTGTTGAGCTTTATGCAGAGAAAGTCAACAACCGAGGGCTTTGTGCCATTGCTCAAGCAGAGTCTTTGCGTTACAAACTTCTAGGAGGGCTTGCTGTTCGGAGGTATGCTGAAAACTGACTAGATCTCTTTTCTTTTTGATTGTGAGTTAAGAGGATCTCAATGGATCATTCTCTTTGATTCAATATTTGGTTCTTGGAGTTTGGAGTTGTGGTCTCCAACATTTCATTTTATGTTATGCATTGTCCTAACACTTTCTAAAGAGAATGATCCAACTGTTTTGATAGCACTTACTTAGTAATGAAAGTTGTTTTCTTTACAATGATGTATGACTAATGGTCTTGTGATGCTTTGTATAGGTTAGTCTTTGTTAAAGGAAATGCAATAGTTGTCCAATCCTGTTTCTAGTAAATATCAATAGCATTCGGTTTTATCTCCCTTTACTCACAATAATGGTTAACGGGATCCTCAAGAATGCTTAAATTGCATTGGAGTTTTGTTAGTCTGTTTGAACTATTAATAGTTCTTGGAGTTCGGGAACTCCTACATTTCATAACATCCCTGTGTTATCCAAATATAGCAAACTAGTCACTGAACGTCAGTGTGATTGAGGGAATAAAATTAAGTAAAAAGATTTGACTAATTAAATTTCAATCACATGATTGAGTGTGACATTGTGCTGGTCCTTTTGTGATGATAGGGTTTGCGGTCTCCAGATCTCATTATGTCTTATGCCTACACACACATACACACACCAACTAACACTCATGCACACCTGCACACACGTACATTCAAATACACACGCACGCATAAACCAGTTTTATCAGCAATAGCATTCAGTAATAACTTATATCTCCTTTACTCACAATAATGGGTTAAGAGGATCCTCAAGAATGCTTACATTGATTGTTGGAGTTTTGTTAGTCTGTTTGAACTGTTAATAGTTCTTGGAGTTCGGGAACTCCTACATTTCAGAGAGGCGGGTCAGTGGCCCACTACTAGCAACACCGATATTGTCCCCAACTTAACCACCTACAAAGATCAGTAGGTGTGAGGTTTTTTCACAAAAGACCTTGGTTATATTAGTACTGGAACCATTCATTATATATTGTATTTTATTTAGTCAAGTTTCCGATGTGGGACTTATATTCTTCAACAAATAGTTCTTGGAGTTCGGGAACTCCTACATTTCAAAACATTCATGTGTTATCCAAATATAGCAATCTAGTCACTGAATGTTAGTGTGATTGAGGAATGAAATTAAGTAAAAAGATTTGACTAATTAAATTTTATTCATGATTGAGTGTGACATTGTACTGGTCCTTTTGGGATGATAGGGTTAGTGGTCTCCAGCATCTCATTATATCTTAAGTGCGTACACTCTTGTGCACCTGCATACACACCCAAATGCACTCTCACTCATAAATCAGTTTTATCAGCAATAGCATTCAGTAATGATTTATAAATCCCTTTACTCACAATAATGGGTTAAGAGGATCCTCAAGAATGCTTACATTCATTGCTGGAGTTTTGTTAGTCTGTTTGAACTGTTAATAGTTCTTGGAGTTCGGGAACTCCTACATTTCAGAACATTTCCGTGTTATCTAAACCTAATATGCTAATCGGTGAATGTCAGTGTGACTGAAGAAATTAAATGAAGTAAAACCATTTTACGATAAGTACATCCACGTAACCTAGATACTTTCTATCTAAAGAAGATGATCCCACTATTTCGTTAGCTCTTAGTAATGGAAGTTTATTGTCTTTGCAATGCTGTATGATTGTTGATTTGGAGATTCTTCATGTAGGTTAATCTTTGACAAAGGAAATGCATTTCATGTCTATTATATATCAATTTTGCATGTAGGTTAATCTCACCCATAAATCAGTTTTATCAGCAATAGCATTCAGTAATAACTTATAAATCCCTTTACCCACAATAATGGGTTAAGAGGATTCACAAGAATGCTTACATTGATGGCTGGAGTTTTGTTAGTCTGTTTGAACTGTTAATAGTTCTTGGAGTTCGGGAACTCCTACATTTCAGAACATTTCTGTGTTATCTAAACCTAATATACTAGTCGGTGAATGTCGGTGTGATTGAGGAAATTAGATGAAGTAAAAATATTTTACGATAAGTACATCCACGTTACCTAGATATTCTCTATCTAAAGAAGATGATCCCACTATTTTGATAGCACTTAGTAATGGAAGTTTATTGTGTTTGCAATGCTGTATGATTGTTGATTTGGAGATTCTTCATGTAGGTTAATCTTTGACAAAGGAAATGCATTACATGTCTAATATATATCAATTTTATTAGCAATAGCATTCGGTTTTATCTCCCTTTACTCACCATAATGGGTTAAGAGGACCCTCAAGAATGCTTACATCACATGTTTGGAGTTTTGTTAGTCTGTTTGAACTGTTGATGGTTCTTGGAGTTCGGGAACTCCCACATTTCTTTGAAAGACTCCTTTATTGTGTAACCATTATGCTTTAGTATTACATTGGGCTTTTTGGTTTGTTGACTTTTATTAATCATCCCTTTTACCTCCTTTTGTTAGGGCATGCTATGGTGTTCTTAGATTTGTCATGGAGAGTGGAGCAAAGGGATGTGAGGTACGAACAAAAGCTGTTCTTTTCACTTGACCTTATAAGTTCGTGCCAACATTGTAAAATGAATTTCTACTTTACAACATGCAGGTCATTGTCAGTGGCAAACTCAGGGCTCAGCGTGCTAAGTCTATGAAGTTCAAGGACGGATACATGATATCCTCTGGCCAGCCTGTTAATGAATACATTGACTCTGCTGTGCGTCATGTGCTTCTTAGACAGGTTAGCTCATTGGTTGGGTTTTTTTGTAGGCAGTGTGCCTGAGTGTTGTACTCATATGTGATCTACATTTCTTAAACCTTTATGATTTTTCAGGGTGTTCTTGGGATTAAGGTCAAAATCATGCTCGATTGGGACCCCAAGGGTAAGCAAGGCCCCACAACACCCCTACCGGATCTGGTCACCATCCACCAACCCAAAGAGGAAGGGGACTACATCAGGCCCCCAGTTGTGGCAGCAGCTGAAATACCAGTCCTTGCTGCATAGAATTCTTTGTTAGGGACAAGAGTCCAAAACATTATCAGATACCTCTTAGACTTAGTACCCCTACTAGAATATGGGATTTTGTCTTTCTGTGTTGCTATCTGTTTAAGTGGATAGGATTTTCATTTTCACAAAAAGGAATTGAAAGGCAAAATAAATTTATTTGCTTTTCGTTCCTCATGCTATCCCGTTGATATGAACTTGTCCTCCTGAATTGGGGTTTTGGAATCTTCATCTTTTGGGACTCAACTCAAGTAGGCAAAATGCTTTGGATTATAAACATATCATTTCCCATTCGTGTAGAAATTCTATGGTGAGGTGCTGGTTAGTTTGATCCGAAGGTTAAGAGAAGGGCTTTAGATGATGCCCACAACGACTCCTCACTCTACTGAATGACATTTGGGCTGCTTCTTCTCTCTGTGCCCTTTTTGCTTCTTTTTGGGCTTCTATTGTTGCACTTTTCAGGCCCAAAGAAAGGGCGTGAATTTTAACAAACAAAAGTTTAAGTTGAATAACTCTGACCAAGGTTTTGTCTAATGATCTATTTATAGGAATATGTTCGAATATGATACCGGTTGACAAAGGTCCTCTGTCAAATAAGAAGATAAGTGATGGATAAAATTGGAATTTTATTATTTTTGACGAGGCAATAATTCCATTTGATTCCCTTTTATCAACCAAACCATCACAAGGTTCAAGTAGGGGTGGTGGTTCGTTGACCTTTATTCTGACTTATTTAATTTTTATTCCTACTTTATGAATATTTCTATATATAAACTTGAAATAATAAAAAAAAAAAAAAAAAAAAAAATTTATAGAATAATAATATCTCACTTACACAAACTCCTAATGATTTCCTTTAACACAACCTATCATATAATACATATTGATAAAATACAAAACTGGATTTTTTTTTCTTCATATAATACTAGTTAAACATGTTTATCATGTTATTAAGTGTGACACTAATCATATACATCTATTATTATGTTTAGTGGGTCGTGTAATATTCGTGTCACTAATTTTGTGTTATTTTAGAGTTGTGTTGTTGTATTGGTTCAAAAGTTTCAAGTGCTAGTCAGTTCATTTAAAAAAGAATTAAAAAACAAAAAAGAAAAATTCAGCAGCTACAAAATAATGAAAAAAAGGGAAAATATAATTTCGTGTCACCCTAGAGTCGTGTTGTTGTACTTGTATTGGGTCAAAAGTTGCTAGTGCTAGCCAATTCATTTAAAGATGGACAAAAAGAGCAAAAAAGAAAACTTCAGCAGCTAAAAAGAAAAGAAAAGAAAATAGGAAAAATAGAAAAAGAGAAGGCGAAGCTAAACCGGACCCCAAGTCGCATTTGTGAACCGTATTGGAAGGAGAGTTGGAGTCCGGAACTGTATGATAGTAAGCACAGCGTACTAAAAAAGCGAGCCAAAAACACAGAGGCGCACACACACGGGTGCAAGCAAGCAAGCAAGCAAGCAAGCAAACCAATCCGATTGTTTTCCCCTTCGTTTTATTTTTTTGTTTTTACAATTTTCAAGCTTCTCTCACAAGCTTTCTTCAGAAAACGACTCGTCTTCCCCACTCAGTCTCCGGCGCTTCGAATCGGTCGCTTTTCTTTGAATTTTCCACTAGCAAGCACGGAATCAACTTGCTCGCCACTCGCACACTCCTATGGTGAGCCCCATCTTACTTAATTTCATATTCAATTTGGCTTCCAATGTGAAATTTTTTACCAATTTCTAGTCTTTGGTACTTTTTGCATACGAATTCTAGCTTTCATTGTAGTTTCGTTTCATTTACTTTGCAATTTGTCCTGAAATGGTACTTTTCCCTTAAAAGAAATGTACTTTTATGTATCTAGGCTTGGAAATTTGCAGTGTTTGTAGCAATATAGTTTGGCATATAAATTTTCTTCCTTTTGCGGTTTGCTTTGGGAAATTTTAAGTTTTGAAGGGTAGCTCAGAATATTTGATTTGGAAATAATTTTGCATGTGTTTTTATTTCTAGTAGATGGGTTTAGGCGCATTTATATTTTTTGGTGGATAAAGTTTTATTTTATTTTATTTTGGAAACTATAAAAGTTAACTTTATTTATTTACTTTGTTTTGTTTTGTATTTCTTTTGGGGTTTCAGTTTGTGTATTTGAGTTGCATGTGGTGGATTTTCCATGGAAACAGTGGTTGGTGTTGAGGGGAGTGATGAAGGGAAGTTTGAGGAGAGTGGGGTTGAGAAAAGTAGCTCTTCTTTGTCTTCACCGAAGCAGATTGCCGATCCTGTTGTGTACAAGCTCGTTCGGGTATGTTTTCATTTAAACTAAAAGTTTAACTACTCCGTTGCTGGTAGTAGTTTTATGCGCATAAAATTGAAAGGTGAGCTGCTTCTTTTCGTTCTTTCTTGGAGGTATAAGTCTGGTGCTGCTCAAGATGCAGTAACTGTAGTTCATTTGTTATGAGTGATTCAACTTTTCAATTTGGAGAAACACGATTAGCTTAGTAATGTGTGTTAATTGTAACTTTATAGTCGATAAAAAGGACTGTCTACCAAGTGTTTTTAACAGTTATTTCATTCATAAATTACAGTTAGAACCCAGTTAAGCCATCAATGAATTAATCCAATCAGTTAGTGCTGTTGGAATCTGAGCCGGGAGAATCAGATTTAAGAAAATCATAATAGAAACATACCGAATCTAGAACATTGCATTTCTTCTCAGAAGCTTGATTTTGGGGATTTAGTTTATACCCCCTTGGGAGTTGAGGTATCTGTCGAGTCTTTAACTTTAAACTTCAGGTTTATACTTCAATTAAATGAGAACATTTCTCGTTTGGCGAGGTGAGGCTCTCTATAATGTGTTTAAGGAGTAAAAGGTTAAAATCACATTGCACTTACAAGTATGGACATCGTTAGATCAATGTTGATATTGTCGTTGCCATTTGTTATGTTATCCTTCAATGATGTTTTATCTGATGCCAGGTTGAAGGTGATGGGAGATTAGTGCCGGCAACAGATGATGAAGTAATGGAGGTTGAGGAATTTCTTGTGGATGAGAAGATTGAAATACCTGTTGTTACGGACGCTGGAAATGTTGAGTGCATTTCCAATGAAGAGTCTTCCTCTGGGAAGTCTCATAAAGAAAGCTCAGAAGGTCTATTTGAGTTATTGTTGTAACTAATTATTTCACTTCATCTTTATCATTATAGTCATTTTGAGTATAACTTTAAGAGCATGCAATGGGAATTTAGAAGCTTCAGCTAGAATTTATGTTTCTAATTGAGCAGAGGACATTCTAGGTCTGATTTTTATCTATTCAGATTTTTAGATTGAGTCATAGATGGTATCCCAAATCTGTATTGGATTTATATTGAGAAATCTTATTCCAATTTGTTTTTTCCTTAATGGGTTTGGGGGTTGATTTGCATTCATGGCTAAAGTGACCAATTTATTTGGTACTTTTTAGTTATATTCATTTTCTGTTTTGTATACCTATTATTTCCCTTACTTTAGTGAAGTATTGATGTGATGATATATGGTTTTTTTTGAGAAACTAGATGCCATGGAACTTGGTTTATTAAATCATTTCAACGCATTCTGTTTTATATTTTATGGTGTTGGTTCTGTCATAGTTTTCATGTTGAGGTTTGCTACCCAACCTTTGTGGTTGGGGGTCCCTACTAACCCGAGGGTAGGGGGTGTGTTCTGTCATAGTTTTCATGTCTGACTGAGAATCACATTTCCAGGTCTGTCACATTCAGAGAACACAGAACCTGATGCAAAATTAAGTGCACGGCTTGAGGTATTCTTTCGATATAATTTCTTCTTCTGTTCTAGAATCAGATGGATAAAAAAAAACGTTTAGAGTTGCACGTTATAGCGTATTTCGTTTGTACAATCTGATGTTTACATCGAATTAACAAATTTATTCAAGTGCTTGGACATGCTACGTCTGCCCTTGTACAACAGCTGTATTTTCTAAATGCTGTATATTTTAATCTTCTAGAAAAGAATTTGAAATTTATTTTTCTGTATTACGTACTGTGGCATATTTCTTCTTCAACTAGTTTGATTGCTTACTTCTTTTAACTTATTGATAGTTTATTTCGATTTGTTATTTTCTTGTGCATCTGCATATGCATAATTTAAGCATATCTAGTTATTAATCGTCTTGGATCCTTCTCGACCGCTAAAATCTCTTGTAGTACATCGAGGAGATGTTGCAAAAGGTCAAACAGGAAGAGAAGCTCCGCTTAGCATGTGGATCTCCTGATCATTCTTCTGCTTTTATGAATGTAGACAGCCAATGTTCTGATCAGCATGATAAATTGCCTGCTATTGATAAGAAGCTGCAATCTGAAATTCCTTTGCAGGAAATTGTTCCTTCTTCAGACTTGAGTTTAGATGACAGCCATATTAATGAATCTGCGAGAATTGGGGAGTGCTCAAAACCTCCAGATGGACCAATCGAAAGTGGATCACCAGCTTCTGTCATCTGCAATAGTTCGAAGCCTGATTTTTATACATTAAAGGGGGAGATATGCTTGGACAACCTATCAATTAGGGAACTTCATGGATTATTTCGAGCAACTTTTGGGCGGGAAACTACTGTTAAGGACAAGTTGTGGCTTAAGAGGAGGATCGCAATGGGGTTGACTAATTCCTGTGATGTTTCAACCACAACTTTCACTATTATAGATAACAAATTAGTGAACAAGGGTACAGATAATAGCTTTCAGAATGCAGATGGTATGCTCACTGAAGGGTCTGATGGTGAAGCGAAGAATCTTGGGTATGAAACTTCACCAACTAGCCACAGTAGCCAAATGGAAAATCATCAAATTGTGTTGGGCAAGAGATTGGGAAACCTTAGTGTAGAACTTGATTGTGGAAGTGATGATCTTCAAATGGAACATAGAGGTGCCAAAAGAGTTAGAAAACCCACTAAGAGATATATTGAAGAACTTTCTGAAGTTGAATCAAGAGATTATACCCCAAAAGTGATTGGTTCAGCAAAAAATACAGGACAAGGACAAACATCTCCAAAATATTGTATACGACCTCCTGGAAATGCCCCTTTAAATGAGAGAACTATTGTCACCAGGTTGGACTCTCTCGGTGGATCTGGCGTTCAGGTCCCTTTTGTTTCTCGAGTTCGAAGAAGCCGTCCAAGAAAAATATTATGGCTCTTATGGTAGGTAAAATGGGGCAATGAGTCATGTTATTCTTTATGTTTGGCTTTTTTTTCCCCTCAAGCATGGGAGTTTCTTATCTAAAAGATCTATGTTGTCATTTTTCCCTTTTCTTCTAGCCGGAAGCAGAACCAGTAGTTTCATGATTCATCTGTTTAATTTAATCAAGAATATATTATAGCACTACAAAACTTCTGAATGACACAATAACTGAAGTGATTTTGGATTTCGATTGGTAGAAATTCGATTCAAGTGGAATGGGTGTGGCAGCTAAACTGGTACAAGAGGCCCTTAGTGTGCGTAGTTCTCCACCAGAGAGTGAGCATGCGGATAAAGTCTTGAAAGTGAGATCTGCTTCTGAACAGATTCAACCACTGGTAAGATAAATTTTGCTCAATTGGATTCAATTTTTCGTACCTGGCAATTGACATTGGGTTTGGGCATATTTGGCTGAATTTGATAATGTGACAACAATGCCTATGTAGCTGCTGATAGTCTCTGCCTTGTTTCTTTGTAATTTTTCTCCTTAAATTAGTTGTAGACTGGTATTCTGTCTTCTTAAGGACTAAAGTTTATGATGAAAAGAGTGTTTATTTTGGTTGTTTTGCTTCTCTGCATTTATGTTTGTTAGATTAATAGGCTAGACTCTGGTCAACCATCTCTTGTGTTTAAGAAGGCAAGATATGGCATTAATGTTCTGTTTAAGTATCCATGGATGGTTATACAAACCAATTCAGTCATGCAAAATGCCTTAAGATTATAGTCTTCCATGAGTAAGGAATCATCTTTATTTTTCTATATGTTTGGATCAGTTAAGACTTTTTTTGGCGGTGGATTTGAGATGTGGCTATCAAAAGGCTGTGCCCTGGCTATCAATACTACAGAACTGTTAAACATATATGACTGCTTTGTTGATATCATGGTTTGCATTTGTTCTCAGTGCTATATGTCATATCTGTAAATTGATTGGATTCTAATTCTTTTGTTATGGTAATTTATTTCCTATGTAGTTTGCTGCTGAACCAGAGAAAGACAAGCGTCGCTCGGTAATGAGTACAATTGAACTGGGGAAGAACTTGGGCTTGAAACAGACGGATTCATCCGAGGACAATTCAGATGATGGTATTGCAACGGTTCCCACAGCAAAAGGTGGAATGAGAAGGAAACACCATCGAGCTTGGACTCTTGTTGAGGTTATAAAATTAGTTGAGGGTGTCTCTAAGTGTGGCACTGGGAGGTGGTCTGAAATCAAAAGGCTTTCTTTTGCATCATATTCTTATCGCACTTCTGTTGATCTCAAGGTATATTTTGCTTCACATTTTGTATTGTCAAAATACCACGTTCATGTAGCATCCAAATATGCTGAACAAAAAGGTATTGAAATGCTTTAGACTGAGAAAACACACATTGTTTTGTAGGACAAATGGAGGAACCTGTTGAAAGCTAGCTTTGCCCAAACACCTCCTGATGATGGAGTGAGTATAAATGACATTTCCCTTCCCTCTCTTTTATGGTTTAGTGAGATGGAAGTGTACAACTTTTTATGGGTTTGAATGCAAGCTTGCTTTGAACTCTTTGGTCAGCCTTTAACTACTAATTCTGTGGATTCAAATGTATCTCCCAGAAGTGGCAATATTCTGCAAATAAAATTTCCAAACTTTGATCATATCTTTATAATTTTCTACAATTTTGACTGGCAGTAAATTCTGCACTTATATTGAATTTGTCTATGCCTAGTGCAATTTCTGCTACCCTATATCATTGATGTTTTTTATTATAATTTCTTGTTAATTTCTGGGTTAACTTGGTTTTCTCGGTTTCTCTGTTGGCAATTATGCAGATAAACTCTCGGAAACATGCTTCAGTGCCCATACCGGCCGCAATTTTGTTAAAAGTGAGAGAGCTTGCTGAGATGCACGCTCAGGTACCGCCAAATCTAGGGCCGGGCAAGCTGCCCAGCGTTAGTCGAAGCGTGCATCAAACGAGATCAGGCTACTTGTAACATTGTATATAAAAAAAAATGTTAGTTGTGCGAATCCCAAATAATGGTACTGAACTGTAACGAGTTTGATCTGCTCACACCATTCACTTGTTAACATAGTTGATGATGTGCTGCAGATGGATATTGCGGGATGTAGGCTTTAACAAGTGTTTCATACATTTCCTCTCGACTCTGACATTTTCTTTTCAACTTATCATCATTGTAGGTTTTATGGCCATATTAAATTATAATGCAATGAAAGGTCTTAGAATCAAGTCTCAAGATGACCAAAAAGAACATGACCCTTGTGCCGATTGCGATTCCGTTACAACACTTTTTCTTTTCTGAATGTTTTGGATTTTCTAAGATTTAACCTGATGTGGAAGTACAGATGGTTATTTTTCATATTTATATTTGATAAAAGTCGTGGTTGGTAAAGGGAGGGGATGCTCTAGAAATGAAACATAATTTCACAGAAGCGTCGTGTAACATGGATGGGGGGGTGTATAATGAAATATTACGAAGGCCTCGTTGTAATTAGATGTGCTCTTTTGTTTTTCAGCTTAGGGGTTGAATTCTGTACATTTGATATTTGTAAATTTGTCACAACTTTAACCCAACAAGGGCATTTTAGTAATCAAACTAGAGTTGATTTATAAGAATTTAGTAAACAACTTAAAGCATCAATATCATTTCTACTCTTATTCCAACAATCCAATTCCTCGTCAGTTCAATTCCTCTTATTTGGATATAGTAAATATTTCATTAAATTATAATTAATTTAGAATTAATTTATTAATTGAAAATTAAAATAGAAACTCTAAGAAAAAAAAAAAAGAGGCCCAAGTGCATATTACAAATCCACGATACCTTTCAAAGAAAGAACTGTCGCTGTTTGGAAAGTAGGCCCTTAATTTTAAGCCCAGACTTCCTCTCTTCTTCTTCTCAGCCCTAACTCTATCACTCCCCTCTCTCTCTCTCTCTCTCTACCAGCTCCAGAGACATCGTCGCCAACTGAGTCACGGTGAGTCATCCACCGAAGCAATTCACCATTCTACTTCATCCAATTCGTAGAATTAGCATTACTTCAATCAAGAATTCAACCTTCCTTACAATAATTCAACTTTCCCTCTCTCCACTGTAATTCACTCTCCTTTTGGTTTCCGAGGCATCGCAGTTCAATTGACGATTTCTCAGCAACGAAGAAGAGCTTTCATTATCTTTCAAAATAGTAATTAGCTTCTTTTTCTCTGCAATTTATTTTTCTTCTTGTTGCTTTTTAGTGGTAGCAGCTGAAAAAATACAGCAACAATGGGGATCATAGAAAGGATCAAAGAAATTGAGGCCGAAATGGCGCGGACTCAGAAAAACAAAGCCACAGGTTCTTTCCCTGTTTAAAACTTGTATTTTTATTTTTGTGGTTGAATCTGTTAAGGTCTTTTAAGAATTTGGTTATATCTTAATTTTTTATTGCAATGCTGAAAAATGCAGAGTATCATCTTGGCCAGCTCAAGGCAAAGATTGCCAAGCTAAGGACTCAGCTCCTGGAGCCTCCAAAGGTATGCAACTCATCCATCTGCATACATATACATATGAACGTAATTTGATGCGAATGTAGAATTTTCCTGTGTTAGTGTTAGGAGTTTTTATGGTCATGAGCTTCTTGTTAGATGCTTACGTTAATTCAATTCGTGTAAAGCAACTTCTTCATTTGTTTAAGGTTTACTTCTTCCTTTTTTATGATCTAAAACCGCAATTCAGGGGTCTAGTGGAGGTGGAGATGGTTTTGAAGTTACAAAATTTGGCCACGGACGTGTTGCGCTCATTGGGTTTCCAAGGTTTGCCATATTTATATGACTTCAAATTGTATTGTGAAATGTTGTAACTTCAAAAACAATAAGAAATGACCGATCCTTACAAGTGTTTCCTGTTGTTTGTAGTGTGGGGAAGTCAACACTTTTGACAATGTTGACGGGCACACACTCCGAAGCTGCATCTTATGAGTTCACAACACTTACCTGCATTCCTGGAATTATCCATTACAATGATACAAAAATTCAGCTGCTTGATCTTCCTGGAATTATTGAAGGTGCTTCTGAAGGCAAAGGTCGTGGGAGGCAGGTGAAATCCTTAAGCTTCTTCTCATGTGATATGATAACATGCCATCATTCTTTTATCTTACCAATAAAATATTATAAGAAATTTAGAAAATGATACTTAATAAATGCCTCATTATAGAGAAGAGATAACTTGTAAATTGTCCCTTGGCAAATCAATGTAAAAAGCTCAGTATTTCCAGGTATCATGGAAATGGCTAGAATTTGACAAGACTGTCTCTTGCAGGTTATTGCTGTTGCCAAGTCTTCAGATATTGTGTTGATGGTCCTTGATGCCTCAAAAGTAAGTGCCTATTCTGTAGTAACATGCATTTGTAACTATTTTGCTATTTTAGTAGCTGATAAATAAGTTTACTACTCGTCTGCTTACAGACCTTCATTATTTTCATTGTTGGCAACCTGCTCGACCTTTTGGTTCCTGACCTGTTGATTTGATACTTTATGTTGGCTTCCCTTTTTTTGTGTATGGTTTCTGGCAATTACTTTAGTCTAACCCTCACATTGTTCTATATATTGTTTTATTTTATTTTAATATTTCAGAGTGAGGGTCATCGGCAAATATTGACGAAGGAGCTGGAAGCTGTTGGTTTACGTTTAAACAAGAGACCGCCTCAAGTAAGTTTTATCTTCAAAATATTGACTTTATAATTTCCAGAACTGACTGAATTGGGTCTTAGTTTCCGTCAATTGTTTAGCTGTTTCCCTATGTTATTTTTTATGTTTACTTTGCTAGGCTTCTAGGGACTTTAGCTGAATTTTTTTATTTTGTTTCCTGGGCAGATATACTTCAAAAAGAAAAAGACCGGGGGAATTTCTTTCAACAGCACTCTTACTTTGACTCATGTGGACGAGAAGCTTTGTTATCAAATTCTACACGAATACAAAATTCACAATGCTGAGGTACTTTACTTTGGATTAGTCAAGATTGTCCTTTGTCACAGCTAATGGTGATTCTTTTATTGGACTTACACACTAGTGGTACCCAATTTTCTTTAAGTCCATGATGTACACTCTTGGATATGGTTGATACTTTCTTTGCCTTAGCCATCCCATGGGAAAGAATGCTCATGTATGATAAATGTTATGCAGTCGCTCTTTCTTTGCCTTAGCCATCTCATGGGAAAGAATGCTCATGTATGATAAATGTTATGCAGTTGCTCTTTCGTGAGGATGCCACAGTGGATGATCTTATTGATGTCATTGAGGGAAACCGGAAATACATGAAGTGTGTATATGTTTACAACAAAATAGATGTTATTGGTATTGATGACGTGGACAAATTAGCCCGCCAACCTAATTCTGTTGTCATTAGCTGCAATCTCAAGGCAAGTTCTACACTTTTTATTTTGACTAAATTTGAATGAGATACAGAGGCGTGCAACTGTGCTATGAATAAAAAAACCTTGAGCAATCTGTCGCAGTTGCACAACTTTTGTTCAGAACTCAAAAGGCATTGTCTACTATGGTTCTTTCCATGAAATATATGTTTTTTTGTTGGATCCTAATGTGCAACACATGTAAAAATTACATTACCATTTATCAACAAGTTAGCGATGAAATGAATTTCCCATATGAAATGGTTTCAGGAACATTAACTTTGATTCTTCATGTTGCTCAACAGCTGAACTTTGACAGACTGCTTGCAAAGATGTGGGAGGAGATGGGACTTGTTAGAGTTTATACAAAGCCACAGGGCCAGCAACCTGATTTCGGTGACCCTGTAGTTCTTTCTGCTGTAAGTTGCAATCTTTTTTTTTCTTTTTTTTCTGTTACTTCCTTATGATCAGTTATTACTCCATTCTTATGAGCCTTCTGGCTTTGTTCGTTTTCTCTTATTCTCTTTGCATGTATGTGTAGGATAGAGGGGGCTGCTCCGTTGGAGACTTTTGTAACCACATACATAGGAGTTTGATGAAGGAAGTAAAATATGTGCTAGTGTGGGGTACAAGTGCAAGGCACTACCCACAGCATTGTGGCCTCGGTCATGTTTTGAATGATGAAGACGTGGTTCAGATTGTAAAGAAAAAGGTAAACCTCTCTTTATGTTGTTCATTAGAAGTAAACCTGTCATTCTGCTGTATCAATATACTTTCACCAGGGTTGTACAACTTCTCTCCTTTTTGCTTTTAGATACACCCTTTGATTTTCTGAATAGAGGAAATGAGTTCTGGGATCTTGTGATTATTTTAACTGCAGATGCTTGTTAGATTTCAGTTTTATTTATTTATTTATGTTCTCCTTGCAACAAGATGGGGAAAGAAATGTGTTTTCCATGAAAACCTAATTTTTTTTTTGGGATTTGCTTTCTCCAGGATAAGGAAGGGGAAGGGAGGGGTCGGTTCAAGTCACATTCAACAGCCCCCGCTCGTATATCTGACAGAGAGAAGAAGGCTCCCCTGAAGCAGTAATATCATTCACGGAGACCTGAGTTTCTTACATGAACTGGCACAGAAGAATGATCTGTGAATGAGTACATCCAGAGTCGAGATGCCTATGAAGTATGACATAATCATATCATTTGCTTCATTGAAAAATTAGTCTAAAATGAAGAATTGGTGTTAGAATGTCATGCTTATCAGAAAAGGTAGATTTTTTTGGTCCATGTGTTGTATCTTTAGGGTTTAATTTATAACTTCTTGGAATTTTGAAGATATACTGTACCATGATCTGTGTTTCTGGAGATGGTGATTAATATATTTCTGAAAGGCTCTCTTCAGCTTTATCTTGCTGTCGTGCAAAGGAAAAGTTCAGAGCCCATCTAGCTTTATAAATGTATTTCGAGGTAAAAGTTGGGTGCAGATTTTTGTAGAAAGAGAAATATTACCCATGAGAACATTAAGAATTTATTATTTATCCCAACTTTTCAATCCAGCTACACCCAGGAGATTTTATCATTCCTCTTTCACTCATCATCTTTCTCACCCTCTCAGCATCATCCCATTTATTTATTTCTGCATAAGTATTTGCTAAAAGCACATAATTTCCGGCATCATGCGGCTCTATTTTGAAGAGATGCATTGCTGCGATCTCACTCAATTTGGTATTACCATGTACCTTGCAAGCTCCTAACAAAGAGCCCCAGATCTTTGCATCAGCAGCTCCAATGTTGTATATTATAAGATTGTACGCCTTTTCAAGCTGCCCAGCCCTTCCAAGAAGGTCAACCATGCAAGCATAGTGCTCCTTAAGTGGCTCAATCCCGAAGACCCGAGTCATGAGCTCAAAATATTGGCACCCTTCCTCAATCAGTCCTACATGGCTACATGCATTGAGGAGACCGACGAATGTTACCTGGTTCGGTCTTATTCCTTCTTTTTGCATCTCTGAGAAGAGATTCATGGCAACCTCGGCCTTTCCATGGTCGGCAAGAGCGGCGATCAATGCGCTATAAGATATTACATCTCTGATACTCATTCTGTTAAATTCTCTCCATGCCTGTTCTATGTCCCCACATTTGGAATGCATATGGATCAATGCATTGGATACAAAGAGTGTCCTCTCTGAAAGTGTTTGATAAATGAGGAAACATCAGCAATACAAAAGGGAAGAACATGACATCGATAGAAAAGAAAGCATGCCATTATTTATAGAATTGATTCAATCAAAACTCACCACATCCTTCCTCCACGTGATTTGCTAATGTGGCTGCAACTTCATTATCCCCAAGTTGTGTACAAGCTGAAATAGCTCCAACCATTGCCACCTCATTGACTCTCACTTTTTCTTCCCTCATTTTCTTATACATCTCAATGGCTTCCTTTGCATAGCCATTCTGAGCATAACAAGCCACCATTGCTGCCCAACATGATGCATCTGCCATCTGTATCTCTTCGAAAACTATCTTGGCTTCCAAAACATTACCACACTTCCCATAACCTGCTATCATAGCCACCCATGCCACTGAATCTTTCTCCACCATTCTTTCGTACAATTCCTTTGCCGTTTCCATATCACCATTGTTTGCGTACCCAGCAACCATTGTAGTCCAAGAAACTGCATTGCGCTGCTCCATGTTATCAAACAACCACCGCGCCTCGCCCATCAATCCCATCTTTGAATACCCACAAACCATGGCCGTCCAAGCAACCAAGTCTTTATCATCCATCCTATCAAAGATGTCCCTTGCATCCAGTACAAGCCCGCATTTTGCATACATATGAAGAAGTGCAGTTTGCACTATTTTGTTTCCCAAGAAACCATACTGCACAACCCTTGCGTGGACTTGTTTCCCTTCAAAAAGTGCCGGAACACGAGCACATGCATTGAGAACTGAAGAGAAGGTGAACCCAGATGGCGATACGCCAACCCGGTGCATTTTAGCATATAAAGTGATGGATTGACCAAAATGATCATGAAGCACATGGGAATGTATGAGGGAGGTCCAAAGAAACTGGTTCCTACACTTGGGTATTTGGTCGAACAAGTAATGGGCATAACGAAGGTTGTCGCCAGGGAGTTGCAGGAGCCGCTTGAGCAACTGAACCAAGATATGGTAGCGGTGGTTGGGTTTAGTTGGGGATTTGAGTAGGAGAGTGTGGATTTGTTTAAGTTGGTTTAGGGTATTGCTAACGTACAGGTAATGGGTGATAAGATTATAAAAGGGTTGGTTTGTACCAAGTAGGGAGACCTTGAAGGAGAGAATGAACTTGTTAGTCATGAATTTTCACTCATGTCCTTCTACCAGAGGAGTTTGTGAGAATTAAGGCACTGGATTTTTTTGCTCTAGCTTATTTTGTCTGGACGTTTATTTACAAAGATTATGAATCGATGAATTCAGGAATATGAGATCAAATGAATGGTTCTGGGTCAACTACGCGTATAGCCGAGCGGCTATACTATTTTTAAAATAATAAAAACTGTAATATAGCCGGGCGGATATACTCTTCGCCTGGAGTCTACCGCCAGCATCGCCACGTGGCAAAAAAGGTCGTATAGCCGCCTGGCCATACCCGTGTTATGAAAAAAACGCCGAGTACGATTTATAAAAAAAAAATGTTTGACATTTTATAATACTAGATTGCCAGTTTAGCTTGCATGTATGTATACATGGACCTCTGTTCCAACTTGACAGTTCCCATAATATAACATGTGGGGAACATATTTTAAACATATGTTTCTAACTCAAGTGGTAGATGCCACCAAACAATTTACTACACAAAACAGAGTTATTCTTGAGTTTTGCAGTTCTTGTGGCGAAGCTAATGTTATGATGAGTTTCCATCCTTCAAGGATTTAATTCATGTACATCGATACACTTGTAGATGTCTTCTCGCTTTTGATCATCAAGTGGGAGACTCTTTCTGCATAATTCCATACAACATCTATCAGAAAAGATGAGCACAACATAATACATTAACTAAAAATTTCAATTCACCTTTGGAGCTGAATATTAGAGTAATCAATCTCCGCAATGACAGTAGTTTCCTCATGCCCTGAGGTAACAATTATCTCTCCAGACTGCCAATTCACAAAAAAAAAGATGGAACAATCGCTAAAGCTTTTGTTCATGCATATAGGAAACAATTGACCATTTTTAGAATTTATAGTACCGGTCCAACTAGTGTGGAATGGCCCCAAGTTGTATAAGAACCAGTAGAGTTTCGAGAGGGTGAGCAAGTTGCCACAAATAACTAAAAACATGGATGGTCATGTTAGAATAACTTTTGGGCTGTCAGAACAATAGAAAATTTATGGTGACAGAGTCGGTCTTTAAGCACCTGGTTATCGACGGCCCTGAAGAAAGAGAAGGATTTGTAATTAGTGCAGAGGAAGTATTGTAGTTGTAGGAAATAAGCTCAGAATATGTGGAATGCTGGCAGCAAGGACAGAAGGGAAGAGTGAGCTTTCCTTATGTTAGAAAAACACAATCAACTTCTAATTGTCTAAACTACTCTAATCTATGGGGGAGGGGATTGAACTGGGTGCAAGGAGACGGGCACACTGCCCTAGCCAACTGGCCTAACCCACATTTGCAACTTCGAAGTGTTTAGTTGTCCAGAAAGCATTGACAAGCAAAGATGCTAGAAGTATGTGAGTGATAAAGTCTGGCCTGAAGTAAGTCAAGCATTATGGAATGGCAGTAATAATCTGTTTCTATCAATATCTATGCAATGTCTTTGCATTTGTGAAATGCAACTGGATCATGTGCATCGTGTCATATAAGGCTGACAAAACCTTGAGGAAAAAGAATCAATCTTTTAGGGTTCATACACAGAATCCTGTCTACAAGGCATATAATCAATCTTACCTAGCTCTCTGTACCAGCTCCCACAACAATTCACCAGTGCTCATGTTGAATGCCCCAGGATAGCATATGATGTCAACCCCTTGCATTTACCACAACCATTTTGAAATTTGAAATATGGATTTAAGATGCTGAAAACCACAATTTAACCAAACCCAGTACCTCTTTTCCTGTATAATGCAGCAAGTTCAGGAAATCGTATATCATGACAAATTCCTATTCCGATTCGACCAACTTCTGCATATGTGCAAATTGCTAATCAGTTGCTTAACTCAGAGACATAGGAGATGTGAAAGTTTAACATCTTATGTTCCCTCAAAAAAAGTTTAGGACAACTTCAGATGCTTACCTGTGTCCACAATGGTAGGTTGATCCCCTGCAGTGAAGGTGTCAGATTCCTTGAATGAAATCTCTCCTGGAATGTCAATGTCAAACAGATGTATCTGCAAAGCAACACCATCATCAACCTTTCAAAGGTTCTATCTTACTTTATCCTCCTAATTTACAGCCAAACGATATCGAATTTGATGTGCTTACTTTCCTGTGCTTAGCTTTCAGCTTTCCATCTGGTCCAAATATGCAGCAAGTATTGTACAACCGACCATGATCCCATTCAGGCAAAGATCCTCCTATGATTGTGATCCCATGGCAACAAGCAGCTTCAGATAACATGGACAATGTTGGCGAGGCATCTCTATTGTCAAAATCCTCAGCATATTTTGCAAAATAATCACTTGAATAAGGACAGTTCCACATTTCCTTTTACAGAAAGTGCAAACCAAACCAACATGAGTTTAAGGGTCCTGAGGAACTTCTAACAAATATTTATTCAAACAACTTGGCTACAACCACATGGCTAGCTAACTCACTGGTAAAACAAGCAGCTTTGCACCTTGCTCGACAGAAAATCTTATCGAACGAGAGGCACGATCAAGATTCTGGCTCTTGTCTGAAGTAACTGACAACTGACAGAGAGCAATCTTAAACTGTCCCATAACAAAAACAGTTCTAATTAACATATATTTGCATGTATTTCCTACTAAGAAACTAGCAAAGAGCAATTTTTATGATCAAGAACACATTTAATATGGGAAACATTTAGCTATAGTTCAAATGTTGGACATGAAAGGTTTCCAACTTAGCTATAGTTCAATATAACTAGTACTGAAATCAAACCTTGGTAATATTGGGGAGTTGAAATGGATTTGGGGCATCAGCCATGGTGAGATTCCTGGTGGTCCGAAGAGATGCCATCACAAACCAAAGTAGTTTAGTGAATTCAAACCAAAAGGAAACCCTTTTTTTATTTGACTTGTTAATTGACAACCTCTTTACAATTTTGTGCAGGCAATTTTTCTAACTTATCTCATGATTTTTAATTATTAAACATGCAAGACCCCAAGTTTTGTTTCTTTATGTAAAAGAAAAAATATTGGGACAAGATAGAGTCTAACAATCATGTATGCCAGCACACCAAGCACTCAGCATATGCTGTACTTTTAATTGGCCCTTTTTTTTAATGCTAAATATCATACATTTACTAACCCAAAATCAAAATAAACCACCTGTAGCAAATCTTGGTTGGATCGATGTTGATGATGGGACCATCCGATCAAATTGAGGAGGACAAGCAGCATATACGTATGGTGTCAATGTCTGGATTATTATTCATTAGCCGAATTCTTTGAAACTAACATACTTGTAAGTATTGAATGAGATAACATGCGAGATTTAGAATTGATATTATATAGTGTTTCAGTTGAGGGATTTCTCAAATAAGCTTATTTGAAAGACACTTTTATAGAGCCCACCACACAATGTATTTCAATGATCCGAACTATCTAGTTTTAAATATTACCTCAAAGATCATCTCTGCAAAAAATCATTTGAATTCGAAACAATTTGACCACTCAATTAGATGATTGTTGTTGACGTGAGTTAATCTATTAAATCAAGGAGATTTATTTCTTAAGTTAATTAGGTGATTTACTTTCTTGTTTTATATAGTTGACATATCCTTGTATAATTATGAGATATTCTCCTAATTAATTACTGTATCTATTTCCTCGTAAACTCTTATGTATACTTCTTTATGGAGAAAAATACAAGGGATATTTGTTGAAATGTCACCTGAACTTATACCTTAGTTTCAATTTGTCACCTGAAAAAATAATTTAAGTGAAATGTCATCTGAATTTTTCAAAATCCATGATTTGTCACCTGAGTTTAACATCATCTGATTTTCCATATATTTTCAAGGGTATTTTAGTCTTTTCATTTTCAAGGATATTTTTAAAATGGAAAAAATTATTATTAAAAAAATAAAGCTTAAATGTAAAAATGGATGGGGATTAAATGTGAAAAGATACATAATTTTTATAATTTTCAAGGGTCTTTTCATAATTTTTTTATAATGATTTTTCCATATTTAAAATACTCTTGAAAATAAAAAGACTAAAATACCCTTGAAAATAGTTGGAAAATTGGATGATGTTAAAGTGAGGTGACAAATCATGGATTTTGAAAAATTCAGGTGACATTTCACTTAAATTTTTTTTTCAGGTGACAAATTGAAACTAAGGTATAAGTTTAGGTGACATTTCAATGAATATCCCAAAATACAATTAACCTAAAGTATTCAAACCATATTCATACTTTAGCAGTTGTAATTATAGTCTTTTCTTGAAGCACCGTGTTTATTTATTTTGTTGGTCCCAATTAGATGTTTTATTTATTTATTTTTGTAAGGAGGATCTATGAATGAATACTTGAAAAAAAAACGGTTTGGATCGTTGAAAATAAAAATAAAAATTAGAGGACTCGTAAAAGGTGTCCTCCAATAGAAGGGTACTGAGAGAAAAAATTGCATAATAGTTTTCAATGTGTTTGCTCAACATGTTGTAAAATGTAGACTGACAAAGAACCAAAATACATAGCTTAAACACAGTCCTAAACCTAAGTAATTAGACTAATTACAGATCTAGAGCGGAGGAATGAATCTAGACACTAGTATTACTAAGATTCATATCCTTTTCCACCACCTTTCTGGTCCATGCAGTTTGGTTTAGAGGAGTTTAAAAAAAAAAAACTAAATTTGGCTTAAGAACCCACAAAATAGTGAGTTGAAAATTTCCATGTCATATTGTAAACCTCATCATCCCATGCACCTTGGAGCCTCAGTAAATATTCTGAGCCCTGTCACGTTCACATCCCCTTGTAAGTCGGCATCGACAAGAAGAAACCTATCAAGTTCTCATATCATTACTATGTCTTTGTGCAAATCGGATCAATGGCCAATATTAATTCAATATCCTAAACCACTTTTGGATTAATTAGTTATTATAAATATATATTTATATCCCCTAAGCACCCCTCCCTCTGCCCCCTAAGAATTATACCATTACTGGTCTGCTAAACCTAAAAACCCCATGCGGCCATCACTCTCATCAGGCATTGTGGTAATTGGTCTGCTGACCATTTCAGTTCTAGTGTTGATTCTTTCTATAGTTGGATGGTACGTATATCGTAACCGTATACTATCGTATACTCCAACAGGCAACGAACCGGTTCAGAAGATCGAAGGCACCGTCGATAGGAGGTTTAAGCCGGATTTAATCACATTCAATTATAAGAGTGATGATCAAACTGATCGTGAAGAAGAAGGTTCAAATTGTGATGAAACTCGGGGTGCTCAATGTGGGGTGTGCTTGAGAGGTTTAGAAGATGAGCAACTCGTGAGGCAGCTGCCAAAATGCAAGCACACCTTCCACGCACCTTGTATTGACACTTGGCTTCACTCTCATTATGGCTGCCCCCTCTGCCGTACTCTCATTGACCGGCTGCCTTCTGATGATGACGCGGCATTGGCTACACCTCCTGATCAAGAGAAGAATTCCCAGGAGGTGACACCAGTAGACAATATCAGAATTTCAATGTTATCTACCTCAATCATCTAGAGATATATCTGGCCTCTTTTTTTTTTTTTTTTTTTTTTTTTTTGTGTGTGGAAAAGTTCATATTGAAATGAAAGCTTCATTCCCAAGTTTCTGCATTAACAAGGAAGATGTTGATGAGTCGTTCTCCAGTAAGGATGTCCTTGTTATTCTTATTTTTTAAAGGCTTATTTATTTACAACATGGCCTCATCATCAAGTGATGAATAATGTACAGCACCAGATTCTCTACTTATATCCAAAATTTCATTATTGTTTTGTTTTGTTTTGTTTTGTTTTGTTTTGTTTTTAGTACAAGCGAGCACTTGGGGGAGGGGATTTACACAAATATTTATTGGGTGCCTAGGGATTTCGAACATCTACCCACATGCGTGGAAGTAATAGAACTCAACCAACTGAGCTATGCCAAAATTTCATTGTTTTAACTAAGCTCAAGTGAGGTTGAGATTTGTTGGTAGAACAGGAGAGATCTTAAGTTCAAAAAATTTTACATGACCAAATAATTTAGGCCAAGCCATACGAATATTTTAGCCCAATTCCAAAAGAACATGGGCCCAGAGTGACAAGCCCATGAACAAACGACATGTGGTTCTTGAAACCAGAATAATTCACACATTGCAATCTAGTCGTCGTTTTGTTTTTGTTTTGTGTTTTTAACTCGTGATTTTGCTGCACCTAGTCGAAGCTGTGTGTGTGTCACATCATGATTGAAGGTGGCCGGGTCAACTGTTTGGGTCAACGAATCCCATCCCACTTCATTTTCATTCTGAGGGAAAAAAGTCTTAAACTGACAACACTAATTTGGTATGGGCATAGTCTCCTCCTGCATGCTGCAGCCAGCCGCCCTGCAAATGCAACTAGCAGCAGCTAGTCTTCTTCAAAGCTTCAAATCCAAGCAACAAAGACACCTGCCTAAATTCCCTCTCATCATATATTGGAACTTTGGAGCTTCCGTTCATGTAAACAGGGACATGATTTTGAACCCACTAAGGGTAAATTGGTAATTGACACAGATGCTTTGCATTGCATGCACATGTCATTGCACAATTTGAGTTAGGACAGTTCTCAACTGTGCTCTGCTAAACCTAGTTCTTGTCTCAATCAAAATGACTTCTGAGTTGATGTTTAAACAAATCAATTGCTTTCATTTCTTTCTTTGGTTGTGTATGTGCATCTTTATACCAATCTGATTGGATTTGCAGGACACTAGGGTTTGGTTTAGATTGCAACTACTCGGCTAGTAATCACTGTACCATTCTAAGTTTCATTTCTGTTGATGATAGTGCTGCTTGAAAGTGAGTTCAAAAAGATTTCTTAATGTGGAAAATATTGGTGCACAAGTTTTCCTTTCTTCTGTTGCATACAAACTATTAGGTCTAAAACGTTGAGAGAGTGAATCTTGTATCGAAGAATTAAAGTTTCGCTTAATAGTTTAAATGATCCCGGATTCTCCATTCATTGCTAATTTGATTTTGGGTTGGATGCTCACATCACATGGTATCAAAGCATGATATCCACATGTTGAAACCAACGACCCACATGCTCCCATGCCACCTAATATGGATTGTCCACTTGTTAAGAGTATGCATATCCCACGTCGAGATCTCAAAGCATATTGCCTACAAGTGTAAGTGGTCCAGGACTTCACCTATATCCTCAATTGGTTAAGCGTTTTAGGTTAATGGGGAAGAAATAAATGTTTATTTTGATTGTTTTGAAAATTCAAAGTATGTATAGCTACTGCTTTATAGAGGAATGTGTGAATTGATAATGACATTTCCATGTGTGCGTATATAATTTTTCAAGGCAGACCAGGAATGGTGCTTAGACTGAGACTGTAACGCTAAATTTAGCACGATGTTAAAAAGGCGTGTATAGTGGGAATTGCACTGTCCACACACACACAACACTAGGGCTTCTCATCTCATCTGTCAACATTATCCTGAAACTTACGATTCAAAGAGAGAATCTTGGAGGAATGGTGACTGGCCACATTTTTTTTTCTTTCTTGGTGGCTTTTTCTCAGTACCCAAGCAACCTCTCTAAGGCCTGTTGCTTTCACCAGAACATCACAGTCGTTGCTTTAATTCAATTTCCACGCCACCCTTTTGCAAAAAATTATGGCACAAATTAAGTGTAACTTGTCCTTGTAGCTCAGGAAATCCCACATAGTTTTCATTGCAGTTTTTGTCATCATTGAATGATTATGCCGCAGTTTAATTCTTGCCAGAAACTATGTTGAGCTTTGTTTTCTGAAATAGAAGGAAGAAAAAGACTGCGAGAGTTCTTACTGTAGGCATTAGTTCAATTCTAGTTAGTCAAGAACAAAGGATGTTGCTCTAAAATGAACCAATTCAAAGTAGAAAATGAGTACTGCTATAGGCCACATGATGAAGACCAGGGCATTTTGAAAATTGAAAGGGCTTTTACAAAGATATGCCAGACTCTTATATTATGAACTACGCATTGGTTTGGCGATTTCTAACAAATTTAGCTTCATCCAATTATTTTTTTCATTAATAAAGGAATGAGGATTCGAATTTGAGATCTCATCTAACATCGATAATAGAAGTACAACCATAATCCATAATCCATAATCCAAATTTTATATTAAAATTTTATTACATATATAAATTAGACCAATTAATCAAAACAGTATACCGAGCACCTGAGTTTGATCAATTTTACAGTAGCTCAATTCTTTTTGTTTTACATCAATAAATAACTAAAGAGTTGTTCATATGGAACATAAATAAGTGAATCTAGCAAAGCTCCACCAGGAGTATGTTGGATCCAATCTCTCTCTCTCTCTCTCTCTCTCTCTCTCTTTCTCTCTCAAAATAAAGGGAAAAGAAAAGGCTGCATCCTCTCAGAGTCTGTTTTTCCATTTCATAATCTTCTTGGGATCACCAAAATTCTCTCCACTTTCTCTTTTTACTCCCTCACACAAAAACAAACACCATTAATCACCTCACCACCTTCTTTTCTCTTTTACTAAAGCTGCCTTGTCTTGTCTCCCAACCCCTTCTTTTTTTCCTCTCCCTCCAAAACTCCCCCATCCCAAAACTACCCGTCTCAAAAGAAGACACCCCATACAACTTCCAAGGTCAATTTCGTACTCTCACCCACCAAAGCTGACAGAGCCACACGTAGCAAAGCAGTACAGGTGTCAGATCATGAGTGGTGTTGATTTCACTGCTAGGCAGTAGGGGGCAGATGAGTTGATATTATAATTTATTTATTTTGTGTGTGGTCGCGTGTGACAGCGGATCTCATTGGGATCTGTGAGGACCGAGGAGGAGCTTGCACTCGTGTGAACGCCCGACATGTTGTCCCAGCCCACCACGTGCGGTGAAAAAGCCTTTTATAAAAGTCACTGTAGACTGCCTTGCCTGCCTGCCAACCTGCCAATTACCAAATCCAATTTGCTCATGCTGTACCACGCTTGGATTCCAGTGCTTTCTGCTCGCATAAAAAACCCTAATGGGCCCACAGAGTTTTTGGAAAATAAATATTTAGTTATATACTCAATTCTTAACACTTAAAATTATAAATAAACCATATATTTATATATAAAAAAAAAAACAAAAAAAAAAAAAAAAAAAAAAAAAAAAAAATCCATCCAAAATGATAATTGACCCTATTGAATTTAATTTTAATTATTAAATTACTTTGATACCCTATTGAGTGTTTTGAGTTTTTTTAATGAGGTTTTGGAGTTGGGTTTGTTTTAAGAAATCAATGGCAATTTTGTAATTTAAAATAAGTTAAAAACTTTTTTGTTATGTTGTAAATTGGATTTAGGTGTGTTTCTAAAGTCCATTTTATATAGTTTTTTTTATTTATAAATAATTTGGGCTCTTATATTTGATATAATAGTGAAACTCTTTTTTTTTATAAGTAAATTGGCGTAGACCCTCTCTATGACCCCAATTGAATTTAATCCTCCGAATTAAAAAGTCAGTCAATTTAACACTTGAATGAATTAAAATAGCCAATTTAGGCCTTGCCGTTATGTTTTGTGAACTTTCATCTAATTTTTCGTTAACTATTAAGATAAACTTGTAATTTCGAGTAAAATAAAGTCAAATACATAAAACTAAAAGAAAATTAATGATAAAAATAAAAACTAATAACATATTTATAAATATAAATAATAATATATAATAAATGAAAAACCAACCCACCCACAACCCCACCTCACAGTCGATTTGCTACAAGAAATCTAGCCAAAAGATGCATCTTCCCAAGCCTTTACCCACCTCGTTCATTTATGAAATTCTTTTTGCTTCGCCGGAAAATAAATGGCTCCCATTCAACAAGTCGTTCAAGATTTTCAAGCATTGCCTTTTTCATGAAAGATGCCGGCTGGGTTTTAGAGGGAGGAGGTAGTGGGTGGGACTGCGTAATCTGTGTCGCCGGAAAATTTGGGTTGTGGAGGGACTGGGTAATCTGGGTTTCGAGGGTGTTTTTCTTGGGAAGAAACAGAGGAGAGAAAGAGACGAGAGAAAGAGACGAGAGAGAGAGACGAGAGAGAGAGTCGGTTTTATTTTTATTTTTCTGTTTTCTAATTATTTTAGTTTTTATAATAATAAAAATAAATCAAATAGTAAGTCACATGACTTTTTTGACGGAAAGTCCAATTGGCGATTTTAATTCATTCAAGGACTAAATTGATTGATTTATTTTTTTTTGAATTCAGGGGTTAATTTCTTTAAGGGTCATAATTTAGGAGGTAAAACGGCTGAAAATCTGGGATTTTGTTTTAGGGGTGGAAACTCAACTTCCTTCATGATATCAAAGCGGGTTGTCCACATGGGAAAGTCCAATTGACACACGTGCTCTACGTCACCCAAAATGCATTGTCTATGTGTTAGACTTGAAAATTCATCACACGTGCGGGAGCATGTGAGAATGTGACGATAAAAAGTCATACATTGGAATTTGGAATAGCTCAACTCCTTATAAGCCCTTAACAAGGTTTTGCCCACAAATGATAAATTAATGCTTAAATTTGAATGTGTGTGAATATGATGAGCAAAAGAGAAGGGTTGGAGAAAGGTCTTTTCTTTTAAAAAGAAAATGCTATTTCTTTTAGACCCAAAAAAGGAAAAATCTTTGCTTGCATTGGATATATTGGTTTGAAATGAGGGAGTTGAATTTGGATTTTTACTGTGAATTGTTTTGTAAGACTTAGAAGAAGTGTTGATCTTCTATGTTAAGAAAATCCATATGTAAATTTGTTGCAAACCATTTGAACTAGTCATACTGAATTATTTTGTTATTTTTCTGCTAAAGACTTATATTATGCTAGATCTTTTTCCTTCACCTAAATTCTTACAAGTTCAGTTTGTTACAAATTCATGGTCTACTAAGTCTACTCATAAAAATATTATATGCAGCAAAGTAAATGTAGTTTTGTTTTGATTTGCTGAAATCACCAAACCACTTTTGTGGATATATCAGATTATATATATTAATTTTCCCCATCTTAGGTACCATCTTCGCACTTCAAAAGTCTATAAACCTTTTTCTTTTTTCACAACATGGGGTACTTTAACAACGAATTTGAATACAAAGGGACGGACTTATTGCATTGGTCAACTGGTCTAACCCACGTATGCATTACCTTCGTTTTTTTTTGTGAATGTTAACCAATCAATTACCATCTTGCAAGGCCTAAGAAATGTAATGGCAGAATTCAAGTAAATATTATTTGAATAATCCATGAACAAAAGAACAAACTTATAGACCACAAAGAATCACGACACAACAGATTTTATGACCTATATTTCTTTGTTGGCTTTCCCTCTAAAAAGAGTACATCTCAAATTATTGACAGCCAATATATTATTGCAAAATACAAACACAGATTATTGGTCTAATTTGTGTGACCCAACATGCACCCTTGTACATGGACATGGCCAACCCCAGTGATCAGGTCGTTTGTGGTTTATACTTGGATTGGATCCTAGCCAGAATTGGTAAGAGCCACATACAAAATAAATGATTGATCCCATTTAATTTCTTAGTAATTAATTAATTAATTTGTTTTAATTGTGCCAGTGACTTGTGCAGGGTTGGTAAGTGACATGACTATCCAAAGACTAACCCTAGTGCTTCTTGATGGCAACAAGTCGTTTTTATTAGAACATCGATGTTTCCTAATGGATGCTGTCAACCAACTCGGGGCATCCATATCCTAATATTTTTGTTGGAGAAACGACAATAAGTTTCAATTCATAGCTAGCTTTCCTTGGAAATTTGAGCAATTGGGTGGTTACAGTGGAAGGGATTCATAGTTCTTGGGTTGGGATATCAAAATTGAAAGATCAAAATTGTACTATTAGGGCATCCCCTCAAATTGTGTATAAAAACACATCTAAGAAGTAGGACGAGGGTTTATAACTCTAATGGGAAAGTACTTATTATCGATACATAGATCTTCGGCTTATTTTATATTGTCTTTACATATTAATCGGTTAATTCTATCCTTGTTTTATTTCAACCCTCCTAATTCCCTACATGTTTATTTATCGTTAAAAGCTATATGAGTTTATTAAGAATAAACAACCTTGAAAGCATTATGGCTTGATTATTAACGATCGATTCTATGCTTGCAAAATAAATGGCAGGCATAACCAAATTGCATACTGTGCATGTTCTGCGTGCACTTTATGTGCATGCGAACGCAAAATTGTTTCTAGCCGAAAGCTTACCTTTTTATAGGCTTGTTAATGGTCAGACAGGAAAAGTTTTGTAATTAATTAGGGGCTGAGCGTTTTAAGATCCTGATTTAGGGTTAATATCCAATAAAAAATTGGTCAACGCATGGGTGGGTAGGTGGTCTCATAACCCACTATCATTCCATTGAGAACAACTTCTCCCACTTCACCTACCATATTATCACATACATAATCAAAACCCAACTCTCATCTCCTACTTCTTCCAACCAGGAGAAATCAAATCTATTGTTTTAACTTAGAAAATCTTAACTCGTGCCAACGGGGTCTAGCCTCTAACAAAATAATGATCTTGATATGCAGATCAATGATTTCATATTTAAACTTCCATGACATCTTGATAGTATGTGTGTGAAAAATTATCCTCTCCTTATAGTTTAGATCATCGCTTATATTCAAAAAATTAATAATCTTAACTTGTAATTACGTTGAAATTTTGATGCCAATGATTTTGGGATCCAAATGGATATTTTCCCTGCTCAAAAGGCATAATGGTTACTTTATTTTTAGAATCTTAATAGGTGTGGAATCGTTATGGATGAATATTAATCAACGAGATCAAAGCACTAACAAAATCATAATACTTATATCAATTATACCAAGTTACATTCCCAATCCCGGCCAGTTTTTCAATCTATATAGCCATTACAGCTCTATACCACTTTTGACCATAGGGCATATAGCCTTTTCTTTTCCTACAGTCCAAGCTAGCTTTTATAATATTGCGTCCTTTAAATAATTTTAGTTTAGAATGATGTTTTGATAATTTATTATTAGCATATCAAACTGTTATGATCTTGTGGTCCTCACAATTCTCTTACATGACTTGTTTCGTAGTATACTTTAGAGATCACAAAAGATAACAAGCTTGCTAACGAGGTCTAATCCAGTTAAAAAAGGTCTTGACTTGTAGAGTAGGGATCTCATGTTTGAACTCCTATAGCATCTTCGTTTTCTGTGTGTGAAAAATTATCCTTCCCCTTTAATTTAAACTATCGCTTATTAAAAAAAAAAAAGATAACAAACTTTTTTTGGTCTGGTTAATTGTTAATTTCTTCCCAAAAATTCTCAGCAACCAAATTCTTCACATCGTCCAAAAAATTTCCCATGTGTTTGCATATTAAATTCAAAGAAAGTTTGTGCCTCCCTATAAAGTTGTCTCTCTCTCTCTCGCTCTCTCTCTCCTAACTTTTTCCTCAAACCACCTTATGTTCAAGTGAAGTAGCAGAAGATATATTTTTAAGTGTAATTGGTTCGAAACACAACTGTTAAAGCTTCTGTCTTTTGACATTTTGCATTTTGATCTTGAGGTACTTGCTCTGCGCACCTCAGCACCATCATGTCATGCATGGCACACCACACCACCCCCCCAACAACAACAACCAAACAACCCAACAAAACCAAAAAAAAAAAAAAAAAAAAAAAAAAAAAAGAAAAAAAAAAAAAAGAAAACCATGGCTAAGTAAGATATATGTCTATCTGGTTTTCCTTTTTCTTAGTAAATTACATAAAAACATCATTTTTCTCATTACTATTTAAAATAAAACAGGCATCGAATGTGCTCTGCAAATGTTGAAAGCAGGTAATAAATAAATTGCGTATGCAAATTGTACCACGTCATCATACCAATCAACAATTCAACGGTATCTTTAATTTCGATACATAAAATACCGATTAACAATTCAACGGTTTCTTTAATTTCAACACATGCAATGGTGTTAAAACCAAAACAAATAATATTTCATTACAAAATTATACGAATGCATGAAGCCTTGTGAATCGTTAAACTCACTACCCTAATGACATTGTACGACTCTCATAAGTTTTTATATGTGATGGGTTTACTTTTGTTTCAATCAAATAATATTAGAATGAAGATTCGAATTTGAGACCTCAATTGTAGAGATAAATGTTCTTAATTATTAGTTACGAGCTCCGGCTATCACGAGAGAGGTTGGGATATCCTTGCCTTCCATTATTATATGTATTAATTTGCGCTGGATACATAGGAGTAAAGACTAAAAGCAGGAAAAAGTTGAGAGATACCACAAAATATACATTGCTTTACACTGATATTGCATGGTGGTTTGAAAATGAAGTTTATGGGCAGTGTTTAAGATATATATATATATATATATATAAATTCTTTTATATGGATATCCGAATGTTATTATCGTGTGGATGCCATGTATTATGTACTACTCCTCCTTGATTTTCTGCCTGTTTATAATAACATCCGCACAATAATAACGTGTGGACATCCAGATAAAAAAAATAACTATACATATATATACTTGAAAATATCTTTAAAATGCTTTTTGAGCCAATCTCTTAGATTAGAATTAGAAGCCAACCGAATTTGACATGAAGGCTTGTAGATCGACCAGATCAAAGATTAGATCCTTTTGTCCACAGCTTTGGAGACCATACATTATCTCACTCTTTTCTTTCCCTTCAACTCATCATTCACCTCATTTTTACTGCCGGTAAATCCATGCCGCCAGTGGATAACTTTAATAGAAATTTTAACCGAATAATATTTTTTTATTTGTACAAACAAAGTATAATTAAAAACAAAAAAGTGGATTAACAAGATCCAGCTTTTTGACTATTAATCACTCCATATATATCGTATCAGATATGAGATATGTATATATGTAGTGCATGAAGATAGTGTTATGTTCAAGTAAGGGAGGTCCCCACATGGTGATGAGAGAATGTGTAGAAAATCTGCCTTCGCTTTTAAGTACCTCACCTCATCTTCATCTCTTTATTTCTTTTTCCATTTCTCTTGTGAAACACAACGCCATCCTTTAATTTTCACTCACCTTCTACGCTTGACGTGACTTGTCTTGCCTTGCCTTGTCTTGCCATGCCTTGTTGCAAGACCCTTAGCAATCATAAAGATGAAATGCGCTGCCACTAAAACTATAAGCCTTTATGCAGTATCTTGAATGTGTTCAACATCATTTACTACATAAGCAGCAAAACGGAAAATAGAAAAAGCCAAGAGATAATAGAAATTAATTAATATTATTTTCTGATGTAAACCCCCAAACCATTTACTCAAAAGAAAAAAAAAAATAGCTAAATAAAATCTCTCAACTCTTTTTTTTTTTTTTTTTTTTTTTTTTTTTTTCCCTACTAGAAATTACAAAATCAAACGATTAGAAATGGCTCGATTTCTGTCGAAGAAGGTAGTCTCATACACAGGCAATTCTTCACGGTACCTTTCTTCAACCCCGGCAGTATCCAACTCAAACAGATCAGAGCTTGCATAACTCTCTGCGTCATCATCTTCATCTTCTTCTTCAACATTCTTCTTCTGATAATTCTTCAACAACAAGTAATCTCTAGCAACTTGCTCAACTCTCCGACGGTGTTCGTCGTCGTCATCAACCTCCATTACACAGCACTCAAACCTAATATCTTCAATTGTCGGAGGTTTCGCGGCTTTCTCAGCCGCCATTAAACCCGGCTCTGCTTCATGCAGAGTCTTCTGCCCGCATGGCCGACAGTCCTCATCCACAATCACGCTCACAGGGCAGAACCTCACTGACCTTTTTGCGACATCTCCATTGTTGCTGGCGATGCCACTCAGCTCACTTCTCGAAAGAGGCGTTTTTCGCAGACAAGACCTTGAAAACGAAGAGGCTGAGGAACAAGTGCTGCTCGAGTTTGAATGCCCCTGTTGTCCAGATTTTGAGGATGATTTTGTCTCCTCACCCAAATCGTATGATGGTTTTCTCTCCACACCCAAACCATCAATTTTGGACTTCTTCACGTGCCCTGCATTAAACAGAGAGTTGAGAAAACTCGCGAGCCGGCCACCCGGCGAAATTGGCTGCCTCACCTTCTTCAAATCGCCGTAAATCTTCAGCGCTTTCGATTTCGTCTTCACGAAACTGTTCTCGTGCTTTGTCTTCTGTGAATTATGGTGATTTCTCTGCTCAAATTGAACCTTCTCGGATGAAATGCTGGTTCGAATTGGCTTAGGCCTGTGCATGCTGTAGCATGACGACGATGACCTCGATTTTGATCCGTACATGGAATCTGACTCGGATGAAGAAAACCCACCACCGCAGCTCGAGTCCGAAGAGCTGGAGCTCGAATTCAAAAAGAACTCATTACGATTGTAGCTCGACTTCTTCGTGTCAAAATCCGCCATGGAATTTCGTCGAACAGGTAAGGACTTATCAGTCACTTTCTTCTCCATCCACTTCTCGATCAAGCAGGCTCTTCGGAGGCTCATAATTTCATGTTCCTGGTCTTCTTTGAAGAGGCCATGGCGGCCACTGGTAGTAGTAGTAGCAGCAGCAGCAGCGGTGGTGCTCTGTTTTTTCTTCGTGGTTTCTTTGTAGAAGATAAGGTGTTGTTGCTCTTCTCTTCTTGAAACTCCTTCACCGGTGTTGGGTTCGTCGATCGAACGGTAAATGGTGTCGAGGAGAGTGGAGGAGAAAGATGGGTTTTCTCTACTGTGTCGGTTGCTTCGAGCTTCTCGGTTTTTTTGCAGTGTTTTGATATCCCACTTCTCCATTTTTGTCTGGTTTTATACTTGTACAAGTACGAAATTGGGAAACAGTTGTACTGGGTTTTCAATGATATTCAATTATGGAGGTCTCTCTGTTTTGTCTGCTGTAAATTTAGAGAGAGAGAGAGAGAGAGAGAGAGAGAGAGAATATGGTAAGGCCAAAGATGATTATGGGAAGGACATTTTGAAGACAAAGACTCTTACTTTGCTCTGCTTTTGCTCTCTCATCACTGTGTCTGTGTGTGTGTGAGGCTAAAGAAGAAAGAAACAAAGAAAAGAAGGCATGGGCTTTGATGGGTTTTTGATGGCTTAGAGAGAGAGAGGGAAAGAGAGAGAGTAATGAAAACCAGAGGCCACGCCTGTTCGAACAGAGAAAACAGAGAGCACAAAGCAAAGTAGACCGATGAGAGAGAGAGAGAGAGAGAGAGAGAGAGAGAGAGAGAGAGTGAGGATTCTCTTTTTTCACACGGTCTTATAAGAGAAGGGGAGCGAAAGGGCGAGCATGCAGAGTCCAAGCTGGAGTGGGGTCCAGCCTTGCAATGATGACGTGGTATATTATTTATTTGATTAATTAAATTTAAAAGGGATTCTCATAATTTCTGCCATTATTGGATTGGCTTCTACTTCTTCTTCTGCTTTGCCTCGCCTCGCTGCTCTCTCAAAGATTTGCTTTAAAGCTTTAAAGAAAATAAAGGGATATTAAGTATTGATTATTGTCTAGTGTAGGACATAAACACAAGATGTTGATACTAACGTTACTACACACCTTTTTATTCATTAATTAAGCTCCCTCTTTAATTGCTTTTAATTTTCCGATTTGTATAAAGGGAAATTTGCATAAATATCACTCGAACTTTTAGGCATGTGAGCCATTAGCACTTAAACTTTTTATTTTTATTTTTGACCACCTGAACTTTGTAAACTGTTTAATCCTTTTAAATTTAAGGGCATTTTCGTCAATTCACTATAATTACAAATAATTATAATATATATATATATAACAAAAGGCAGAGAATGATGAAACATTCAAAATACCAGAAAATACCCGTGGTTAATGCAAATATTAAGAATTGAAATTATTAATTAAATGAGAATAATATGGTAAATTCACACTTTTCATATTTAAAATTTTAAATTAAAAGAAAAATCAGATAATAGATCCTATTTTTATGGAACACAACTTCTCATTATCTTTTTTAATTCTAAAATAAATTTTAAATTTTAAATTAAAAAAACCTGTCGCAAGCACGGTGGAGAGACTAGTAAAAAATCAAGGGAGATGGGAAGTAGAGGTTTTCCTACTTACCAAACAAGTTCACACTAATATTCAAAATTTTCCAACAAAAATCAAAAGGCTTTGGAGTTTTTTAACTTTGTAACAGAAGATTGCGGATTTAGGTCATTCTATTCAGGATTCCCATTCACATCCTCCCTTATGTGCAGATTCTGCTTGGCGCTGAGATTCTCTTGCCTTTGGATTGCATGCCCTCGAGGCTTCTCTCTGCAAACTTCTGATTTTCTTTTTTCTTTTTATAAAAACATTGGAGGAAGATGATGATGGGTTTGGAAGGTGGGAATTGGGCGTGAACAGTTGTATGATTAAGAAGTAGAGTAGAGATAGAGAATTATTGCCCTTGCCCTAGCTGTTTTTGCAGGCTTCAGTCAGCCTTGGACAGTCAACTAATGCGGCCTCACTTCTGCCATGGCTAAGACTTATATGACGACGATCACCTCAAAGCCCATAAATAAAACGACCAAGTTGTTAAAATTAATTGCTACCGTTGACAAATTTCTCTACTTTTTGGTAAACAAATCAAATCCATTATTACCAACTACCTGCTGTATATTATTGGCCCCAAAATTCCCTCCTTGTACCAATAAACATGTGATATATGTATAAAAATTATCCTATGCGAACATTCGGACATTATTATCCTGCGAACGTTATGTATTTTGTACTATCTCTTTTTGCTTTCATGCATGTTTACAATAGCATTTGCACGATAATAACGTGCGTACATCCAGATAAGAGAATAACTATATATATACATGTATAATATATTCATGAATGTACGTAACTTTTACTTACGTTGAAAGTTGAAATGATATATTGATCAGAATAATTTTATAACCCCAAGTACCGATTATAAGTTGGGTGTTCAACATGAATTCACATTGTATGAATCTGATAAAGTAGAATGAACTCGCCGGATTTAACGGTTGTAACTGCATTCAATATAAAGTCTCATGGCAGAAAAACCCTTATAAGTATTTTGATTTATTATTAGCCAAAATGTGTTTTTAAGAGAGAGAGAGAGAGAGAGAGAGAGAGAGAGAGAGAGAGAGCATGTTGCATGTTCTTAGTGGGTAGTGCTTATTTGTACAATGATTGCACTCGTGGCTCTAAACTTTTCGGCCAGAGAGTGGTGAGCTAGAGATAGAGATCTAATTAGAAGACACCAAAACGAATAACTAAGTGAGCTTAGCTAGAAGTGATTTGATTAATCTATCAAAGGATTAGGACAAAGAGAGAATGTGTGTACATAGAAAAAAGAGAGAAAAAGTAAGATTAAGCTAATACACACTAAACAAACAAAAAGGCCTCCCAAAAAGCAACGTGCGTGTGCCGTTGGCTCTTCTTCCCTTCCCTTCCCTTTTCCTCACACATGCATTCCCTTCAAGGCTTCAAGCTCAAGAAAATTCCCCATCATTGTATTCTCTACTTCGTGTATATTTATAATCCACAAAACCCTACTACTTTGCCCATATTAATCATGCTTTGCAGCCATGAAATCCCATTTCATATGCCAAAAGTTGACATATTAATCAACTAATGCGGTGGGGGTGGCTATCGAGTTTAAACATACACATGAACAAAAAGAAATTGGTGGGTAACGATTTACACGCCAAGCTATATATAGAAATCTGACTATCAAATTATTTAGTTGTTTTACCTTATGTTACACTCATGCAATGGGATTAATGTATTTGATTTGTACTTTATTACAAGTAAAATATTAATTTAGAGACTCTATTGAATTTTTTTTTTATTGGTTCAAAACAATGAGGAAAGCGAAAATCGAACGTCTCAACTTAAATGCTTGATGTTATAAGTCCCACTTGCGCTAGTGCGTGTATAGATATAAAGCGTGTTGAATCCTCTCTTTCTCTCTGATAGTTTAAATTAGATTAAAGTAAAATATCGCTTATTTATTATAAAAAGTAAAAAATAAAAGACTTTGACCTTCCAAATTCTTCATCAAATGTAGGTGGTTGACACATGCCCTTGTGGTCTACTGCTAGGTATATAATACGGAGTAGCTAGGGTTATTATGAAAAAGGATTGAGATTCCTTTCATTTCATGTCACGGGCATGGGGTTGATGTGAGAAGCATGAAGCAAGAAGATTCCATTCAGGTCATGGAATGACCAATTTGGGGACCCAAAAACCAATTGAATGTAGCATTGACATGGCCTAACCTGGAAAAAGTTCAATCTGTACCGCACACTCCCACCACCATCATCCCCACTCAAGAACGTATGAAGACAATACTCTTGGTGGATGTATATTTCAGTTTCCACTACCATCTAATCCAATTAAATCGATTAATTAGACATGTCCAAGGACATGTATGGTACTATGTGGTGGATGATTAGTGAAAACTCATATTTCAAATCAAAAGATTGTCTGAATTTGTACGTCTAAACTTCTATAACTATTGAGGTAGAGCATTAATCCTCACACTCAAGACTTCGAATATGAATTCTCATAATAAAAAAAGAATTTTCTTAATCAAAATGGTTTATGAACTAGAAACCCCTTCTGGTCCCTAAAGATTAGAAGTACGTAATGAAAACCTAATTGTCGGATTAGGGAAGCAAAAGATTCAATTTGTTTGGTGACATATTAACACAAAAGCGTTGTATATGGTGATTTAAACATTTATGCTTATGTTTCTTATATGATAGCACATCAATTAATTTGTCCTACACATATTTATACGCACTCAGAATAGGACCATAAATTCCTTGATTTGATATTTTGGTCTTGTACATGCAACACCAACTTATGTACCCCCAAGTGGTGTTACGGTGGATCCACAAACATATGTGAAAAATTCAACGCATCAATCGACTTCATTTTTCATGAATGGGGTCTAACTCAGTGGAAAAAGACTTTGACTTGCACACTAATGATCTTAGATTCGAATCTCCATGACAATTTGCAGTATGTGTGAAAACCTCCATCCCCCTTCCTAACTTTGGCCCCAAAAACAAAAATTCAACTTCATTTTTCTTTGTTTTTTCCATTACCTCCCCCTATTTGTCATTATTTATCATCAACCATAAATCTTTTAAAAAAGAATGATGCTAACACCTCAACACTACACCACCATCCTGCGTACTTGGAAAGGATGGTTGAAATTTGTAAATTAATTTGGTCCATGCTTTTCCATCATTCTTCTCAATCTTTCTTTTCAACCTTGCATGGGTCACCCAACTCATAACGAGTAGCTCCTACTAAAACCATAGATTGCTTTGCCCCCATCTCAATCATCATATTGTAAAGCCAAGGCTACCGCATATTTACAACTCACAACTGCATAAACAACACACAACTATATAAAAATGCCTCGCCTGCACTATTGCTCATCATTCAAATCCTTAGCTATACTTAGGGTTTGATCTTTCTTTAACAAATGGGTCCTAGTTAATTATGTGTTATGTTATGTACTGATATTCAATGTGCATGATCTCAAAACTGTCATTGCAAACCTCCAACTTAATTTTCTCTTATTTGTAGCCGCTAGATCTTAAATCGCGGAATGACATCATTTTAACTATGTAAACACAATATTTTTATGCAAAATGTGTACACAACTTTATTTTCATTTTAAAAAGTTAACGTATAAATCAATTAACTCTTGGTGTAGTGATATTTCTCTTTTAATGTTATAAAATATCTCAACTTCGAAACCTAATAAGTTTGGATTTGGGAATCAATT